ATCTTACTTTCCCCTTTATGTATGTTGAGAACTACTGCTGCTGAGGCTACTGCTACATTGGTTGTTTTCACCCGCATTTGTTGTTGCGTGTAGGATAGGAGAGCCAAATTATCTTCGAAGTCCATTTTCTGAAACCGCCATCCATACTTTGGCTCCGTTCGAGTATCTGAAGTTTACCACTCGTGCTATGAATTCGTGGTTGGAGAGGACATATAACCAAAGTATGGATGACAATTACTGTAAATTTGACGGCCGCAACTGATATTGTGCTGCTGAATCAAAACGTAAATGCTAAATGAAGATTTCCATGTCACGGTTAATTCATCAGTCTTAGTTTTGAAAGTTGGGAATTGATGATTTTTAGTGTGAACGTGAATTTTCCAACCATGACACCAATCACAGCTGATTATTTTTCGACGAGACTGACTTAATTAACCACAGTCTTTTAGGTATTTTAGACATTTCTTTGGGCTGAGGCCTCTAAATCACCGTACCTAATGTTTGGTAATCTTGTTTAAACACTTCACACATACAAATGGGAAACATTTCTAAAACTTGTTTAAGTTTTTTCGATGGCCCACATAGAGCCATTATTGCTGAGCGGCGAAAATCCAGAAGTTCAATGTGACACAATTCATGTTGCACACATAGCATACCAGTAAAACGAGTGTAGGTTATCAAAAAGTTAGTCAAAAACACTTTCAGCTCTGAGGAACTGTAATCAGTACTAAACCAAACACTGAAACAAAGCAGCGCAGTTAAGTACTGAAACTGGAGATAATCACAACCTTAGCGTGATACGACCTTATGAAAACCAACTTTTCAAAGGTGAATTTACATTCCATATCCAAAATGTGAAAACCTGCAGCAGTATCAATCCACCATAATTCTTCAAGACAAAAATAACGGTGAATTCATTGCGACTGGCATGGAGTGACATAAACAATACAAACGTAGTAAGTAAAATTAATTTTAGGTCATTTCCAGCACTAGCAATTCTAAGGGAGCTGAAAAGAGAACGAAGAAAATAGTGACGCCAGGAATGATGCATATCCCGCAATCGGAGCACCTGAGCACTTCAATGTTTGTCTAGATTATGACTAATCAAAAGCTAATCCTAGAATAATTTGTGTTGGACTTCTGTTTTCATAATGTTCACTGTACATGAATAAGAAATTCTGCGTAATTTCGGAGTGATTGATTTTAAGGTTTAAAGTCTATGGCGCGTTCCTATATGATATACGTCGTTTTAATGTACGATAGTAGAGTTCTTTAGTCGGCAACAGAGCCTCTGATTAGGTTATGAACCTCAAGAAAGCCTACCTCATCACAGCTGCAATAGAGATGTTGTCGAATATGTAAATACGTTCTCTCGAGAAAAGAACACTCTATTTATATCGAACTGACCGAAATTCCCTGATATCAAGCTCTGGCTAATTGTAATAATAATAATAATAATTTATTGTCAAATAACAAACATGTTACAAGAGACATGCCAATTTACAGGTAAGATCAAAATGTTAAGATTAACAACATATTTCTTTTAAAACAGTATACAGTTACTGAAACATTTCACAAGATTCATTGTTTCCTTAAAGATGGAATGTACAATGCGAATAATTGGCGCAAGTTACGAAGGTTGCGTTACGACAATCATCTTATGGACTGAGAAATGATTCATGGTAGAGAAAGGTTTTCATATAACAAGAATTGATGTACAAAGGTCCGGTTGATATTCATCAGCTAATGATTTCACATGTTCTTGGGTAGGGTAACCAAGTCTACTGCAAATATCCATGACTAAAAGAAAATTTGCGAACCGAAATACACCAATTCACTTCGCGAATGTTTTTAAACGATACCTCATGAACTCCTAACTGCGAGGGTTGTGAAGACTGGCTTCACTAATCAGCTTCTCTTTCGAGTCAGAAGCTACCTTGAGAACAGAATGACTTGCACCACGGTAAATTGAGTACAGTCGAGCTGGCGTGTCTCAAAATCTCGAGTTTCACAAGGGAACATCTTAGGTTCACGCCTTTTCCTGATATTCATTGTTGAAATGTTAGACAAAATTAGCTCGGCGGCACTGACCTATGCAGACGATGCAAAGAACTGGAGATCCATTAGAAGCGAAGAAGATTCGATTGAGCTTAGAAAGGACCTTACATCTATTAAGGAGTTGAAAGTGAGAAAAAGTTCCAAAATAAACCATTAGAAATGTAAACGTTCTGCCCTATGTGACGCAAACAACCTACACCTTCAGTAAAAATCCGCGATCTGTGTTTGGTAACCACAAAAAACCTAGAAACCTTTTCGAAGAACATTGCGGACTCAGCCAAGGCTCACATATCTATTCCTGTATGCAAGACAAATTGTTGTAATCAGCCCATACTTATTCCTAACAGTCTTTAAAACATATACATTCCCAAACCTTGAGGTTTACTGAGTAACAGGAGAATCAGAGGTGGTCTGAAGATAGCTTACAATAAATCAAATAGTCCAAATCATCCCATTACAAGTATTCATTAAAAAAACAGACACACTGGACGTCACTCATAAAAATCGCACACCGAAGAGCGACCATCCAGTTAGGTGTGTACTTTTCACTCTTGAGGCTTGTCCCTTCTTGGGATGTCTACCCAGGCTAGGTAACCACAGTCTCCTGAGTGAAAATCTTCTTGAACAAACTTGAAGACTGTCACTCATACCGATTACCATAACTTGCTTAACTAGCTGTGCCTGCTGCATCACTTAAAACTTGATAATTGCCACCACTGTCGCTTCTCCAGATTAATAAATTATTCTGTTCTGCCTATTCGCTACTTTCCTCCAACTTGTTTGAATTTCCGTCCACTCACACAATCTTCACTACCGATCCAATAACTCATTTATTCTTTTACATAGTTCCCAGAATCTCCTCTTTTAAGTAGCTTTAGAATTTTATCTATATTTTCCTTAATTATGTAGCCAGCTGATCTCTCAGCTGTAAATGTGATAGCTTCTGGTATCCAGTAACCTTACTGCACTGAGACAAATGCATTCACAGAAGCCAAGGGACTCTAGTGTGTCGATTTACTGCGTGTTCTTAAGCTCGGTAACTAACTCGTTCAGACAATCGTTGCCAAATAGCGTCTGACGGTTTATAAATCAGAAGATGAATTCGTAGTGTTGTATACGTTTATTCGGGACACACCACAAAGCGAAGCGGAGAAGGAGTGAATAAAACGAATGGAGCAACGTGAACTGGAGAAGGCTTTTGAGCCAACCCAATGAGATAGAGCATGACTAAGAATATATAGTCAGACAAAAATAAGACAGACATATGATAAGCGAAATAGGCATGCACACACATGAATAAAAGCGACGAATGATTGATAAGGTCAAAAGTAAGCAATATAAATCATGTGATTTCATGGGGTAATTAAGATATTATCATTAAAGCGAGAAGGATGGGTCAGCTCGTAGGCTTAAAGCAATGCTCAGTCGTACAAGCTCATAAAAAATTCCAATGGTACATGTTGGTTGTTGCTATACGAATAGCGTGGTTACATAAGTTAATCGAAAGGCGTAATCAAATTAAACATGAACGAACTCAAGTTTATGTGAAGGCACTACAATAGCCCCCTTCCAGAAAACAAGGATAAGAAAGTGTCTGTGTTTGCGAAAAAAAAGCCAAAATCGTCGGAAAACATCAGAAGTTACGAAAATTAAAGTTACCTTGTCCAAGTACGTGCGTAGGGTCGCATAGTAACAGAAGATCAAAAATATATGGTAAGCGGTTATTAGCAAAACAAAATCGATTTTGAATAGAATACATGAGGAGCAGGTGTACGTTACGAAAATGTAATACAAATGCTGCTAAATATTTAATATCGTTTAGGCATGACAGTTAAGACGGAATTCGATAATCGTATAGACATTACGGTAAGGCTCATCGATAAATCGAGGGGCTGCAGATAGGTGAAGAAATTGCGGTCGAGATTATCGTGGAAAAAATTTGGAGAATAAAGCTGGGTACAGATGCGATGCATGGACGTTAAATGCGTATCGAGAACATAAGTTACTACCATTGAGAATATGACTCCAAACTTATGTCTATGAAAGCGTTTCAAACCGTTGTCAGCGTTGGGGTAGTCGAAAACATGCGAATATCAGCGTGCAGGAGGTTTGCTCGACAGCTTGAACTGCTGCTTCGTGTGCATGTGCGTAAGATCATACCACCAATTTTCTTAGCAGGCTGCAAGATTTTCGAGTACGAGCAGCTGATGAGTACATAGAGGATATCTCCAATGCGATAATCGTATAGCCACAGAAATATTAATGGACCATAATTGTCGTTGAGCCATTGCTTTGACAAGCGATTCGAAACATAATAATGCGATACGACAAAATAAATGGAACGAACTCACCTTAATCATGAACGTCGTTCGTGGTATCGAAAGAAGTAAAATAATGTTTATGAAATAATTGTCATGCAATAAGAATATGATAATGATATTAATCCACACAATGGTAATATAATCCAAAATAGTAATTTGTATCGAAATAGTTATTGTCAGTAACATTGTGGACGCGTTCGATTCGTGGTCGTAGTTTTCGGGATTACTAATCGGTGATTGCGTTCGATTCTACGTCGAAATTACCAATTGGATGAAAGCGTTCGATTTTTCGTCAGTATCAGGAAATATCCTGATCACGTCGGGCAGCTTTGTGATGAGTACGTTAGATTCAACGGTGGGCTCACCATTTTTGTAGTGGTGGCCGATTTTGTTGACGTCGGGATCACCATTACAGGACAAATAAATTCATAAGCAACTGCCGAACGACTAGAATTAGTGCAGTTAGGTGGTCTAACTTTATCAAGTAAGTTGCACTGTATCAAAAGAACAAGCAGATATCTCAAAGAAAGTCAACTGGTTTATACTAGCTCGTGAAAAAGATATTGGATAGTGATTATATATATTGAAGGTCGTTTATTTAAGATACTACTTTGACATTTATTAGCCGTTAGCAATCCTTACAGATTTTACATATTTTATCCTCGTAAGTTATTATATCGTCATATCAAACTAGGGTATCATTGATTTTTAATGAAGCAGGATGAAAACGCACCCAATATACTATTCAGTGACGATTTTGAGATCTCCTACTCACGGTCTCGGTTTAGGTATTTCGGGCATACGAAAACCCGAGAATTCAAAGACAAAGTTTATAATTTCAGACATCATAAATGGAGGTCCAGCTTATGGAAAGGTTAGGTACGATGTTGAATATGCTCTTTAATTCAATGTTAGTGTAAAAGATGAATTAATTAGCGTCAATGGAATCAAACTGGAGTGTTTGAGATATTCTGAGGCTATTCAGATCCTCCGTGAATGTGGCGAAGAAGTTGAGCTGAGGTTATTAAGTCACAGAGGACAGGAAGACTATGAAGATATGTTTCCTTCTCTAGAAACTGACTGTATTACACAGAAAACGTAAGTCGATTTGGATGTAGTAACTTTAGTAGCTTTTTCATGACTATCATCTTTATAATTTCAGTAAATTAAGATCACATTTTTTATCACGTCACTGAGTTATGTAAATTACATTTGTAAACTCACTCATTTAGAACATGTTCCCTAATTATCACAAATTAACTTTTCGACTATTAAAGTTATGTCACTTAACTACATTGCAAGCTATGTTAATGACTATGTATCTAGAATACAAGTCTTATCGCACTTTCCAAAGTTGAATGTAAATATATTCTCGCATCACAATGCATTAATCCTAAGTAGATACTTGTTTAATGGCTTATCTTGAGTTACTTCATGATAGCGCAGACTTTTCAATGTGATGAAAGCTTACTTAACATATCGTATTCCCAAATTTTGTGCAGTAAGCTTGCTTTAATGTTTAATAATGATGTACTAATGACAAATCTGATTCTAAATACAAGACGTTAGAGTGTTCTCAAAAACGTGGAAAAACAGTAATCAGACGTTTGCCCAAGTGCTGGCAAACGTTTCATTTATATGGTTTGAAACTCTACTGTTTTGAATTGCTTGTTTGATTTTCAAACGCCGTTCGAAATTCTTTATAATTCAATCGATAATGTTGTTCATACTGCAAAAAACGAAACGTGGAAAAATATTTTACTCATTGATAAACCGAAATTGTTGGAATAAGTAAGACAAATCGGTCACTGAATTCGGAAGCAAAACAATAATTCCAGGATGTTAACTAAATACATACATTCAATATTTTGACGCTGAATGAAGACTAATAAATCCATAAACATTCGGAGATTTTCATAGAGGTGGAATAAAGCATCATCATAAAATTTTAATTTAACCTCGCAATAGTTTATTGAATTTCGAAAAATCTCACTTTCGACAAAAAAAATCGTTTATCTTTCATACATAACCTATGAATGTAATAATTTAAGACAATGAAATGCTTTAAAAATAGTTGGCTCAAAGTCAAACTTTCCCCAAGTAACAAACTTTTACAGGTTTGTGATGAACAGTGCTCACTCATTGCTTATGCGTGTTAGTTTTAAAAATGCTATTACGATTGATTTTTTTACCAGAGGGTTTTCATCATTGAGAAGATCTCAAATAAACTGTGAGTGTTCGCCTAAACATCGAAATTGCTGCATTCACTCAATGAAGTATTGCAGCGATACCGCATTATGGAATCCAAGTTTAATGAGCAATGAATATTTGTCGGAAACTTGTTCAAAACTGGTCGAAATACATCTTAAAAGAAGGAATGAGGGTGAAAGTAAGCTTAAAATCTTGAGATATTATCGTACATTTTCATGATTCAAACATGTTTCTGCTTACAAATTAGGTTTTATTCAGTTAAAAATTCCCAAAGAAGTTGAAGAATTTGGCTAGCGTTATTTACCATATTCGGGACATACTTTATACAGCAAAAAAGACCAACATTTGTTGCAAATATTAAGTCAAAACTACTTGTATTCAGTAGGATTCACAAAGAGTGCACTATATTTAGATAGCTTCGTAGCAATCATAATTTATCTAAACGTCTTCCGCAGAATTCTGTGACTTCGAAAGCGTTTTTAGCTCATGTTGAGACCTGAATGAAAACCATTGAAAACCTTATAGTACTGCTTTCACAAGTTTCATAACTTTTAGATACTGACTATCCATTGATTTGTATCAAGCGCAAAGCTGAACCTTCAGTTTGGAAGCAAACACCAAACAAACTATGAAAAAGGCTTATGCCAGAAATCCTTTACAAACTGTCTATAATTTTCTGACAATTGCTTTGAATTCATTTAAAAGTGATCAAACAACTATTCATGCATAAGCACCTAGATCAGATAATGATTTTGTCATTTCTAATGAAGGATGATACAGCGTTACTGACTTAAACCCATGATTGTTAGTAGACTACAGGTAGCACTGATAAGTAGATAATTTTACTAATAGAGAATAGGAAAGCTGTAATTCAGATATTCATCAGAAAGTCAACTTTCCTGTTCGTATAAAATCCATGATAATGCATAGTCTTATCAATTGTTAATATTTAACGAAATTGTGGGCAGAAATTTAATGGTGCTCACAGATTTTTTACTAAATTTGTCAACGAAGTAGCCTTCGATAAAACAGTCATATTAATAAAGCTTCACTACTTTTAAATCATTTGCTTTGAGGATGAAAATGGTAATGTGCATTTCAAGTTCATTTAAGAGTAGGGTTAATTATTAACACCGACATTAAGTAAAGATTATATCATTCAGGGGGGGGGGAAACGTTTTAAAATACAAGCTGTGTTTCCGCTTTATTAGGCTCTGTTTTACTCAGAATACAAAACTGCTACCAATGCAATTTCAAACAAAATAATTTGGTGATTAAACAAGTATAACTTCTGCAAAAGAACCAACTAAAGACAATAAAACTTGCTGCTAAAATGATTTAGCTGCTTTATTTTAAATGAAGTGCTGTTTTTTTATTTGAATACGCCCGAGAAATTATATCTCAAACCAGAAACTAAATATAGCTATGGGAAATGATACGATTATCAGAAATTTAAAATTTAGTTCAATCTGGTTAAGGAAATGATATCTATAAAAGAAAATACATTTAATTTTGTTAATATTCGGCATATTTTTTAAATTTTAATTTTTAAGACTGTTCAATTACTTTTATGCTGGGTTGAAAACCACCAGTTTACTGTTGAGTAAAAGTTTTCTTAATATTTATAACTGTCGGCACTTATCGCCGAGGATTTGAGAGAAACAACTTGGTAATATAACTAATAAAAGTACTGATTGAATTTCGCCAGAACCAAACAATGTTACATTTTGATAATTGATAATCTGACATATTCAGGTAGTTTGAGGATCTAGGCCGTAGCCGCTACCTTGACGTGGTAGTCGGGTATACCTATCGTGACGACCCAACCAAGCTATATGGCTGGAACATATCTTCCTGAAGGTTGTACCATGTCAGACTAAAAGCAGCTACTCAAGGTCTGAGGGCGAAGTCGTACTGCTGACTGCAGAGGGTTGTGACAGCAGTAAGGTGTTTCCCTCGGACAACCAGCATCTGCAGCGATGCTATCTTCTCACAAGGATGGAAACATTAGAAAAAGTTCACCTTGAAAATATCACACCTCATCTTACCTCATGGATTTCCGCCTAGGCGGTAAGGCCTTTCAAACAAGAAAGGAGATAACAACTTAACTACTACCCATGAAAATGGCGTGTGTGACCGACCTCAAGCAAACGTTCCTTGGACTCTGCGGTAACACTTTCAGGTCTCTAAGACCAACACTAATCTACCTTTCTTTTCATATTCTTCAAGAAACATCCACGGTGTGGGCAGCCGGGAAGTGAAGTCTGCCCTCATACCCGTAACAACACACGAGACCAAATTGGTCACAAAAAATCCTTTCTACACCCCCTAACATCTCTCTTATCTTCACGATGACTGAGGGTTATTTATAACATGGACATAATGTCAGCTGGAACTTTCCAGAAGTGAGAAGCACAAACAATATTCTTCTCCTTCAAAATGGTTTTAATCTAAGTATACATCGTCTGATAAATATAAAAGACCGGTTGGTTCAGTATTCCTTGAAAAGTTTGTCAAACCAAAACAAGAAGCTAAGAAAAACAAACTTATCAATATTCATTGGTGAATACTATTAAAACACTAAATAATTTTATCTACTATTTTTATTATTTAACATTGTTTTAACAGATTACTTTCATTAGATTAGTGTCTAAAGTACTTTGGAACCTTAGTTGTATTTCTGAAATTCCCACTTTTTAATTATGATGAGGACAGACTATGAACAGGTTCCAAATAAACTTATGTAAAATTTCTTGTCATTTCATACGTATTGCAAGTTGAGCATGATTTTTATTGATTATATGCCTTTGATTTTTATGTAACAGGCTTAGGTGTAGAACTTTTAAGCCGTTTGATGGTCAGTTCTGTGGATGAAAATAGTTTGGGCGCACAAGCTGGTCTCAAACCAGGTGATCGTATTATAAGACTAAATGGAATTAATACCGCTCATTTAAGTCTTATTGACACCGCGAATATGTTACGACGTCAAGAAACCATACTTTTAGTAGTCAGAGATACTTCATTGAAACAAAATCATGTTTGTAATGATTTCAGTACAACACCTTTGATAAATTCATCAAGTGTTCCAGCTAATCTTTCTGGTTTGGTAAATCAACAATTTGAAAATGGCAACAATCTGTATCATGCATCACAACCTTCAGAAGAACAAATAAAAACAATGTATTTTAAACAGGTCGATCAAACTTATGGAAGTTGTGGAGGTTACCAAAATTTGTGTGAAGGTATGTATATATATAGATATATGAATTATGACATTGCCGGCCAATGATGAATATTGATTGACAATAATTTAACATTTTTTTGGGGCACAGTTTTGGAGGTTTGCTTTTTACACATTTGAAATCATCTATCAATCATTTAACAATTGTACTATGATACTGACTTATTAGGTCTCTTTAATTATTTTCAACATTCGCATGGCGAATCACCATGATCGTCTACATATCTACATCTTCATATTTAAAAGTGAACAAGAGATTCCTCTGTCAGTTTGTAAAAATAATTAAGTTATTAAGATTTTTGACAGTAAGCCTTCAAATCTCAATAGTTTAAAACCTATCTTTGAAGATATGCTGTAATTCTTAGTACATTTTCGTAAGCAATAAGAATAGAATGTTTCATACGTAGATTTATTATCTGTAAGCTGCAATTAATAACATACAAATGCAAAGCTAAACAATATATTTTTGAAACCATAAATCGATCAATGTTAGCCCACCATTAGAAACCTGGAAGCACTGAAACACGGCCGTTTCGTACTGGTATGGGACTCTTCAGCAGTGAGCATGCACGACTCCTGCACCCCGCAGGATTCGAACCCAGGACCTTCGGTATTGTGCGCAAACGCCTAACCATCGGACCACTGAGCCGGTGTCTAACGGTTTTAATGGTTTCAAAAATTTGTAACTTAACAATCTTCACAAAACCGTAATGCAAATTACCTGTGCTCACTAGTGACTAGTTTCGTGAGGAATCTTCTCCGAGTTTTAGTGGGAAGACGTGACCAGTGAAGTTCAACCTGTTCGGGTGTAGACAGTAACTACCGAAGACTGTGTATGAGGTTGCGCAACTCTGCGAATCGATCAAGTTAGACATTAACACCGTTAGATACAGGCTCAGTGGTCCGATGTTAAGCGTTCGCCAACGATACCGAAGGTCCTGGGTTCGAATCCTGCGGGGTTCAGGAGTCTTGGATGCGCACTGCTGAAGAGTCCCATACCAGGACGAAACGGCCGTGTTTCAGTGCTTCCAGGTTTTTAATGATGGGCCAACATTGATCGATTCATGGTTTCAAAAATGTGTAACTTAACAATCTTCACAACCCCGTAATGCAAACATATTTAGGTTGTGATTCATTTCGAGTCAACTGTGACAAATGATACAAATAAATTCCAAATTCATTTGCCGCTAATTGATAATATATCAAGGTTTTTTAATTAATTTAACAAAAAACAGTATCTTCTGCCTGATTTCTGTTCAATTTTCAATCAAAGTTCATGATCAAAGATGAGAAGAAATAAAATCAAATTAATCATGATTTAAAAAGTCCGAGATCTTCAGGTCATGGTTGGCGAGTGCAAAGACTGCTCGACGTAATCATTCAAAACCGTTTTACTTCCAACGTGTCAGGACTTCACTGGTCATGATTTACCACTAGGAACTTCAAGATTATTTGAAAGTGAGCTACTAGTGTCGACTGAATTTTGTAGTTGAGTTAAAAGTTTTATAGGTTAGCTAGTGACAACTCAGTAACCAATCATAGATTGTTTACTTTGCTTGGGAAGATATGATTCATTTGAGGACTATTGACTATACTCAATTATTTTCATAGAATTCCATAAAGTAAGTTGTTTGGAAGGTCGAATATATATCAAGATATGCAATATAATAGTTCTGTGGTGTGAGCTACTTATAAGTAGTATATGACGTGAGTAATGTCTGACAGCAGAAGATGGGGGAAGATCAAGAAAGGAAGAGTTAGAATACAATGGAATTTGTATGAAACGCATCAATAGTGACAATGGATTGATGTTTTGCAACAGGAACAGTCCAGTTCGATTTGATGAACTGATATTTTGTAAATTAACGATTTACGATATGGTTTTCCGACTTTACTGAGGAACTCTGTAATTTTCGTTGAATACAGTTCGGTTGACCTCACCTGTGTTCTCTTTCACTACAGTTCTACTAAGCGATTTTATTCATCTTTAAGATAGTTTATTGGTACTGATCTATTTCATAACTTTTGGATGACTAAAACAAAATGAAAGCTCTGAAGGTCACCTACAGCATTAAATATTGAAAATTCAATAATTGATTGAACTAATGAATTCGATTCATGAAATAGTTTGTACAGTCAGAAAAAGTGTTTTTATTTTATTGGGTTCATCTAATATTAGTTTTGTTAAATGTTTTATCAAATAGAAATGCAATCACTATAACTTTTTCATACGAATATTGATACACTTCTCTCTATGATATTTATATATATATCTTAATCATACCCATTAAAAATAGTTTACAATAATAATTGTGAAAATCATTGTATGAAAAATCCCAATAAATTCATACCATCCGAATTGAATATGCCCAATGTTTGTGAAAATTTGAATCAACACAACTGTATGCAACCTAATGTAACCAACATAAAAAATACTGACTATTTCGTATCAAATTCAAATACGTCACAATATAAAAAGTTCAATATTCACACGACAAAACAAGATGATCAACAGTGTTTAAATGATTTACAAGAAAATGAACAACAAATGTTGAATACATTGAAATCATCTAAAAAGAGGAAAGTGATACTTCAATTGAATCAGAATAAATGTGACATTGGTCTAATATTATATGGAGGTAATAAAAATGGAGTATATGTTAAACATGTAATCCCTGATTCAGTAGCTGATCAAGCAGGAGTTAGTGTAGGTGATAAACTAATCAAAGTAAGCATTGTTTTCAGAAATATTACAATATATATTTTTTTAAATACTTTTTCTCAAATAGAATAATATTAATTATCTTTTGTAGGGTGGTTAACATATGAAGTTTTGGGTTTATAATTCTTTCAACCTATCATTTATCAATTGAATTTAATTGCATCCCATTGTTGATATTTAAAGTGAAACCTGAACGTAGTAACCATCACTTCAAACACCAGAGAGTTCTTCTTAAGTCATTTTAAGTGATGACATTTATTAATCTGCTCAAAACGTACAATATTTATTATTGTTTGAATGTGCATGTATTAGTTCAGGGTTTATCTTCAGTGCAATCAATCAATCAACAGAAATGTAGAACTTCGTACGTACGTACATCAGTTCAAGCTGCCATACCTTATTAGCATAGAGATGCAATTTTCAATTCAAATCCGATGGTAGTAGAGGTAGTAAAGGCATTAGCAGTAATCTGAGAGATTAGAGTTCAACGATATTATTCAAGAAGTATTATCTAGTGAAATAAACTTAAAAAGAAAACGATAAAGGTGGTGAGGAATTCTGAAGGTTAGGATTTGAGAGAACACAAAGAATAGATCCACCTGCGCCACTGCAAACGATTTTGAGCTACGTCATTCAGGGTCTCTAACCATCGATTACTATCATCTCGCGGGTTCCAAATAGGTAGTCGACACCTACTAACATGACTGAGTCCACTTATCAGTGACTTCACGGATTTGTGCCATAATTTGGTTTGGCCTCCTTCAGATTTCTTTCAATCTACTTCTATGCCACAAAACATAGCACGTTGAGGCAGTCGGTGGTTGGGCTTACGTAACACATATCGCAACCACCTCGACTGATGAAGTTTCAATACTTCATCTATTGTCCTACCATCCTTACCTAGTACCCGTTTCCTAACAACAGCATTGCTTACTCAGTTTTCCCATGATACAAAAGAAAGGCTTCTGCGACACATATGCTCATTTGTTTAGTCTCTTAAAAAAATCCATATAGCAACAATGTTATACTTTATCAAAGTAAAAATACACACAATAAAGAGTAGATTCATTTATAAACTTTTTTACTATTCTATTGAACATTTTATATCTCAAATACTATAATCATACATTGTATAAAGAATATCCACCCTGAGAGTCATATATATCCAGTTAAGAAGTTTCAAGTAAGACTGAATACTCATCCTCAGTTCCAATTCAAGCTACATATAAGGAGTTTAGTGAACAGACAAGTTGAGTCAATCTAACCTTATTTATTCAAACATTGTGAACTAATTGTGATTTGTAAACATGATTCGTTTTAATGCAATTTTACAGATGGAATGCATTTCTACTGTATCCTGTATAACTAAATTTGACTACTACATAGATCTCGCATGTTAATTGTTTTACGTTATATAAATGTAATATATGGTGCTGAATGAGCTTTACAACTTACAACTTAAATTCCTTAGGTTCAGTAAGATCTTCAACCCCCATTGATAGTCTTTTTCAGTGATCTTGTTGTCCAGAATAACGACTGACAAATTCACCGTTAAACCATGAAGCTTTAAAAAACAAAAACACCACCTAAATGATCATTTTAGATTATTTTATTTTCATTTTTTCAGTTAAATGATACAGATTTAAAAGGATGGACTAAAGAAGAAGTATTTCTTGCTCTTATGGCTAATGAAAATAAAATAATACTTGAACTACTTCATGATCCATTATCATTTCATAAAATGCTTGAAAGTGAAATGCCTCATGAAAGCTTTTTTGTTAGAGCTTACTTTAATATGAATCAATATGTTTCTGGTTCATCAGCACTGATGTCATCAGTTAAATATTCTGGTCTTTATATAATGAAAGGTGATATATTTCATATTCATGATACCTTGTTAGATGATGCACTTGGAACTTGGCTAGTAAGTTGAACAGTGGTTTGTTTTTTAGTAATTGAATCTTTTAGAAGAGACATACAGTTGCTAGCTTCGGAATATAAGACACCTCTTCTGTTCTAAATGAGACGCGATGAGCTGGATGTATCTGAACGTTAGTGTTGATGTCCGCTCTGGAACTCAAACCTGGTACATTTCGCTTTAAATAAGGATGCGTTAACCGTTTAGCTACTGAGCTTCAGTAGCTACTGCTAGCGATTATCCATCTCTGTTTCAAAATGCTTATGACTGTTGACACTAGTGAAATAGTCAGCTCAGAATGGACGTATGACAAAAGATACTGGAAGACTTCAGTCCTTAACAGCAACAACGGGAAAATTCAAGCCCTTACAACGGAATTCGATTTTATTATCTTGTATTTCTATATTCTGTTGAACAATGAATGGATTACTTGAACTAATATCACTGAAGTAGACCTGAGAAACAGGGTAGATTGTGCTGGTGTTCTTTTTCTGGATAACTATTGTTAGAAGACAATAGTCTTTAATTTATTCAGCTAGAAATAATCAAGACATCAATGATGGGAATATGGAAGAGACCTAATACATTTGTTGAGCACCTTAACATAGGAAGCCAGTCATTGATCATTGGAATTCGGCTTGTGTATAAAATGAACACATCACATATACATGACTTAAGGAACCTCAAAATGTCTTTTACGTATAATGAGCTATTCTAAGAAGGCATTCCAATTTTATATATGATATTATATTTTACAGGCAACAAAAGTTTATCCGAATACCAGTAATATTGGTCTTATACCAAATGAACAAAGAGCACAACGGTATATATCAACTAATCAGTTTCAAGTAAGTATGATTGTTTAAATAAGGTGAGCAGTTTGACAGAGTGATCACATAGTAAATTGAACATTGTTAACGGGTCTTTTTGACTAAACATATATTAAAATATAAGAAAACACACTGAATGTAAATGTTAGAATCTTTGGTTAAAATACAATCATAACTATTTGGTTGTTAGGATAAAACAATAATATCAATGGAGTGAGTTACATTTTCGAATAAATTTACTTAACGTAGTTTCTACTGAGTAACCTTAGAGTTTAACAAGTACACGGTACTTGTATTTTAATATACGTTTAAACAAAGAGAATTTAATTCTTCCTCCATACAATTGCTTCATACATCCTTCATCTTAGTTATACACAGTGAAAATATAATTTCAAATATACCCAGTAAAATATAATGAATTTAACTTTAGACGAATCAAGTGGTTTCGTAGACTTGTTTATACGGTGGATGATCTTTGTCATTAAAGAATGTTATCGCCATAAATCATAAAATATCTCATTGTAATACATTTTTTTCTGTTAGTCAGTGAAGTTTAATACTCTGGAATTTTGAATTAAGGTAAGAATAATTTGTCATGCAATCTTCGAGAAAAAATGTCAGCCTCTATTCACTTCCGAAACCTAATGAATTACTAAATAAAGTACAATCTTATTTCCTTTCACTATAAATACTTTCTAGTGTAAAAAGGTCTATAAAATAGACATGTCAGTTATTCAATCATCAATGTAGATCATAACACACTTGTGTTTAGATCCACGCAGCCGTACCACATTGGCACAATGAAATGGTAGTTATGATTTGAATATCAAAAACAAGTCGCAATATCGTAATAGAATTGAATATGAGAAAGACAGACTATTCAGAATATGGTTCAAAAGGGTTTATGGAAAATGTAGGTATAAAAAGAAAGCTTCAGCTAACTAACTATCATCACATAGAAAATGAATGAATATTGGCTATTGTGAACGAATCTAAGCTATGCCAGATAATCTCTGAGACAACTGGTTTATGGTTTAAACAAGACGTTAGTTTTTTCTTGAAACCAGTTGTTAATATAGTATTGACGATTAATTAATGAGTAATTATGTGAAAATCATTCATTTAGCAAGCCAATTTCGTTTCTGTAACACAATTTGTTATTTAAAAGCTACCGTACTTTTCGAAGTGATAGTTGTTTTTAGGTGTTTCCACCTGTACAGTTATCAATGTATTACAAAAGATAGTACAAACCATACAAATATTAGTTTTAGATAAATCAGTCAATGTCCGACATTAGAAGTAATCAATTTCAAATTGTTTGTGTAGTGAACATTTACAAAATACCCATTTGCAAAACTGAAAGTTCATAATATAAATGGTAAAAGACAACCACTGTAAAGTGGTTACTTGTGATCTTTATAGCAAAAAGATTTGAATACACTACTTACAGTAGTAATGTTATCTCGAATTATTGTTATAATAATGATCGTTATATCGTAAGAATTATGAAACATAAATTTACAACTAGTAATCTGGCAGATAGTAATAAGGAAGTAATATCAGGAAGTCTATAATGCAAACTTATTTTCCATTCATAAACCTATTTTCTTTTACTGGATCCAAATGACATTTGCTAAGTAGGTGAGAAATAATCTGAAACGCATCGGTGAAGAATTGAGAGAATAATTTGAACCTAATAAAGGTTCCAATATATTCTGTTTGATTTCAACAATTTATTACAAGAAAAAGATCATGTACCTAACAAATTGCTACATTACGGATCAATGTGGAGCAATCAATAGAATGGAACTCACCACTCTACATCAACTTAATCGACTACGAGAAAGCGTGGACAGGAAAACACTGTGGAGGCTTCTTCGACACTACGGTGTGCCTGGGAAAATAGTTAACATCATACGAAATTCTTATGATGGATTCAACTGCAAAATCGTACACGGAGAACAGCTAACAGACTCTTTGGAGGTGAAGACCGGTGTCAGGCAAGGTTGCTTACTCTGACCCTTTCTCTTTCTTCTGGTCATCGACTGGATTATGAAGACGTTGACATCTGGAGGGAAGTACAGTATCAAAGGGACAGCCAGGATGCAGATTGATGATCTGGCTCTTCTATCAAACATACAACAACAAATGCAAGAGAAGACGACCAGTATAGCAGCAGCCTCTGCAACAGTAGGTCTCAACATACAAAAATGGAAAAGGCGAAATTCTCCGATGAAACACAACATGCGCCAACCAAATCACTCTTGATGAAGATGCCTTAGAGGACGTTAACACCTTTACATATCTTGGCAGCATAATCGACAACTAAGGTGGATCCGATGCAGATGTGAGGGCGCGGATCGGCAAACAAGGGCTGCATTTCTACAGTTGAAAAATATCTGGAAGTCCAAACAAATATCAAGTCAACACCAAAATTAGGATTTTCAATAAAAATGTCAAGACAGTTCTACTGTATGGATCGGAAGCTTGCAGAACTACGAACAGTTGTCTACGCAAAATACTTCGTATTCCTTGGCCAGACACGATCAGCAACAACGTACTGTGGGAGAAAACGAACCAGATTCCAGTGGAGAAGGAAATCAGGAAGAAGTAGTGGAAGTGGATAAGACACACATTACGAAAAGAACTGCGTCACAAGACAAGCCATCACTTGGAACCCTCAAGGTTGGACAGAATGGGAAAGGGAAGCCCAGGACAGAGTTGGTTGGAAAAAACTGGTGGGCGGCCTATGCTCCATTGGGGGTAACAGGCGAAAGTAAGTTTTACGAGAAAAAAGAAATTAACACAGTTTATCACATATTTAGTATACTTATCATACTGTAACTATATATGAATATATTTTCACATTAACAGGAGAAGAATCAACAAGAATCATTTCCCATTCCATCTTATGAAAGAGTTATACAATTGGATAAATTCCCTTTTCCTAGACCAGTTGTAATTTTTGGTCCATTATGTGAACTGGCACGACAACGTCTAACACAAATGTCATCGATAATATCAACTAAATTAGATTATTTCTTAGAAGAACCAATGAAATTTATTATTCCACCAATTAATTCATCTTTCACATCTCCTCATCATGTCACTCATAATAATAATGGTTATTCAATGCATGAAGAAAATGTGAACAATAATAAACCATTAGGTTTGATAAGATTGAGTGCAATTAGTGTAAGTGAGTCTATGATTAGATTGTATTTTATTTTTAAATTAAATTTAAGATTATCATTTCATAGTGTTTCATAACGTTTTTTTTAAAAAAGAATTGGATACCTGAGAAGTAATCATTTGTTAGTGTGCAAAAAACACTAATCTTCGTAACTTTAATTGAAAAATTGTAAAATATACTCACTACTGACTAGTTTCATCAGGAAATTCTAGGAGTTCTAGTGAGAAGACGTGACCAGTGGAGTACAGCTCTGTCGGGTGTAGGCAGTAACTACAAAAGATTAATGGTTGAAGTCGCATAAATTCTGTAGATTGATCAGAGTTAGACATTAACACCGTTAAATGCCGGTTGAGTGGTCCAGAGGTTAGGCTTTCGCTGGCAAGCCTCAAGGTCCTGGGTTCAAATCCTGCAGGGTGCAGGAGTCGTGGATGCGCAATGCTGATGAGTCACATATCAGAACGAAACGGCCGTTCAGTGCTCCCAGGTTTCTAATAAGGGTCTAACAATGACTGATTGGTGAGTTCGATGTGTAAAAGCACTAATCTCCATAACTCTAATTGAAAGATACCTGAGTAAATGATTCGAACTATTAGGTTTATATAACATGTTGATAATTACTAAGCAAGGTTCAAGGCATTAATAAATCTGTATTGACAGAATTTTAATTTTAAAAAATGTATTTAACTTGTATGAGTTTGAATTCCCTTGTTCTTGCTGTTAGTGGATGTAACTGATCAAATTCTATATGAATCCTTAGTAGATTGATTTAGTATTGTCGTCATTCAAACAAAAATTTCAATATGATTTATACTAGTTGCCCAAGCTAGTAGATGTTTGAAAGCGGCAACCCTGTGAACTACTTGTTAAGCGTTTAAAAGGAAATATTTGATGTTGAAGTCTAAGTGTCAACATCAACACTGTAATAAAAATACATCTAGCTGTTTAACCCTCAGAGGGGATGAAACAAGCCTCCTAAATACCAGTCTCAACTACTAATAAATTTTTATTACACAGAATGTTTAACCAGTTTATTCGAAAATACTGAGTTATAACATGACACCGAGTGTCCTGCACAGCAGTTTTCTCCGTCCAACTTTATGACTGTGAAACATGGCCGGTAAGAGTTGAGGACATTCATATGTTATTAGTTTTCGAATATAAGTGTCTTCGGAGGATTACTCGTGTATCCTTGGACAACTGAGTAAGCAATGCTATCGTTAGGAAACGAGTACTAGGTATGAATGGTATATCGATAGATGAAGAATTGAAACTTCATCAATTGAGGTTGTTGTGACATGTGTTACGTATGCCTAACCACCGATTGCCTCGACGAGCTATGTTTTGTGGTGTAGGAGTAGGTTGGAAGAAAGTTAGGGGCGGTCAAACCAAAACATGGCAGAAACCCATGAAGTCACTGACAAGTGAACTGAGTCATGTTGGTAGATGTCGACTACCTGGTTGGGGTCTGTGAGACGATATAACCGATGACTAGAGTTCTTGAACGACATGGCTCAAAATCGTTTGCAATGGCACAGGTGCATCCACTGCTTGTGTTCCCTGAAATTCTAATCTTCTGAATTCTTCATCACCTCTGTTTTTCTCTATCTAAGTTTATTTCACTAAGTTATACTTCTTGACTAATTTTTTCGAAGTATAATCTTCTCTATTACAGGTAATACTTCCAATATCACTAACGCAATGGAATTTGAATTAACTATTGCGTTTCTGTGCTACTATGGTATGGCAACCTGAACTGATGTACGTACGTACTAAGTTCTACATTGTAACTGACTGAATGACTGACTGACGACACCGGATTAATTGGCTTTTGTAGGACTGTCTTTGTTACACTTAAACTTGATTGCTTCTAATGCTTTTCTCTTTAATAATTGGTCAAATACTATTCCTAATAAACTATTTTCTTTAGTCTCCTTTGAAATATCTTGTGGTTTCTGACATCTCTTAGAGCACCTGGTTAATAACTACTTATTTAGTATTTCCAAATAGCTTCTAATATGCTTTGAATGTGTCATTATATATATATATATATATATATATATATATATATATATATATATATATATATAATATGTATATAAGTATATATATATACGTATAAATGAAGAGGCCTTAATGTATGCATCTAAGCATCAAGGTAAACAAACCATAATCTCAATGGTTTCATTGCACTTCACTCATACTATTCAATACCACTAAAATCATTTATCAAACTTAACCCTCCAAGTTATTGGAAGAGAAGCTGTAAGGTTTCTATTCATGCTAATGAAAGACATAAATCTTAGCAAACTAATTAGAATCAATTCGACTCAGATAATTAATGTAACAATAAACATGACTCAGTGCTATGAAGCATATTGGAATGAAGATAGTGATTTGAACTTGTTAATTTTAAGTAGACAGACACAAGTTTGTAGTATTTCATTTTGAATTACTATTTACTGGTTGACTTCACTTCAGAGTATCATTCAATAAAACTCATCACTTAGGCTTGCTACATAATGAATGTTCATTTCACTTAAAGTTGCAATGTAATTTTATGACATATTTCAGTGTCCATTTAGAAATATTTTACTGGCCAAATTACCTGATTGATTGATTGTATGCGTATGTTAACATTCTTATTAAATGTTTCCTGTCAATTTAGTTCTCGAAAAAAATGCTAAAATTAAAAAAAACCAATAAACGTTTTTTCCATATTAACCAGGTTTCTCAATTACCCCTGGTGTATAAAGTTCTTTTAGTGCAAATATTATCAGTTTGATAACAACTGTGTTGGGGACGTTAGAACCCCAGAACTCACTCTGAAAAAGGCCTAATTTCCCATCTGGAAAACCCTTAACTGTCATTGTTGGATGTATTCTTTTGTTGCTGTCCCAAAGTCGTTACGATCATGTATAAATAAACTCGATTCGTGTGCTTATCAACCTCATATTTCTGGGTGCTTGTTGAATACACTACTTGATATAGTGAGCAGGGCCTGGGACAACAGATTAGAATAGCCTACCGCGTCACTGCATCAATTGTCTTCGCTCTCGTCTACCGAGTAAGATGAAATCGTAATTGGTTCAAGCATATCAGTTGACAAGCATATCAAGCTGTAATAAATATTTCTTGTAAAAAGGTTTAAGTATTTCAGAAATTGTCGAAAACTTCACTTAAATGTGTTTAATTAATATATTTGAAAGTCACAGTTCTCAATATGGTATTATATAAGACAAAGCAAACAGTTCAAGAACTGAAACAGTCATCTGATAACAAATAAAATTGTCACAAATTTCACCTTGATTTCGTTTTTCTTGCCTTTTTTTCTGCTAATTTTTATCGTAGATACACGGTCATTGATTAAACTTATAACACTTATTAGTAAGCAATTACAGTTATCCACTAAACGAAAAACTGCACTACACATGCTTATATGTTTTACGAAACAAAAAACTAGCTACGCCATTTCATAAAAAATATTCACTGACAACAAATGAACAAGACTGATTCAGTAAACTAGATGAAAATGTTTCAACAGAAAGAAACGTCTTTTTTTAAAATGAAATCCTTTATTAGTTAATAGATTTGTAACTTCAGCGTTTGGTTGGTTTGCGTTTAGCCCTGAGAGACCCTGTATGCGGGGTGGGTGTGTGAGGAGCAGCGTGTAAGATTATCTGGAAGAAGAAAGAACAAGAGGAAAAGATGAGCCGACGATTCAGTAAGCGTATAGAATGATGCACTTACTTGCAATAGAGGAATAAATAGACAGCAACAAGAAATAAAGCCAGCGTGAGATTAAGACAAAACGACACTAGGAGTTGATAGAGTAATAAGATTTCGAATGCGTTACATATTAATTCATGATGCATGTTCGTTTTCTCCGATTGGTCTTCAAACATTCTTTAGGTAGATAGCTCATTTTTTAATCTCTCCGTTACACTATTTTCCTTATTACAACCTTACTTTTAATTCTGATTGACTTTAATTACCTCGGTTAACAACACAGTAATCCTCTATTTTTATTATTACAAACAGCTATTTATTAATAATATACTGTAAAATACAATTGTATTGCTCTGTTAAACAATTTCTCTGTTTACTATTCAGTCAATAAATCTGAAACTAGAAAAAATTATTTAAGAACCCGGTTTATGTTTGACATAGTTTTATAATAATATAATACACATTTGAAATCATCAATCAATCAGTGTTAGACCACCATTAGAAACCTGGAAGCACTGGACGGCCGTTTCGTCCTGGTATGGGACTCTTCAACATTGCTCATCCACGACTCCTGCACCTCGCAGGATTCGAACTCAGGACCTTCGGTATTGTGCGCGAACGCCTAACCATCGGACCACTGGGCACGGCCGTCCAGTGCTTCCAGGTTTCTAATGGTGGTCTAACAATGATTGATTGATGATTTCAAATGTGTAAAAACACAAATCTCCAAAGCCCTAACTGAAAATGATGTAATAAATGACAATAAACTCTTTCAATGCATTATTTTAATAATTACACTGCTTTCAGATTATTACAATGATTAGTGTACTACATTTCTTTTTATCCATTCATAGGAATGCATGAAAAGAGGTTATCATTGTCTATTGGATATTGGTCCAACAGCTATTGAACGACTTATCCTCCTTGGAATCCCTCCTATTGTGATCTTGGTTAATCCATCATCTAAAAATCAATTAAAAGATTTGTTGAAACATTATTGGCAATTTAATAAAACTTCCAATGCTTTATTCATACCATCAAGAGGCACTAGTCGTACACGTCCTACAATCAAAGAGATGGTTACATATCTATGGAATTCTGTAATACATTTACGTCAATATAAATCACATGTTATTACTGATACTGTACCATTATTAAATGTTACTTCAAAAGAGAATTCTTTTTCTGAAATTGAATGGTTACGAAATTTATCTGAAGTGATAAGGCATCAACAAAATTCACCGGTAATCAGGAACGCTTGCTTTCATTTATTAACATTTTTAACTATTGACACAGATTTTATTATCAGCAAATAAATAGTTTATTCCACAGTTGACTTACTGAACTACTTCAAATGATGTGTTTGTGAACATCTATGGATTTCATAGTTCCATCATGGAATGAACTTAGTTAGATTAGTAGTGGACACTGGAAAGTATTGAATACTTGCTACATTTTACTATACTTAACTCATCACCAACTGTTATAAATATAACAATGACATTTGATTTGAATAAGTAATTTATCAACTACCAACAATTTTCCCCAAAAAAATCAAAGATATCAATCTTTAATGTCGATACAATTATGTATTAACGTTTTAAGCAGTTAGGAAGTAAGAAGTTAAACCATTGGAAATGCCTTTATCCTTAATATATTAAAATGTTACTTTTCTGTTGACAAACAAGTTGGATAGTACTGTTTTGGACGGATGTAAGTCAGTATGTTCCTTGAAATGTCATTTTTAAATGTAGTCTGAGAATGTATAGTTAGAGTGATTTTTTAAAATAAAGGGCATAGTACTTCTTGAAATTAAATAAAATGTTTGTTGAGGAGTCATAGTACTTCATTCGTGTCTATGTCTAGGTTTTTTCCAAAAATAACTAAAACAAAACAATTAAAGTTATATGGTTGTTTATAGTCGGTAAATATCACCGACTGACATCAGTTTAGATGTTCCTACAACCAAGAGGTACTAGGTAGCAGTTTCATCTGAGTTGGAGACTCTTTTCAGAAGTGCACTTCCATAGCGCCTATCAATCTCATGACGTACATTTAACAGCTTGAAATTAAACAGCTGCCTTTTACTTTCTGATTGCTAATAGTGCTTTGAACGCTGACGATATTATAATGAATATTACATTTAAATTCATCTAATTTTCACAAAAAATTTCCTTACTACTTATAATATTCAATTCTAACAATTTACGAATATTGTGATGTACTTGTAATGGTATTTGTTATTGAATTTCTTAAAGTCTATTCATCATTTAATCTGTATTCCTTAAAGGTGTGGATTGGTGAAGAAACAGAAATTGGACAATTGAAAATGAATCAGTTAAATAGCGAAGAACAAGAGGAAAGCGATGACATTATACAAATTGGTATGATTATTCACAAACTTAATATCATACATTAAAGTGTATCTTTTTCAATGGGCGAAATACCTGTTAGTGTATTTTAATATAAGGATATCTCACTTGATGCCAAATCACCAATATATATAATTAGTATTCACTTGAACTCTCTCATTTTAACACAATTAAATAGTTTAACAATGTATAGTCTAACCGAACACTAACTAAATGAAATTTATCATCACACACATGATCCTGTGACGCGATAGTCTACTCTGATCCGAGCATCCCAAGGCGCCACTAAGTAGCTGAAGAAGTCTTGACATGGCGTTGAAATTGTATTCTACAAGAAAATATGAGGTTGACAAGCAAACAAATCGAGTTTATTTATCCATGATAGAAACGTCCTTGGTAGATTCCCAAAAACAGCGTACTAAAAAAATGCATTAACCAATAACAGTCAAGAATTTTTCCGAATGGGAAATGTAATCTCATGATCAGTCCATGCACTAAAATACAAAATCGAAAATTAGGACCTTTATCAAGTGAGTTCTAGGGATCTAACGTCACAGATACGTCCTTGGGAGAGTCACAAAAATAGCGTACTGAAATAATGCATCAACCAATAACAGTCGAGGATTTTTCCGGGTGGGAAATGTAATCTCAAGGTCAATCGATCAGTCCAGGCACTAAAACACAAAATCGAAAATTAGGACCTTTATCAAGTGAGTTCTAGGGATCTAACGTCCCCAACAATTATCCTTGAATAACTGTAAGTGCATATACACTGTGTCGACAAAATATTTATATTCAAGTGCTAATCACTGCATATCTCATAGAAAATAATGTTTATTTTGATTACTTTTATTGTTGATAGAAATGAAAACAACAGCTTACAAATGTCAGCAGAAAATAAAAAAAGACACTTGAGACTTAGTTAATTTTATAAGTTTCAGTGACTGTATCATCGTAGTTACGTAAAGAAGCCATTAATCTTGTGAGATAATACATTTGGTATACGAAATGAATCACAACCTAAATATTTTTGGCATCATCACCTTGTCTTCTTGTGAATAAGCATGAGTTATAGACATATTCATTCAACATTTCCCCAATACACATTCCCATCTAAATAATGATTTCATCACCTGTATGGTTGCCGAACCAAAACATGGCACAAATGCATGAAGTCATTGACAAGTGGACTGAGTCATGTTGGTAGATGTAGGCTACCTGGTTGGGGTCCGCGAGATGATAGTCACGGATGGTTAGAGACCTTGAATGACATGGCTCAGAATGGTTTGCAATCGCGCAACTGCATCCACTCTTTGTGTTCTTTGAAATTCTAAGCTTCTGCATTCCTCATAATCTCTACCTTTCTCCTTCTAAGTTTATCTTACTGAATTATACTTTTCGAATTTTCTCCATTATTGCTCATACTTCTATTATTGCTATCACTCTTGGATTTGAACTGACAGTTGCGTCTCTGTGCTGATGGGGCATGGCAACCTGAACTGATGTATGTACGTACGAAGTTCTGCGTTGTATCTGTCTGTCTGTCCTGTATGGTTGAGTCATTTATATCACATAACCGGATCGCATGCTGTCACATTCAAAAACCTATTGACTAAGTATCCATTATCACACAATTCAATAAGTGATACTTTTGACTTTTAAGTCTCTTCTCTATGTAGCATAAATGTATAATTGATCAAAATGCTAATATTTACATATTTTTTTTACAGTAAAATACATTTATTTATCCGCCATTCATCACCGAAAACTTGAATTAAATATGATTTAATAAATTAATCTGTTATTCTATCTTATTATTTATACAAAATAATAGGTTGCTTATTTTTTCTTAGTTTTGATATATACTTTAGCATAGAATACGATAATCTAGGTTACATTTACACTTATAATTTACATTTTTCTCTTCACAAACATTGAGACATATATGAGACTGTTTTATCAAAGATGATTTACATAAAACTTGCATTAAATGATAGAATTCTAATGACTGTAGCTAATCAAATAATTCAATACAAACATTTACTTCTATAGGATGTATCTCAACAATGTAGGATATTATTGAAAATTGAAATACTTTATAAGTTGAGAAAAGTGTATGTACCTTTATTATTCGAAACAAAGTCGTTTTATGCTGTAGATATTCATTTATCTTCTTCTAAATAAAGCAATCAGAATACTATGGTCTATTGATACGTTCGTTACAGGTATGAATTTACATAATAGAAAGATTTAGTTTATATTTATATTACCAAATATCAATATACAAAATTCTATTGTGTACACCTAATCGTCTTTCTGTGTAATCATTTTTCTATAATTGTTTTTTCGATAAGAAATATGTGATTATCATGTCGAAAATTGATATTACGTAACATATGTCTTTTCTCAATATTCATGTCATTAAAATGTTTTATTCTGAATGAATCTATTTTCATAGTTTGAAACTTCAACGGATTCTTTACATAGTTGACAAATAAATTATGTATATTTTCGTTAATGCTCTTTGCATTCTTTTATGAATGAGAATTTCACTATGTCTACAATTTATATGAAGCCTTTAAAAATAAAAACTGGCTGTTTACTGACTGATGACTGAGTTTTGAAATGAACGAGCCAATGGTTTTAATGAAGATTATGATTTATAGGATCAACTGAATAAGGAATAAGTAAACATGAGAATGTAATCAATAAGAGTTTGAACGTGGTAGTGTATTAGTATCACGCTCATCGTCAGATTAAGGATAGGCTTCAGTTAGACGTGTACAAATCTGGGGAACCCGGTTAGTTGTCCATGTACGATCTAAACTGAGGTATGGACTGAGAAATAACTGTCTAGGTAGTTTAGATACGCGCTATTACCCAGTTGAAACCAAAACAAGTGATTGGGTAAATAACGGTCCAAATATTCATCATAAATATAAATGTACATCATTACCTAAACAATATTACCACGCAGTTATTCCACCAACAACTCTCCAATTATTCAAATCAACATCAACAAATAAATGTTATTCTATCCGTTGTGGATAGATCAGATTCGTTCGAAAGATAATATTTGGTAGCTTCATAACATAGAGTGCTTCTTATTCTGGAAGGGTGCTTCAATTCACTATCAAAATGCACAATTCTAGTCAAGGTAAAAAACACAATCAAAAAAGGAACAAATCAATATTTTGGGGCACAGTTTTGGAGGTTTGCGATTTTTTAAACATTTGAAATCATCAATCAATCATTGTTAGACCACCATTAGAAACCTGGAAGCACTGGACGGCCGTTTCGTCCTACAATGCGTTCGCCTACAATTCCAAAGGTCCCGGGTTCGAATCCTGCGGGCTGCAGGAGTCGTGGATGCGCACTGCTGAGGAGTCCCATACCAGGACGAAACGGCCGTCCAGTGCTTCCAGGTTTCTAATGGTGGTCTAACACTGATTGATTGATGATTACAAATCAATATGGCTGACGCCATGACTAAGTATCAGTTTAAACAACATAATGCAGTTCAGAAAGAACTATAGAAATCCAATAAAGGCACAAAACATAGAAACTATAATAATAAAATACAAATATATTATCATCTCAAAAATGGAATTGAACAGATTAACAAAATGTAAAACTGAATAAATCAATAAGGACAAATTACAAATGTATACATGAAGGGATTTTCACAAACAAAGCCTTCAAAAATGAATCTTACAGTCCATTCAGAATTAATTCTCAATAGTTTCTCAATAATTTTGTTTGTTTTTTCTAAACAATTGTTTTACTTATCCAATAACCGGTCATTACTTGTAATAGAGAAAAAAGAACGTTTTACAAAACAATAACATCTCAATGAATTGGTTTTCATTGATTAATTGTATTAGTAATATCATATTCAACATTAAAAATATAGTCAAATGCAAATGCTTATTTATAATAAAACATAGACATTTCATTATTTTCTCTAATATATCACCCAATTCATCATATATATATATATATATATATATATATATATATGTAAATTAGACAAATTACTCAACGTTCGTTTATCTTTTCATCATACTTGTACATTGTATCATAAGTGTTTATCTTGCCATGACAACATAACTAACTACACATCATATTGCTGTTTAATGCCATTTTAGATCCAGAAACACCAAGACCAGAAGATTATAAGAATAACAGCTACAATGAAGCGGAAGAAGAAGAAGAAATAAGACCATTATTTCATAACGGCATAAAAAAAACAAGACCGGAAATGAATGATATAGTTAGAAATGAAGTTAATTCAACAATACCTGAAGAAAATAAATACATACCTTCATTTCATCAAGTCCCAGTGTATCATTCAAATGAAGTGATGAAACCTACCGATAAAAATGCTTCATTTAAATTGAAAACAAAAAATTACTGTGATTGTACATGTAGTGTTAATAATGCAAATCCTATAAATCAAGAAGAAACTAATATCAAGGAAATACACAAACAAACAGGTTGCCGAATATTTTTATCATTATGAATGTATACTAATTTACTCAGTGTATTTTTCTTATTTTTGGATTATAGTCATGGACTCAAGACAAATGGATGAGGTCACGCGAAATCCCTAGATTGATCAGAGTTAGACAAAAACATCGTTGGATGCCAAACCAGTGCTCCAGAGTTTAGGTGTTCGCGCTAAAGATCGAAGGTTTTCGGTTCGAATCCTGTGAGTAGCAGGAGTCGCGAATATGCACTGATAATGAGTCCCACACCAAAATGAAACGGCCGTCCAGTGCTTCCAGGTTTCTGAGGGTGGTCTCAGTTAGTCAGTTACAACGCAGAACGTGGTACGTTCGTACATCTGTTCAGATTTCCATACCACATTAGCACATAGACGCAACTGTCGATTCAAATCCGATAGTAGTAGAGGTAGTAGATATATTAGCAGTAATCAAAAAGAATAATGATTGAATATATCATTCGAGATGTATACCCCAGAGGAATCAGTTAAAACACGGTCATGAGGAGTTCATAAAGTTAGGATTTGAGAGGATTTGTAGAATAGATGCGCCTGCACCATTGCAAACGGTTTTCAGCCGTGTCATTCAAGGTCTCTGACCATCGTCTCATGGACACCAACCAGGTAGTCTACACCTACCAACATAGCTCAGTCCAACTGTCCGTGACTTCATGGATTTGTGCCATGTTTTGGTCTGACCACTCCTAACTTTCTTCCAACCTACTCCTTCAATACAAAAGCAGCTCGTCGAAGCAGTCGGTTGTTAGGCACATGTAACATGTCCCAACTACCTCAAATGACGAAGCTTTGATACTTCGTCTATTGATCCGCCATTCTTATCTAAAGACAGCATTGCTTACTCGACAGTTCCAAGATAAACGAGCAGTGCTTCAGAGGCGTCTAAGATCGGAAACCAGTAACCTAATAGTGGTTTAACAATGAATGATTCATGATTTCAGTGTGTACTTTAAAGGTCTTGGGATTGTAAAATTTTTCATTTAATAAGGATTTTGAACAAAATGGTATAAAAATCTGTAAATGCAGAACACTGGTTGTCAATAATCGATTAATAAGTCGAACTAAATGTGTTGGATTCGCTCTGAAGAATTGATATCTGATGTCACTGTCTATTGATGGTATCCTTAGATACAAACAACCATTTTTGCCAACTTTGCGAACCACTTTTGTTTTATTAGTTCATTGACGATCAGCACTGACGACAATTTCAGTGATCAGTTACGATAAAACAAGAACCATTTGTATTGAGCTTTGTAAATTCTAAAGAAAAGAATTTTCCAAAAACGTAAACTCAGAACAATACATTCAGAGAGTTGTTTATCGATTTTTGCGGTAGGACAAACCGCAAGATATTTGTAGAAATAAAATGAATCGAATGTCGAATAAACACTATCACTTGACTAAAAAGACTTGTATACGGTTAAATCATTGATTTCGTGTTATGAATTAGGTCTAGTAAGCTGAATTTAGTTGGTGAGTTGTCACTGTCTTAGCTTTATTTATTACCTAGTGGTTAATAGACAGATGTGCATAACAATTATATACAATAACTATGAGACCTATTAAGATTGCATATACCTCCTTAGCATCTGTAATCGTGTTAAACACAATTCACATCCTTCTTTGATTGTTCTTCATTCATCAATGGGACAGTTTTACTTCTGTTGACCTGTAAACCGTAGATTAAAACAATTGATATCATTAATTACTAAGATCAATGGATTCAAACTTACACACTCATGTGTGCTTTGTAAAAGTATGGTTTGTGAAATATTTTTCAACTGATTCATTGTTATAGTATGATCAGTGATGACCGATAATTAAAAAAAATCAATCAGTAACAATGTCGCAGTTTATTAATCAACCCACTGATTCAGTGGAAAACTAAATTTGCTGGCTTTTAATGATTTAAGCTGCACTAACACAACCTTTTAAAGAAAGCAGGCTACCTTCAAATATCTGTAGGCGCACAACAGTATTCATGATTATTCTTACGTTAGGTTGATAAAGATTAAAAGGTACTGGTTTTTAGTCGATAATCCGCTACTTAGTCGACGTTCATCGACCTAACCAGTTTTGCAGGTGTGTTCTCTAATCTGTATGTTCAGAACGTAAACATTTAGCTACTTACTGAGGAATACCAATAGTTTATGTCTTAGAAGTTTTCATTTGATATTGTTATATACAAAACAAAGCAAAGTAAAGCTTCATAATTCCACCATCCAGACAAGAGAATACAACTTCCTCGGAATCATTTAACTGAATTAGATATTTGTCAAGTTCGAAATTTTAATTAATCATTTCACTAGTCTTGTTTAAATCATTCAGTCTGTAAAATATAATTATTTTTCCATTTTTTTTTTCCTTTAAACAATCAGATATTTTATCAACGAATATTTCTCCATTTTCATTAGAAACATTAAGATTACAAATTGAATCAATGTCAATAAAATATCCACAAGTTGATAAATCATTCAATGAGAAGTAAGTAGTACTAAACTACTTCATTGTGAAGTAGACATTTTGTTCCACTTTTGTTTTCTTACGTACTTTTTACAGATTATAACAAAACATAATTGAAATAAATTCTAAGTGAATCACAAACATCCTTACCAAATGATGGAGAGGGTTGTTTTCTCAGCTAAGACCTCAACTAGCTCTTGTTTACATGATTTTAGACAGAACATAATGAAACTATCGAACTCAGAGAGTATGGATTTACTAACAACACAATGTATCATGGACTGTTATAGTTGGAAGAATGTGTGACAAATCTTTAGGTTTTCTTGTTTATAATTCACGTATATTTGAATAAGTAATGCACTAGCAATTAATAATATAACATGCGACTTACTGATCCAGCTATATTATGTTCGTCACTAAGTACGCTTGAAGCTATTATGAGTTCACCTTAGTCGATAAACGCGAACGAGGAGACAATAACCAGCGTCCAGGTAGGCTATCTTGAATCCCAAACTGCAAAACAGAAGTCTTGATAAGCGTAGAAAGTACATTTTACAACACACAGCAATCACAATACAATCAAGAACACAACTCTCGTTTATTTATACATCATATAAACGTCCTTTTGAGAGTCACAAAAATAGCACACTAATATACACAGCCGCCAATCACAGCCATGGATTTTCCTGGTGAGAAATGAAATCTCAAGGTCAACTGATCAGCAACCAGTGTTCGCAAACGTTAAATCCAATATGAGCCATTTATCAAGCGAGTTCTAGGGATCTAACATCCCCCAACAGGCATATATATATTCATGTACATAAATTAATCTAATGAAATTTAATGTATTTAATACAGCTATGTCTTTGTCTGTAAAATATACCTCGAATTAAAACAAGAAAATAAAAACTACATAGAATAGGAAGATACTATTATGTGTGTGGATTTAAAGTTAGAATATTTTGAATACGATTACACTTGTATTAACAAAACCTTATTTCCATTAGGAATTCGGTCTTGTTGATTGTAAGTAATGGACGCATGAAATAAATTATTTGATAACTGCTTAAATGATATGCTCGCCAATTGATATGCTTGAAACTATTACAAGTTCACCTTACTCGGTAAACGGAAAGATAAGCAATGACGCTGTAACACGATCGGTTATTCTAATCCGTTTGTCCCAGGCCCTGCTAACTAGATATAGAAGTTTTGATAAGGTGTTGAGAAAGTATTCTACAAGTACCCAGAAAATATGAGGTCCCTAAGCACATAAATCAAGCTTATTTATTTACCAACGCCCTAGAAAGAGAGCCACTAAATAGCGTACTAAAATAATCCATCAACCAATGACAGTCAAACATCTTCCGAGGAGGAAAATGTAAGTTGAAGGTCAACTGGTGTGAAAACATGTAAATTCAAAATTTCAGAATAGAATTACAATATTAAGACCTTTTCCAAGCGAGTTCCAGGGATCTAACGTCCCCAACATGAAACAACTATTATTTATAAACAACCTGTCAGCTTAAATATGAGATTTCAAATTTGTAAACTTAGAAATATATGATCAGTTCAAGTAGTTAGTGAAATTTTTACAATAGTATAAAATCTTTACACAAAAGTATTCTCAAGACTGTATAAATATTGAGAAAAAATGTAACAACTTTGACTTTTTCTTACGTTATATATGTGTAGTGAAGGAGAACACAGGTGAGGGCAACCGAATTGTACTTAACGCAAATTACAGAGTTAATTGGTAAAAAGGAAAACCATATCGTAAACCGTTAATTTGCAAAACATCAATCCATCATCAATCCACTGTCTGACATTTCACTGTTCATGCGTTTCATACCAATTCCATTGTGTTCCCACTCTTCCTTTCTTGATCTTCCTTCATCTTCTGCTGCCAGACATTACGTTTTCACTCGCGTCATATACTACTTATAAGTAGCGCGCACCACATATGTACAGTCTGGATTATTTCCCAGCGGTGAAAATAAAATTTTTATTCCTATCTTTTATGAAGTCATAATTAATTTAAGAATAATCCCATTAATTTATTCTATAAAATTTATTCTATAATAAGAAACTAATTTTTCCACTATATATAAACTATCGTAACATGATAGAAAATATGTTAGTCTAATAGAACTATAAACGACATTAATGTGAATCACATTTTATGCAAAAATTTTACAATTCATGTTATCGTGTGTACATCCGGAAAAATGACACTGAGTAATTCCTGAATTCCTGATCATCTCTATCTTTCTCTTTTTAAAGTTATCTTACTGAATTATACTTCCCGAATCATGTCTTCGCACCCTAACCTTCTCCATTATTGCTAATACTTCTACTGTCTGTACTACTATGGGATTTGAACTGACAAATGCCTCTCTGTTCTGATGTAGTATGGAAACCTGAACTTTTGTAGTCAAGTACGAAGTTCTATGTTGTAACTGACTGACTGAATTCCTAAATGACTGTTTTTTAGAGATAAATTAATCTTCAATGAATTTCAGTCATTTCAGTTGGGCCCAGCCAACTTGTTAAAGTCATCACTCTCTTTAACGAACTAACGGAAATAAGGTTAACAAACAGTGTTTGTTAGAAGTAAATTTTGAGGTAATAAAAAAGGACACATGATTATATCATACTTTTTGTGTAAAATTCAAACCTTCATATATATATATATATATATATATATATATATATATATATATATATATATATATATTCATATGTATATGGTTCACTTACCACTTAGTATATGGCCATGAAGATTTTGGAGACTTTAAAGTACCTTTCATGGACTGATATTAATAACCTGAAGGGTTTTTTTTCTAGCTAGATTTTAATTGTGTTCACTTTTCATCCCATATTTCATTTAGTAAACCTACTATTAATCATAGTCATCCAATCAATGAATTAGAACTTGCTAATGGTCAAACTCCAACAATTAGCCCAACTCTATCTTTACATCAATTAATATTTGATGATATTACATCATTAGACTGTCATGTAAATGATGATGAACAAAAATCTCGATCCACGGACCGCATGAGTAATGTAGCAGCTGATCCACAATCTGGCATTTCATCACTACCTACATCACCAAGAATAATATTAGCTGAAAAATATGGAGAATTTAATTCACATGGTGGAATTTTAGAAATACCTGAACACAATGTCTGTTTGAGGATTCCTGAAGGAGCAATTGGTGAAGAGGAAGGTTTACAAAAAATATTCATAAGAGTAGGTTCTAGAAGCTGTGTATATATATATATATATATGATGTTGAAGAGTTTTAAGCTGAATTAAGTTTTAAGTTTGTAAGACTTTAAGACTTTCTTCAATAATTTATTTTAATATTTCGGTTCAGTAGTTTTGAGTACTTTTTCCCATACCCAGTTATGATTTACTTTCATAATATATATGAGATAAATATACCTTTTTTCTACAGGAATGTAGGCAATGTCCACATACCGAGTCCACTGTTTAGCATATTGTTAGTAAAGGAAAAATGAGTGTTTGTTAATATTTAGTAGTTAGAATCCATTTTTGGAAACTTACAAACATTAAAGTAATATTTAATTACACAGTTAGTGGAGACTACATTAAGTCTAATTCAAACTAATTTGACATTGAGGATCAAATATAGTGTACATGATGGTCACGAAAAAATGATGACTTGTATTAGTAAGTGGATGTTTAACATATGAAGAAGTCAAGACTAGACGGAATCTATTTGTTTGGAAAAGGTACAGTTTATTTACAAAATATACACATATAACCATCAAACATCTATTCACAATCCTAACAGCTTATTGACTGTCTTTAGCTAAATCTCCTCTGGTCTTCATTTCCTCTAAATCGTACCATGCATTCCAATCACTAGATAATCTTCTCTCTGATAGTATCTTCTAGACGATCCCTCGTTGCATACTTCTTACATGTTATTTCATGAATAGCATCCTCTACGGAGAGATCTGTGATAAATAGAATGAGTTGTTTATTTTATGGTTTGTTTAAATTTTTATGTACTTTTTGTGACACATTCTATTTGTACATAACTTACAGTCAGTTATATATTAGACTAACTTCATGGCTTTAATAGTTACTTTAAAAACTGTGTTCTCACACAAAGTTTTTCACTGTTGATAGTTGAAATTTCCTCAATTCAAAAAAATATATCTTTACACTTTTCAGCAAGTTCGGTTATGCTCAATTTATATCCCCAGTACACTAGGCTTAGTGAAAAAGTGTAAAATACAGTAGTACTTAGAACTTACTGGGTAATTGTTAGGATATTCATCCAATACCCTAAGAGAATTATTGGTCAATTCCTATTGGTTAATTCCTATTAGTCAATTTTATGGTCGTCTTAGCTATCAATGTCACAGATTTCGATACTCTTTCCTATTCGACCTAAATGTATAAATACGCATTATCTATTAAGCATTCCATTCCTTTCCTTCCTTCCTTCATTTCTACTGTACTCGACCCCATAAACAACTTCATCTAACGGTGTTGTGTTATGATTTATAGGAGATTGGGAATAGTATTCGAGGTCATATTGGAACATCTGAATTCGGACGTCGGTAGGATTTGAATAGCTACGTAGCAGCATTATAGATGTAGAAGATGATGTAGAAGACACCACTTTTTAATGTATCTCAGTGAAATGCAACATGAACATGTACTGATTAGTTCCAGCTCAAAACATTTCATCAAATAATCCGTTACTGAGGTCTTTATCAGTTTAAAGCTAAAAGTAAAGCTTAATTTTCTAAGATAAACTCTTGATGAATAATAAATTTTATTTTTTAATCTTATTTTATTAAAGGTTTATGATAGTGGAAATGAATTACCCATAGATAATTTACAATCGGAAACACATTTATCATCTGATAAACCTATATTAGTCAGTCCAATGGTTATGTGTGGTCCTAGAGGTTTAACATTTCATAAACCAGTTGAATTGACTGTTCCACGATATCCTTTAGATTCAGAATCTAGTGATGAATCAGAAACGAAATTGGATAAACATTTAGAAAAATGGAATTTATCCTTATTACATGCATCGGCAGTGTCTACTTCAACATCCACTGATGGTGATGATGATGATGATTCATTACCAAGAACTTCACGTTCAAATGAACCAACAAAATGGTATGAAATACCTTTAAGTGCTAGAAATCAATCATCTGGGAAGAATAAAATTCATTCTCAAAAACAAAAACATCACACTAATCAAGGAATTCATTCTGTTATTAAAGATTCGCATATTTCAATTTTAATTGATCATTTCTAAATTGTTTTACAATTATTTGAAATAATATCGAATTTTTCTGTTTGTTTTTTATGGTTTAAAACATCAAATTTGTAAATAACCCAGTGGAAATACATTCTAGAAATCTTTCACTTATTATGTCATTATTGTTTCCTCTTGTATCAATCAACTATTTGAATGTAATGTTTATTTACTTATTTTGTGGAAAGTGTATATGAAATACTTTCTGAAATTTTACGTCAATTGACTTTCGTATTAATGAAAGTTTGATCTACGATTTCTATACCGAGAAAAAATGATTTCTAATTTCACGCCTGGCCTATATCAAGACTAGGTTACAGGAGTGGCTAACAACAAGCGAGGAGAGGAGCGAAGTGGGAATAACAGGCTTGGCGCGCGAGAGATAGTCTTTTGTACAGATAAACAAAAGGAGTACAATATAACAATTATTGTCAGAATTAATTACAATAATAAATGTTTATATTTCAACACTTGTGTTATCTTCGTAAAAGTATACCACTACAAATGCAAAGTAGGCGAATTTCGTCTCGGTAGTGGAGAGAACATTGATAATGATAACAATCATAAGAACAATAATGATCACGCCATCTGAACTTAATGTGTATTAAGAGGGATGTTATCAAGGAAATTCTGATAAGCATTCATGTATTACGGGAAAGATGAATGTGTAGAGTCAGAAAGAGTCAGCGCAAATAGAACAAAAAATGAAATTAGAAGGTAAGACGTTTATTATATATCGTTTAGGTGTATGCTGATATAGGTGTGGACAAAGGTAACCACAAAGCTGGTTATAACTCTACCGGATGCATGAATCAAGTATTCCACAGTTGATCCAGTTGGCTCCTCAAATATGTACAGTATTCTAAATCCAGTCCCTTTGGGTAGATTGTTTGAAACATGAAACAAAACTGAGAACTCATCATCTATTTAAAGTGTAATGTTTATCATCTACCAAGTGAGGAAAAATGATAATGCTACTAAATTTAATTAACGATCTTCCCAACCTTTGCGGTGCATGTTTGAGAGCATGCGGAGGTAAAATCACATGAATGCTTATCATAATTACTTTGAGAATATCCCTATGAATACACATTATATTCAGATGATGCGATCATTATAGTTGCTATCATTGTTAGTTTCACTATCGAGAGGAAATTCTCCTACCATACAATTCATTCACACGATTTATATTTCAGTTGCTATTGCAGAATTTCAAAAGTATTTGTAATCATAGTGCTGTCTACCATATAACATCTTGACTGACTCAGACTTTATGAGACGATACAAACAGAAGTTAAAATCAACACTTCTGCAACGACAAAGCAGCATAAAATTAACATCACCAGAAAATAAATGTATTCATATCCATTTCTTCATCAATTTCATTATTTATCAAATTAGTAATATGTTACCATTCGGTGATCAAGTTGTATATTTTATTTAAAAAAATATTCAACACGCGTTTCCCACACTAGTTGTATTATTTTGAAAGTTCACAAATACTAAGTTCTCTAACTTGATTTAACTGATACAAACGTTCAGTGTATCTTGCTAAAATCTATGATGCAGTAGTAATAGTTATCGACTAATTTACTACCTTCATCTCCTTCTATATGAATTCATTTTTCTATAACAAGACGGTAAAATAACCACATTTTGATTGGATATTTTTGTTACTCTTTACAATAGCCACTTGCGAAAATTCCTGATCACTGATAGATTAATTGGAGGCAGTTTTAATATATCTTTATGGATATATTTTATGCAGTGTTAGATTAGAGTATTAAATGTTTACACAATAGTTTTAACTCCTGACGTAGTCTTTGGATTCAAGAAATCAGAAGAATACACTGCTTGAGATATATATAGGAATGTCTGAGTTAAGACTATCATTTTATCTAAATAACTCTCTTGAAAAAGTTTATTTACATCAGAGAACATCATATGTAAGTTCAGAACTATTCTAAATCTATAACTGAATGTTTCTTAGATTAGAATTCTTAGTTAGCTTGGTAAAGTCCATGACTATCACAACTGTTGCACCATTCAAATGTTTCCCTACCATTCATTCCTGTTTTATATTTTCTTATAAGATAAACTATTCTCTCAACATAAGATTTCGATTTCTTCAATTCCTTTTGTCGTGTAGCCTTCGAGTTTATGAACTTATTATTATGTCACGCTTTACAGTGATGCAAAATACAGGTAGTACAACTGATAATTCCACCGAAAGCTAGGATAGAGTCTAGAATTTACCAAAACAAATGCTAACTCAAGTAGCCAGCATTTCAAAGACAATATAAATCCATTTGCAATTAGGTATATTTCCAAGAAAAGTTAGGTTTGAACGCGACAGATGATTTATTACTTCTCTTATAGACTCGCTACTCCTGAGAAGAATAAAAACACTCATTATTCACAACGTTTACAAAATAGGAAAGAGATTATGTCCAAAAAGGTATGCAGACAGACTTCTCAAGTCTGCTTCTGCTTCCCTTAATGAAATAAACCTTATATTGGATCTGGAACAGATTTCAATGCTAATCTCAACCTGTTTGATCATACTAAGAGACGGTTTGCAGAAACAGAATCACTGAATGCCATCGGAACAGCAAGAAAACCTCCTTCACGAGAAAATTAAGAATTATGGCAACCTCACAATTACGCTTTGAGATACGGTAAATCATTCTACAGAATGGTTTTCTATTCAAATGCTCGCAACTCACCAAATGAACTGTTACAGGTGAAAAACGTGGAGTAACCATTAGACATCGATGTCATTGCTATATCAGAAAGACGGCTAACGTTCTACTTCAGTCCCTGTGTGTCCTATCTCGTTCCATTTTACAAGCTTGTTTAGCTGTTTCAAGTTTTAACCTATGGTCTAGGCGTTGATGCAATACAGTTAACCGTTTTGGAGAAAAGCACAGCTTTTCAAACAAAATATTAGCGTTGAAGATGTAGCGACAGAAAGATGCATGATAAAATAAGCGGAAAACTGTTGGAGTATCACTGATACTAGCTCGATTACAAGCAAGGAGGTCACGCGATTGCCGTCCAGCCTGAGTAAGTCTCAATCACTAACACTGATTAACTGGATTGTTGACTTACAATTATCTGTGCAGAAAAAGCGTGAGTCAGTTAAATATACTCTAAAAATCGGCCTAAATCCAACTCACTGATATGTTCCTTGTTTCATTATTTCATATGTTCAACATCAAACGCAGGTTTTTCCGGTGACCTTGTGTTTATCTTCAAAGAGTTTGCAGCGTCGAATCAGTTTAACTTCATTTTTATCGGTCTTGAAAGTGTTTAATATATGAGTATATTCATGTGAATCTATTGGTTACACATATTCTGTTTACAGACTTTACGCGAAGGTATGTTCACTTCGGTCAACATGTACTGTTAGTTATTTTATAACTAATTGTAGTTATGTCATAACTAACCAATCAGATTGGTTAAGCGCTCACCACGTCATCTAGTCTGACCGGTCTATGGACTTTCTTGTTGTGAACGGCCTATCGATTGAAGGATGTTATTATTTTATTTTATATAGATGTGACTCATGTTTTTTATTCATTTTCTAAAGACACGCTATACTGTCCGGTACGTTTGCTCATCCTGCTTGATAATTGTAATTTCCTTATTTATTGTACTAAATTAATCGTTTTCTTTTTGTTTAGAAACAGATAAAGTTTAAAACCGAATTGTCTTCTGTTAACTATAGTTTCATTGGGGACTCTGTCATCGGCGGTACTTGCGTTTACGTTTTTAGAATTACATCTGTAGGACAAATTTAAATCCTACATAGTTTCGGACAGTAATTCATCAAAGGTTCATATATTGAATATCTTCAAATGTCTACGGAGGATCAGAAGAGTGATCAGATTCCTGAATTGTCTCCACACTATTCAGAAACTCATAGTGAAGATCAGTTTGGAAGAAATAGCCCCCGAACGGATCCTTTGTTGGAATTAGAATTAGCTAAAGTACGTTTAGCTCATCTAGAAAAGGAAATTTAGTTAGAACGACTACGACAAAGAGGAAAAGAATATTGTAACCAAATTCAGGATGAAAAGTTTATGTCGTTCGAATCTGCATCTGTTTCGCGTACAGCTGATAGCGCAGGAAAAGGATGGGTAGGAATGATATCCAGAGCTTTAGACCTACTCAAGCGAGAAATCATGAGGTTCGATGGTAATCCTATGAACTACTGGAGTTTCATACGAAATTTCGAGGATTGTTTTGATGAAAGCGTCGGACCTCGATCTAAGTTAAACTACTTGATTCAATATTGTGATGGGGAAGCTAAAGCTACCATTGTTCATTGTACATTGCTTCAACCAGAAGAAGGTTATCGTAAAGCGTTAGAGCTTCTTGAGGAAGCATTCGGTCAGAAACACGTAGTTGCTCGTGCATTTATCGACAAGATGTTGAACTTCCCTGCTATCAAGGAGACCGACTCAAATAGTTTAAGAAGGCTATCTCGTGAGATGTATGTCTGTGAGCTTACGCTCACACAAATGAACTACCTGTCCGATCTTAATTCTACGAAAACCATCGAAAGCATGTTTTTAAAACTTCCACCACACCTACAGAGAGAATGGGTTAAAGTAACATGTCGAATTCTCAAGACGGGTAGAGAGCCTTCATTCAATGACCTCTGTGAATTTGTTAAAGAACAGTCGGATATAGCTAACACTAGATACGGCCTGCTTGTCAACCGCAGCGATAATGTTGACAAAAGAGGTTTTGGTGCTTTAAAGGGGAAAGCTGCCGCAAGTTACAACATAGCGACGGTAGCACATGTAGGCATTAATGACAGCAATACTTCCTTATATAATTCACCTTGTCCAGATTGCTCAAGCAATCACCTCTTGGATCAGTGCCAGAAGTTTAAAAACAAGAATGTTAAAGAAAGGAAAGAGTTCGTCTTTAAGCATAAATTATGTAATAATTGTCTGAAACCAAACCATATAGCAAAGAATTGTCGATCGCCAAGGTCGTGTATTGTTGAGGGATGTGGCTGGAGACATCACACTCTGTTACATGAGAAACAGGAAGAACGAAGAGATATTATTAGTGAAGCCTGCATTAATTCTCAGATTTGTACAGAGGAAGATGTTAAGGGCATACAGAGGCCTGTGGCATTTGCAGTAGTTCCTGTGTGGATAAAAAACGGTGAGAGAATTATGCAGACGTGCGCCTTTCTAGATAGTGGGTCAGACACCTCTCTAATAGTAGAAGATCTAGCTGATAATTTAGGCCTCGAGGGAAAGCCGAGAACTGTGTCTTTAAAGACTATAAATAACGAATCGTCATTGGTATCTAAAGAGGTAGATGTAGAGTTGCACGCTATAGACTTCTCATCATCTGTTAAGATCCAGAAGGTATTGACAGTCAGAAAACTACCGGTAGTTCACAGAACTGTACCAACGGCGCGTCAGATGGCATCCTGGTCCTATTTAAAGGACGTAAGTTTCCCGAGAGTAGAAGATGAGGATGTTAAACTGTTGATCGGGTGTAATGTACCGAGAGCACACGAGACGAAGGAGGTGAGAACTGGAAAGACAGATGAGCCGTGTGCTGTGAAGACCTTATTGGGTTGGACGCTGTTCGGTCCTTACGGGGAATTCATTGATAACAACCGTGCACTTAATCACCTCCCGGCTAAGGAGGAACTGGAAGATAAGTTTGAGCAGTTGTACTCAACTCAATCGAAAGACCCGTTTATGTCTATGGAAGATCGTAGAGCATTCAACGCTATATCAAGCACAGTGCAAAGGTTAAATGAACGTGATGAAACTGCGATAAACCTGAATGGAATAAACCTTCCTCAGACTAAATCGACAGATCAGGATTTTTCTAGTTCTCTTTCTAATCATCCTGCTTCTCTCGCAGAAGCTAATGTTGCATCACTCGAAGCATCGAAAGAATTAGCTAAGTCACCTGCCGTTCTATCAAGTTTTGCTATAGCTAAAAAAGACATTCCATCTGGTTGTGTTCTCGGATCAAATATTTCATCAAGCGTTGTGAATGCTGATGTGTCGAAAGATGCTTCGGTTAATTTATGGACATCATCATCTACAAGTCATGATTCTGCTTCGTGTCCTTTTACTGCATTGGCCAAAGTTGTTACAGCTTCTCAGACAGACTGTAAGGATTCGAAAAATCTAGAAGATTCTGCTAAGGAAGTAGTTGAAGATAAACGGGAAGAAACGTTAACTTTAGCGGAAGTCGACCTAGTTGCAGGTGAAAGAGAAATGCCAGTTATTCGACAGCATTGCCGAGCTCATAATTCCGATGTTAATAAACAGAGGTGTAATAATCTTGGACCTTTTCATTTCGAGTTAAATGATATACACAACAACGGTGTTGAAAAGAATAAAGAATCTCTCTGCAGGTCGCGGATAGTAGTACGTTTAGTGTATAAATGCAGACTGTTGATTAATACTCTCAGTTGGTTACAAATGCCTGCTGCTCTAGTTGACTCACGAACTTTGAGAATGGTTGGAATTAATGAGGTGGGTAGTTATGTAATGGCTACATGGCGCAACGACTTCCAACGTCTTGCTGAGGTTCTAGCCCATCGTCAGCGACATGGTACAAGAGCAGAGTATCGCATACGTTATATTTGGGATCGCGTTGTAGAATGGACACCCGTCAGCAAGTTACGCAAAGCAACTCAGTACGAAATCGATTATGTCTTAAAATTCTGTATAGAGCAAGGTACACTATCCACGAATAAAATCCCTAGTAAATTTGATCTGCAGTATTCATGTAGTAGTAGCAATGATTCTGCATCAGGAACATCTCAAGCTAAAAGAATAAGGACAAATGTGTCAGAAAGCAAGTCAATAGACCGCACTTCGGATCCTGAAACACATCGCTATCGGTCACGTCCTACTCATGTAAGTACAAGTGGTTTCTCTGTCTTAGAAGACAAGAAGACTCTTCTTCCAAAATTATTTGATGAAATCATCGAACAGGATGGGATGGTTTGTGATAAGAGTGTTTTCCAGTTTCACGAAGCCTGTCGAAGACGTCGTGAATTGAAAAGAAAAGCTATCGAAGAGAACGACACATGTCCATATAGATTCGACAGTTCTGTATCTGTTTTGAGTCAAACATTCACCATCAGGTCAAACCATCAGAACAATTCTATAAGAACCGAAAATTATGCAGCGGAAGCTACAGCAGCATCCTCACCGGCATCATCGAATTCATTTTGCCAGAAAAGTGATAAAATAAAGGGAACCATTACCCTATGCGGACCAAACGAGATGTGTAAACGAACGCTGGGAGTAGAGCGGAATATCCGAGCGGATGAATCATTTGTCAGAGTTCACGTGTTTCCTAAAAACCTGACCAGAAGGAATATTTTGTCGTTTATAGCATTAATCTTTGATCCCGGGGGAGGTATATGGAAACATATTATAAAGTCAACGAGAAAGAAGCCACAACATGGAGACTCACCGTTAGTAAACAATACTAGTTTGCTGAGAAATCTTTGGGTGGAAGCTATAGTTAGAGGAGTCAATTATGGTCCCGATGGCCGATTCAGAACGATTCGATTGAAGAGACACCATAGACATCAACCGAGATATACGAAACCTATGCCTAATGGAGAGGTCGATTATTCGAGCGCGACGGCAACGAGGTCTGGACGTGGTGACCGCTTCGGGGGGAGTGTTAGTTATTTTATAACTAATTGTAGTTATGTCATAACTAACCAATCAGATTGGTTAAGCGCTCACCACGTCATCTAGTCTGACCGGTCTATGGACTTTCTTGTTGTGAACGGCCTATCGATTGAAGGATGTTATTATTTTATTTTATATAGATGTGACTCATGTTTTTTATTCATTTTCTAAAGACACGCTATACTGTCCGGTACGTTTGCTCATCCTGCTTGATAATTGTAATTTCCTTATTTATTGTACTAAATTAATCGTTTTCTTTTTGTTTAGAAACAGATAAAGTTTAAAACCGAATTGTCTTCTGTTAACTATAGTTTCATTGGGGACTCTGTCATCGGCGGTACTTGCGTTTACGTTTTTAGAATTACATCTGTAGGACAAATTTAAATCCTACATGTACGTTATAATAACGATTTATAATGGGTCACATGAGGCATGGCAATTTATAGACAAGATTGAAATGTTATAAATGCTAAAATATCAACGATAAAATTCCCAGGTATGGGTCTGAATTCAGAGCTAATGAACCACAGTCTTCTAACTGTACAGACCGTAATATATAGCCAAAGGTTTCCCTTTTATAAAATGGCTTGAGACCATATAACTACTTAGAATAACTCAATCAGCCGGAAATCAGTGATCGCTCATCCTTAAAGGAAATATACTTTAACCATGAGGGTTATCAAAAGCGAACTAACTGTGGACAGATGGACAACAACCAACAACAAAATCAATCACCATTTAGGGTAAACGCTTATTAAAGCCGAATACTAATGAGCCATAAGCACAAAACACGGTTACAAGAGTCTGTTGTAGTGGTATCAAATAAAACATACAAATTCGCGTGATAACAAATGTTAACACTGTTAATCCAGAAATCAGAGAAAAGACGATTCTAGATGAAGAAGTATATTTATCACTAGCCTTGTTATATCGAAATAATATCAAGGCTAGAGTAACAAAGCGACTAACAATACTGAGGAGAAAGACCAAGTGGGAAAAATACGTTCGGCGCGCGAGGGATAGTCTTTTGAACAGATGTTTACAGAGTCTGACATGAAACTTTTACCGAAACTTTGGCCACTCTCTGCAGATGGATTATCAAAACTGATAGTTTCCAACCTCTTTACTTTTACTGGACTCCTCAGATCAAGCAAATGGTTACAAATGCACCAGATCGCCATTAGGTACACCCTACAATGCACTCATGACAACAAGTAACTTACCCAGATCACACGTTTCTCACAATGGCAGATGACCTTCAAATAGGCATTTTAGTAGTTTAATTTGTAGATTATTTATAATTATGCTTGGATTCTCGATTATAAAAATATGAACGAAGTCGTGGTCTACAACTGAGTATCTATTACATCTTAAGGTCTGTTCCTTTTTGGATGCAGAATAAAAATGATGATCGATAGCTTTAGCGGACGATTACTTTCGTACCATTTTCAAACTGCAACGAAGATACTGATGGTTTTTTACTGTGTTTGTCTTTAGTGCATATTGAAAGACTGGAAAAACTTGAAATACATAACAGAAGAATCAGAGGTGTGAGCTGATAGATCCGAACACACGCATTTTGCCAAAACATTACAACTATGCACGACGTCAGTCACAAAAAATTGCATACCAAAGAGTGAACATTCAGGTACGTGGATACTATTTACTCCCTACTTGGAATGCCTAATTAACCGAAATGGCCACACTTCTCTCAGTGTAGAACTTCATGAAAAGACTTGCAAGTCACGTACTCACATACGGATTATCATCACTCGCTTCAATCAGCTGTGCCTGATGCATGTCTCGAAACTTGCAAGTTGTTATCCTTGTCACCTCAGATTATTAACTTATTCTATCTCGCCGGACAGTCTAGGTTATCTTATTGGACTTTAGAGCTGTAATCGTAACTGAAAACGAGTAGAACTTTCAGGACAATCATCTGACTGTAGGTTAATAAAATTGTTGGGTATTATCATTTTTTTAAGCGCGTTATTTTTAGTCTTCAAGGTCAGTGTGGTAATTTTAAGTATGTTAGGTCTGAAAATCCTCGTGGTTATTTTATTGGTGCCATTTACATTTATCTAAGTTATAATATGCTAAACTTAATTTGATTGACTCATTGGTCAGGTTAAAAACAATGATACTCACATTTTAATGCTAAATTAATTTATCCAATCCTTAACTATTTGCCTCCAGTTCGAAGGCACTTTGAGCATTAAAGGATTGTGTGTAGGGAAAGTTTGAAATAGAAACAAAAAGAAATGTGTTTTGATGATTCAATAAAATACACTAGAATTAGATAAGGGGGATGGCAGGCTTAAGATTAGGACGATCAGGCAGTAGACACTAGTAACAGATAGCGTGTGATTTTAAACTCGCCTCAGGATGTGTGGATAATATTTGGACAATATTGCATATGTTATCTCGTCGAAAAGCCTTGACTCTTACGTATCCTAGTTTTAAACTCCTAATTTCAATCTCGCACTGATTCATTACATTATTTCGACACCTGCAAGTTAGATGTGTTAGGGGACAGCGTCCTCCAATACTTAAAATACTGGCCGATCTATCAGTGATTATAAGGAAGGCCAACAACATACTGAGGCGATTACTTAAAGCCAATAGCTGTCCGTCTGAGCATCGTTGGTAAATCTAAACTACCCATTCAACATGAAGTCTGTTTTCAAAGACGATACAGTGTCTCGGTCTCCAATATCCTTTCATACATACCTTGGACATGACATTCACCTCGTAACTATAATTTCACTGTGGTGATAAGCTAATTGAACTAGTGCGCGCTTGCTCGAAGCTCCACACCCGTAAAGCTTACAGAAGAATAAGTATCCAGTCTTACCACCTCCTCCAAAAAGCTAGGCGCTCTGATATAGTAATAATGGCTGGTGACTTTAATGCTCAAGTAGGTAGACTAAGTGAGCAGGAGAGACACCTAGGTGGATGTTATGGTGTCGCGGCTCAGAGAACAGGCAATGGTGACCGTCTGTTGCAAGTATACTCAGACAACCGCCTATTCTTAGCAAACACTAACTTTAGGCATAAGGAAAAGCATCTGTTGACCTGGCGACCTCCAAAGTCGTCTCAACGTTGGACTCAACTAGATCACATCGCCATCAGCCACCGATGGAGGGGTTCGATAGAGGACTGTCGCTCGTTCTGGGGCACATGCCTAGATTCAGATCATGCCCTAGTGCGAGCGCGTATTTGTTTGAAGCTTACTGGGCTTAGGAAAGACACCGTAAGAAAACCTCTTAGGGTTTTACTTAATGATAATAAGGCGAAGAATATATTTCAGGAACAACTAGAAAGACAGTTAGGCGACCAATTAAGCGATTCCCATCCGGAAGCAGGATGGAATGATATCAAAAAGGCTGTGGAAACAGCAGTGATATCTGCTAGTAAGGTTGACCATAAGGCTAGAATGAAACCGTGGATCTCAGTAGCATCCACCGATCTGATGGATGCCCGAAAACTCATCCCACCTGGCTCTGAACATGATGAAGAACGAAGTCAACTTAGGCGCAGACTTATAAAAAGCCTGCGTAACGACCGCGAACAGTGGTGGGTGGCGAAAGCAAAAGCGATGGAAAAGGCAGCGGCGATACGCAACAGTAGACAACTTTTTCGACTTATCAAGGAAACTGGTATTAGGAATCCTAGTGTAAGTGAGACTATCTCAGAAAATGACGGGACTATTATTTATTCTCAATCCAGGAGACTGGATCGATGGGCAGAACACTTTAGGGATCAGTTTAACTGGCCTCGAGCCACTCTTCGGTTACCCACGATCTCCAGTCATCCTGAATGGCAAATCGACCTAAGTCCCCCTAGTCTTAATGATGTTGAAAAAGCGTTAGGAAATCTGAAGCGAGGACGAGCTGCAGGTCCTGATAAACTGACCCCTGAGATATTTAAGGATGGTGGTCCAGTTTTAGCAGCTAGATTGACTGAGATCTTAGGTAGAATCTGGGAACTGGGCGTAATCCCATCCGACTGGTCTCAATCACTGATTGTCCCAATCTATAAGAAAGGACAGAAGTCTTCTTGTGACAATCACAGAGGAATAAGTCTAACTAATATAGTATCTAAAATTTTGGCCTCAATAATACTTCGACGCTTAACGAAAGCTCGTGAAGAGCGAACTCGAGAAAACCAATCTGGTTTTCGACCTGGACGTGGCTGTATAGACCACATTCTCACACTACGACAGGTCCTGGAACATATACACACATTTAGGCGTCCTACAATAGTTGTTTTCCTGGACCTTAAGGCGGCATTTGACTCAGTGGATCGTGAGGTTCTGTGGCAGTGTCTGTCATTGAAAGGTGTACCGAAGAAGTACATTAACCTTATACAAGCTCTCTACTCGAACACCACTGGTCGAGTGAGAGCTTATGGCGAACTGTCACCGGAATTCTCTACTTCAAGTGGTGTCCGTCAGGGATGTCCACTTTCTCCATTCTTGTTTAATTTTATCATAGACATGCTCCCAAAAAATAACCTTATCGTCGTCTGAATTTTCAGGAGTAGACCTTTTACCAGGTGGCTCGCTTATTGACTTAGAATATGCCGATGACATTGTCCTACTTGGTGAAGACGCTGACAAAATGCAGAGTCTTCTGACTACCCTAAGCAACAATGCAAGCATGTTCGGGATGCGGTTTTCCCCCTCGACATGCAAAATGTTGCTTCAAGATTGGGTTACATCGGCACCTGAACTAGTGATAGGGAGTGAAGTAGTCGAACGTGTAGACCGCTTCACTTATCTTGGGAGTCTCATCAGTGCTGATGGCCTGGTGACTGACGAAAACTCGGCACGGATACAGAAGGCTCGATTGGCTTTTGCCAACCTGCGTCACTTATGGCGTAGGCGAGATATCCGTTTGCTGACTAAAGAACGAGTGTACTGTGCAGTAGTTCGCTCCGTCTTACTTTATGGCTGTGAAACATGGCCAGTGAGAGTAGAAGATACTCGTCGGTTATTGGTTTTCGATCATAGGTGTCTTCGAAGCATTGCTCGTATATCGTGGGACACTCGAGTGATCAACGCTGTTATTAGGAATCGAGAGCTAGGTAAGAATGGCAGATCAATAGATGAAGTGGTGAAACTTCATCAGTTGAGGTGGTTGGGACACGTGTTACGAATGCCTAACCAACGACTGCCTCGTCGAGCTTTGTTTTGTAGTGTAGAAGTAGGTTGGAAGAAAGCTAGGGGCGGCCAGACCAGAACATGGCACAAATCCATGAAGTCATTGACGAGTGGACTTAGCCATGTCGGTAATTGTCGACTACCTGGTTGGGGTCCGCGAGATGATAATAATCGATGGCTAGAGACCTTGAATGACATGGCTCAAAATCGTTCGCAATGGCGCCAGTGCATTTATTCTTTGTGTTCTCTCAAATCCTAATCTTCTGGGTTCTTCAACACCTCAAGTTTTTACTTTCTAAACTTATCTCATTGAATCATACTTCGTGAATAATAATTCTAACCTCTCCGATTACTTCTAATACCTTTACTACCTCTACTACTATTGGATTTGAATTGACAATTATATCTCTGTGCTGATGTGGTATGGCGACATGAACTGATGTACTTACGTACGAAGTTCTACGTTGCAACTGACTGACTGACTGACCAGTCTTACCAATAAGGTGACAGCTTTTTGTAATGGTGATCCATTTGAGTTTACCAAGCCATTCGCTATTCGTCATTCTGCTCAGATCAAAGATCTCAGACTCATGCTTTTCAATTCCATACTAGCTACTGACGTGATTAGGTGTGGTTTTTCTGTTTTGTAGGTTGTCTGCTCCCTAAGATCAATCTTTCAGGCGAAGCTTAATCACAGTTGCTGGCTTACAGTTACTATGAAGCTGTTTTTGCACAACATACTTACATCTCGTGTTTTAAAGTCAGTGAAAGTGGGATATCCACTGAAATTAAAGGTCAGTTACGACTTTTCGTAGCCAATATTTTCAGGCCAGTGCACTAAAAGTATCAACAGTTGATTATGATCCTGCATCAGTTGCTCGTTTGATTCCGAAAGTTGAATGGTCTGTTGTGAAATCAGTAGCAGATGAGGTAATTTATCTACTCTGTATCATTGTTAACAGATTGGTGAAGAATACATTCCTTGTTTGCCAGCGGAAATTCCATCAAATTATTCAGAAAATGAAGAATTCTTAAAATTAGCACACCGAGCACTTCTGGAGATCGATGTTATGGAGGGTGCACTGGTTTGTCCAGAAACTGGTCGCGAATTTCCCATCTCAAATGGAATTCCAAACATGTTGGTTAACGAGGGTGAATAGGCCTCCGGACATTTTTTCCTTGTAAATTTATTCTTCATAATAAACATTATCTCACCTTTCATTTCTGTACATAATGGTTAGGCTTTGTAATGTTTTAACTCAGCCTCTCCACCACCAAACTAAGATACTCCAAAAATGGATAACAACGTACTTATACATCATGGAAAATGGCAATGGCATTAGGATGTTGGTTAAAAATTCTAGATCATAAATAAAATAGTAATTAAACATGCGACAAATTATAAACTATATTCAGTAAACAGACGATTCCTGTTAAGAACTGTGTACGCTGATCTTAGCTTGCTTTTGAACACCTCATATTTGCATGACATGAACTCGATAGTTGTAGGTTTAAGATCTTGAATCAATAGCTTCTAGCTTTATATGAAGCTGATCTCTGAATATAAGTCTGTAAGTTAAATATTCTCATCATGTTTATGTAATACTCCACTCCTTCAAAAAACTGATACATTATTTCAAGACCCAGTTATGTCTGTTGGTTGATAGCAGTGGTTTATGGTCTATCTGCAGTTAAAATTTGAGCACTCATACTACCGAGCACGTTTGACCGAACTTAACTGTTAGTTTACAGATCCAAAACTCAACTTGAGATTGTAAAGTAAATTTCTGTCTTTACATGGACTGTGTGTGGTTTAGTTTGTTCTATATTTCTCTACTCAGTTTCACGGACTGGATAGATTGTGTTATTGAGTAAATTAGTGGTCTCCTTCTAAGTGTAACATTTATTCTGACGTCATTAGTAGATTGGATTACGATGACGTAACTGATTGATCAGGTGTCAACTGACCAAGTTATGCTTTATTAAAATTTAAACTATTGATCGAGGTAGACCAAATAGAAAAAAATAGGTACATTGAGACATTTTGTTAACGTAGCCGTTATAAAATAACCAAGATTAAATCGATCTGTAACCTTGGCGGATCATTTCAGGGAGTTTCATTCTCTGAGCTACAGGGTTCATTCTACTTTATATCCGTTTTAAGATTATATAATGAGCTCTATCGCTAGACATTATTTATTGACCCTACTGAATAATAACCTGACAAAACTGACCATAATCGTATATTGAATTCCAGCTCTAGTCACAGCGGTTTTAATGAATTAGTACAACAAAATCTCTGCCCATTAATTACCCATAGACTAGCGCTACACCTTAATTTGTTTATATATTGAAGTATGTTTCATGATGTACTCATAGTGAAGGGTTAAGTATTTTATCATGGTTGTAGTCAGTAGTGTGGTGGATGCAGCTCACATAGTAGTGTAGTGAACGAGAACACAGGTGGGGCAACCAGATTGTATTTAACGAAAATTACAGAGTTACTCAGTAAAATCGCAAAACCATATCGTAAATCGTTAATTTGCAAAATATCAGTTCATCATATCGAACTGGACTGTTTCTGTTGCAAAACATCAATCCATTCTCACTATTCACGCGTTTCATACAAATTCCGTTGTGTTCTAACTCTTCCTTTCTTGATCTTCCCCCATCTTCTGCTGCCAGACATTACGTTGACACTCACGTCATATACTACTTATAAGTAGCTCGCACCACAGTAGCATGTAAATAATATGCAGCGGAGCGTTGCCTAAGAGTTGCTACCGGATAGAAGGGTGTCCGATCTCAATACATAGTGCAATCAAAGTATTTTAAAGACCAGACAACTTGTAAAAACAGACAGTCAATAACGTGCTTGTATTACGAATTTATGTCAGAAGTTGTACGGATTTCGTTAATAAACTTTGTCTTAAAATATACGTATTCTACCTGAGCTTGACTTTTTCGTAACGTAATCAGTAGCCATTCATTTTATTCTTATAGCTGAAAACTTGTTCGCTCCATTCCTTTTATGCTAATCATGAATATCAGTAATTACAACAGAAAAACAAGTAAAAGGTTGTTTAATAAATCTCTTCGTTGGTGTTACCTGTCTTTATTCAAAACACGTAAATACTTTGTTTCACGCATTTCGTATGTCATACTAGATATTTGCGAAGTATTGTATATTGGTGGGTTAATAAATCAGTCTTTATAGAATATTTTCTTGCCCAGAAAAAATTCAGTAAATCAGATTCCTGAGTCCTAGGTCTTTATGCTTATATAATTACTGACTATCTTAGAATGAGCACATGATTAACGCTGGTTGTAACTGATATAGACCTTATGTATCAGTTCATTCACCAATCTGCTCAAGTTCAACGGGACTGCTTCGTTGAAAAAATAATATATTCTACTGGGGGCCAGTAGCTGTTAACTCTATCGACTATGAAACTGATATTTTTCAAAGCTAGTAACCTACCTTTTACCCCATCTATTTAGAACTACTTATGTAGATCACCATTTATTACACTAACAAAACATTTCATATCTCACCATGAATAATGGTAGCATATATTGTTTCACCAAATCTCATGCCAATATCCAATTCACAGTTTTTCTAAGACTAATTTAGTAGTACTTTTTAATATATGGGACAAAGTTCCAGGAACAATCACGTGAGTCGCCTGATATTTGCCCACTGGCTTCTCTAGAATCACGTATATAGATTGTCTGCTGAGCGGATATTATGCTCGTCAGTTGATATGCTTGAAACTATTACGAGTTCACCTCAGTCGATAAACAAGAACAAGACAATGACTTAGTGACACGATAGGGTACTCTTATCCGCTGCCCGGACTAACTGAAGATAAAATCTTCAGATGGCGTAGAAAGTGTATTCTACAAGTACCCAGAAAATATGATCTCAAGCGCACAAATCGCGTTTATTTATACATCATAGAAAAGTTCTTGGGAGAGCCACAAAAATAGCACATCAACCAATCACAGCCAAGTATTTTCCGGGTGGGAAATGTAATCTCATGGTCAACTGACCAGCCCATTCGCGAAAACACAAAATCCAAATTTAGGGCCTTCATCAAGTGAGTTCTGGGGATCTAAAGTCCCCAAGGAACCCCTTCTAGTTTCACCATTGAAAGCAATTTATTTAGTAATGCATAAACAGTGACGATAACATTGTGTCAAGCAGTCGGTTACAAGTACTTTTCTATTGAATCATTCTTTGAGATTTTTGCATGATGGTTCCAAAGGTATTAACAAGTGTACGTCTATATCAGACATCTACTAAATAAGTGTCAGTAATTTATGACGTAGAGTTAGATCTGTACACATATACGTTTCTTACTGTCACACAGACTTTTCGGTGACTAAGAATATACCTCTCCTATTTGTCCCTCTAATAAGAGTTCGTTTTCAATCAAATGTATTTATCTTACTTCTGTTGTATTGCGTTTCACTGAGTCCTTTTGTTCCTACTTTCTAATTTTCATTGTTTTTTGACTGTCAGTTTGTTATGTTCTTTTAACATTTGGTATTACATACTTTTGATTTATTCTGATGGTTTATCTTGTACACTGGCGATCGAATGCGCGAAGGAAGCGATGTGGAGAATGGCTAATGAGCCAACTCCTAGGATTACAATACGAAGGAAGCGAATGAATAGGTGAAGCGCGTTGGAGAAGGCTAACAGCCAACTCCTTGAGATAGAGCGTGACTAAGAATATATCGTCAGACAAATATAAGACAGACATGCGACAAGCGAAATAGGCGCACATGAATAAAAGCGACGAATAGTTGACAAGGTCAAATGACAAGTGGGACACGTCATGTGAGTTCATACAAACCAGACAATAATAAGAACGAATGGTACATATAAGTTGTTGCCACGCTAATCGCTTGGTTAAATAAATTAATCGAAAGGGCTTAACCAAGTTAGATGTAAGCGAACTGGAATATATGTGGAGGCATTACAATCTGTTCCATCTGATTCATAAGGTTCTTCGTTTTAAAATGTGTTTGTTTTTATTCGCTTACTAAACAACATTACCAGCCTAAAGTAAAATATAAATCTTCGTATCTACTTAGCTGTTACTCCTCTCACTTAGTTTGTATGGCAACCTGAACTGATGTACTTGCGTACGAAGTTCTACGTTGTAACTGACTGACTTACTCACTTCGTTTAAATAATTTCGTACAGTTTTCTGACCTTTTAAAATATGATGAAGTTTGTTTTATTCTAGACCTTAATTATCAATTATTTTATCAACAACTTGAATAGTGGGATACTGTCTCATCGCTTTAAGAAATCAACCAGTGTTTTATTCGTGTCATTTCTAGATGAGAAGTAACCTCAGTAAAAATTTTATTTTCAAAGTATACATTACTATTAAAGAAAGACGAGTTAGATAAGAGATTTTTATCACAAAAATAGACTTTCAATTAAATACAACTCAACTAGATCACCAAAATTATGTACATTAATATAGAGTTTAATATGTACATAAATTTAAGTTTATACCCCCAAGACCGATTTGCTTTTCATACTTCCATTACAACAAATCTTGTAGATAGTTCATCTGACTAGACGCCCCATCAAAAATGGTTATTTTTGTAAATTGGTTTTAGATTTCACATATTTTTTTCTGTTTTCGTCATCAATTTATTGAAATTCAGTCGTGAGCGATATTCTGTTTCCAGTCAATGTACACCAACAAATTTTCTGCTTCTAACTTTATACTACTTGTATTTATTGAGTAGTCGAAGTCGAACATAACAAAGAATGTAAAATACAGTCATAATTACCACCAACCCGAAAACATTATACCATAGATCCCATCCGGTCATATAAGGGATTTCTTGATCTTCTAAGTAGGTTGTACCATTTTGGCTATAACATTAAAACAAGGTAAAGCGTACAGATCAACATAGTTACTTAGTGTGTAATTACAAAAGGCATGCTTAAATACTTGTACATTTTGAAAATTCTTAATTGCAGTAAAAACCATAACATATATAATTTGAGCCTTAATACTGAATAGTAAAGAATCAAGTGTAATGGTTTAGTAGTTGTTCATTGATAATGGTTGTTTAGTTTATCTTATTCTAATAAGATTGAGTAAATCAAAGACAAGAATTGTAGCATATGGAATTATTATTAGTGAAACTATAGTGTTTTTACTGTCTATATCTGGTGTCATTATATCGGCATTCTGTCTAAATGAACTTGAATAAATACTAAGTTTAAAGAATCTTAAATGTTATGTATATCTACTTTTTTTTCACGAGTTGATAGCAATAAATCAATTTATTCCGTATCTTCCATGAAAATAAGTCTTTTAGTTCAGCAATCTTGCGATTAATTGTAGGGTCCTTGTCACATCCTACATATTTCTTTTATTGTTCAAATTTAACGGTACAACCATTAACAATGAGCTTTATCGTTTCAGATAGCTAGGAGTATGTGTCGTGTAATATAAAGGATGGGTGATTTCAATGTTGACTGAGGTCTCCACTCCAACTATTACTTAAATAACAGCTCTATATTTTCTATTTTCATATTCATGATGAAACTCATCAGAAACTGATATGGTTAAATAAAAATAAATGATCATTCCTCCAAATAATTGATGACTAACAGTTTCTACATTTGAAACCAATCAAATAAGCGTTGTTTTGTGGTGTAGGAGTAGGTTGAAAGAAAGTTAGGAGGCGACCAGATGAAAAGATGGCACAACTCCATGAAGTTGCTGACAAGTGAACTGAATCGTGTGTTGGTAGGTATAAACTACCTGGTTAAGGTCCGCGAAATGATAGTAACCGATCGTTCTAAACCTTCAATGACATGGCTCAAATTTCGACCTGGACGTGGCTGTATAGACCACATTCTCACACTACGACAGGTCCTGGAACATATACACACATTTAGGCGTCCTACAATAGTTGTTTTCCTGGACCTTAAGGCGGCATTTGACTCTGTGGATCGTGAGGTTCTGTGGCAGTGTCTGTCATTGAAAGGTGTACCAAATAAGTACATTAACCTCATACAAGCACTCTACTCGAACACCACTGGTCGAGTGAGAGCATATGGCGAACTGTCACCGGAATTCTCTACTTCAAGTGGTGTCCGTCAGGGATGTCCACTTTCTCCATTCTTGTTTAATTTTATCATAGACATACTCCTAGAAATAACCTTATCGTCGTCTGAATTTTCAGGAGTAGACCTTTTACCAGGTGGCTCGCTTATTGACTTAGAATATGCCGATGACATTGTCCTACTTGGTGAAGACGCTGACAAAATGCAGAGTCTTCTGACTACCCTAAGCAACAATGCAAGCATGTTCGGGATGCGGTTTTCCCCCTTGAAATGCAAAATGTTGCTTCAAGATTGGGTTACATCGGCACCTGAACTAGTGATAGGGAGTGAAGTAGTCGAACGTGTAGACCGCTTCACTTATCTTGGGAGTCTCATCAGTGCTGATGGCCTGGTGACTGACGAAAACTCGGCACGGATACAGAAGGCTCGATTGGCTTTTGCCAACCTGCGTCACTTATGGCGTAGGCGAGATATCCGTTTGCTGACTAAAGAACGAGTGTACTGTGCAGTAGTTCGCTCCATCTTACTTTATGGCTGTGAAACATGGCCAGTGAGAGTAGAAGATACTCGTCGGTTATTGGTTTTCGATCATAGGTGTCTTCGAAGCATTGCTCGTATATCGTGGGACACTCGAGTGAGCAACGCTGTTATTAGGAATCGAGAGCTAGGTAAGAATGGCAGATCAATAGATGAAGTGGTGAAACTTCATCAGTTGAGGTGGTTGGGACACGTGTTACGAATGCCTAACCAACGACTGCCTCGTCGAGCTTTGTTTTGTAGTGTAGAAGTAGGTTGGAAGAAAGCTAGGGGCGGCCAGACCAGAACATGGCACAAATCCATGAAGTCATTGACGAGTGGACTTAGCCATGTCGGTAATTGTCGACTACCTGGTTGGGGTCCGCGAGATGATAATAATCGATGGCTAGAGACCTTGAATGACATGGCTCAAAATCGTTCTCAATGGCGCCAGTGCATTTATTCTTTGTGTTCTCTCAAATCCTAATCTTCTGAATTCTTCAACTTTGTAAACGTTTCCCACTGAATCATACTTCTTGAATAATATCTTCTAATTCTAACCTCTCCGATTACTTCTAATACCTTTACTACCTCTTCTACTATTGGATTTGAATTGACAATTATATCTCTGTGCTAATGTGGTATGGCGACATGAACTGATGTACTTACGTACGAAGTTCTACGTTGCAACTGACTGACTGACATGGCTCAAAATCGTTAATAATGGTGCAGATACATCCATTTTCTGTATGTTCTCTCAAATTCTAAACTCCTTATGAACTTCATCCTTCTCTTCTCAAATCTATTTCACTGTACTATACTTTTTAAATAATATCTTCGAACTCTGTTCTCTCCGATTACTGTTCATACTTCTACTACCTCTATGACTATAGAATTTAGATCGACAATCGCGTCTCTGTGCTACCGTGGTATGACAACTTGAACTGATGTACGTACGTACGAAATTCTTTGTTGTAGCTGACAGACTGAAATAAACGGTGTAAGATGTTTCTTGACTGAGTGGTTCATTAACACAACTGAAGAATAATAGTATTTATAATAAACGACTATTATTTTTTTGTGATTATGTTTACGTGAACCATAAACATATTTCAAATGTCCTTACAAGAAAGGTAGATTAAATAGCCTAATCAGAGTGATCGGATTAATAAAAACACATAATACGATTATAGTAATTAAAATAAGAAACTATAACGTATGCAAAAGTAACTAAAAAAGTAAAGTCAGAAACCGTAAGACTTCCTTCCGCTTCCTAATTTTTTTTTATGCAGACAATTTCGATTCATAAAATTATTCACAATACTCAATGCCTGCTTGATTAAACGATAAGAATCGATTGGAATATTTAACTATACTCGATTCTTTAATCTCTTAAGTAAGTTAATGAATATTTTTATAGGAAAATACAAAAAAACAGTAAGTGAATTATTTATACCATTGTCGATTAATTGTTGTATTAGATTTATCCATTGGACAAAATCGTAATGGTGCCATTTCCATAGCTAATAAACCACCCATACTATAACGAAATATAGAGAAATAACGTAGCCAACTAAGCCAAAGTGCCATAGATTTTAAATTGATTAAGAAACCGGAAAAAGCCTAAAAACGAATGAGAACAAAAAGGTTTAAATTAAATCATTGATTGTTCCAAATTGATATAATCAAGGATAGAAGGAGTTGTTCTCAAATATAAACAACAAATTACTGGGCAGCTTTACACTTTCACGTTTACTAACTGTTAGGATATTCATCTAATATCCTAAGAGAATTATTGGTCTATTCCTATTGGTTAGTTCCTACTGGTCAATTTTATGGTCGTCCTAGATATCAATGTCACGTGCTCCAATGTTGTTTCTTATTCGTTGTCCTGACTATCAATGTCACTTCAAATGTTGCTTCCTACTGCTTGTCTTAACTGTCAATGTCACAGACTTCTATGCTGTTTCCTATTCGACCAAAATGTATAAATACGCATTATGTGTAACGTTTTATGACCAGGACCCGGATCCCTAGTCTGGGATCCTGATTCTCTTCTGGACTCGGACCTCGTAATTTCTGGATGCTTGTAGAATACAGGTTCTACTTCATATCAAGTCTTCTTATTTTTACTCAATATGGGGGTCGGGATAATCGAATTTGAGTAGCATGTCGTGTCGCCGGATCCTCGCTCTCGTTTTCCGACTAAGTAAACTCGAAATAGTTCAAGCATATCACTAACACCATTCAATGTGATATATATCCATGAGCTCAGTGATACATATGCTCTTTTGGAAACTTTCTTATAGATTGTTTCAAACCTCAGCCAGAGATAACATAGGAATCTTTCAGATGAAATATACTTAGTATTGTCCGACAACCGTCTCATTTCGTCATTTCAAACTGAGTTCGGTTTTGGTATAATCACTGGTATCATATGAATGTTTTGAGTTATATTTAATCTTTTATGTATAATGAGATACATGAAAAGGAGTTAATAGGGAAGGGTTTTTTCTAATATCATAATAAAAAGATTTCATAAATCCACAGTAATTCGTTTCAGAATTAATAAGTGAGCTTCAATAATCAAAATAGTTTTAGCCACTTGAATTATCTATAGTTTTCGAAAATATGTTATTAAACAATCTTCCATGGTCTCATTCTTATATGTCTAAGTAAGTATTTGTGAATCATGATAAAAGTTTCAAATAATTTACTGTTTTATGGTTTCGGTTAGTATTTTTAATTGTCTGTCTTTCACTAGATTGTTATTGTTTCACCAGTCAAAATGACTAACTGCTGTATAAGTATAAGCATTGGTTGTGAGAAAATATTTCCTGTTCCTAGTTCCAGAAACCATCAGTAGTTTAAATAGGGACATCATCAAGCTCTTTAGAGTTCAAATCTTCTAGAGTCATGGCTCAATGGTTAAGGCGCTTGTTTTTCTACACTAAGTTACACATTTTAGCCTTGCTCAGCTTACTTTGGTTTACCCGACCAGATAGTATCATCGATCGATCCTCATACAAAATATAGTTAGAACCTAAACCTATTACTAAATTAAATTAATTATAAACATAACGTGCATTTAACTCTGCTTGTAGAACCTTCAGGGCTACTGCCGGTCTCCAGCCCCGATAAAGTAGGAGGGTTGGGCATGGAGTTGACGACCCTATCTCACCAAGCAACTAACTTGCCAAAAAAAATACGCTAACCAGAATAAATAAATCAAACCATTTTTTAACCAAAAACTGGCATTTATGGAACTTACCATCATAAATACATAAATAATTGATAACAGAGCATTAGCTAAACCAAACACAGTAACACTTGCTGATATACATAAAGCAATTGCAGCAGCAGCTAATGTTGTCAAACATAGAAGTAATTCAAAAAACATAAAAGCTCCAAATGTTTTTTGTAAACCAGCCATCCAATAACATATTGGCATAAATAATAATATAGGTAATACTTTAGTTGGTATTATATCACAAAGAATTTTCGAAAAAAAATATACTGACACTTGATAATAACCACTTGAACTTTCATGTCTGTAATTTTTGTTAGAAAACAAAAAGATAAAAATAGGAAGTTCATATCATGTTTATCGTAATTCAAAAAGATAGATTACATCAGTAAATTGCTACAGTCGATAGATTGTTAAAAGAACAAGACAGCATTTAGTTGTCCTATGGTTTAGCAATGTTCACTAGTGCTCATAACCAACCATGCTAGTGTAAACTTGAGTAATTTTAACACAGAGTTACTGTAGGATTTAGTTTATCCTACAGATGTACTTCTAGAACTGTAAACGCAATATTGGCGAGCACAGAGTCTATGGGAAAGCTATATAGTCAGAACAAGACCAATTTTTACTTCAAAACTTTATCTGTCTCTAGACATAAAAACAATTAAATTAGTGTGGTGTGTGCTACTTATACGAACGATATAAGTAGTATAAGAAGGGACGTGAAAGAAGAAGTCTCACGGTCAGAAGAGGAAAACGGAAAGCAAATGGAGCAAAAGCAAGAAGTAAATGGAGTACCAGCAGGAAGGAAAGGAAACAACAACAGGAATGGAAGAAGGATGGAGCGTTGGAAGTCACGACTCAAAGATGATGTGCAAATGAAGTATTCAATGTAATGTTTTCGTTTTTAATTGATTCAGAGTGTAAATTCCTCGCCTGCCTCAGTCTTCTCATTAGTACAATAAATAAGGAGATTACAATTATCAAGTAAGACGAGCAAATGTACCGACCAATATAGCGTGTCTTATGGAAATGAGCAAAGTTATGAATCACATCAATATAATAAGATAATAATGTCGTCCTTCAATTAGTAGGTCATTTACAACAAAGAAAATTTACAGACACGTCAGATCAGATCACATGATGGGCACTTAGACCACCATTAATTATGGAAATAACTAACAGTTACAAAACTACTATCTAATCGGTTCTGTTTCAGTTTTTGGTTTTGAGATGATGGAGAAGATTTGTAGTTCAAGTGGATGATTGTGTTGGTGGTATTTGGTTCTCTGAACTGGGTGTTTTGGTTGTGCCAACCAAAACAGTTTAGTTGTTCAGTTTATTAACGGCCAATTGTAATGGAGATGCTTAATCGCCTACCGTAAAGACATCTTGACTGTTTATGTTCAACTTCATTAGGTAGTATCTGTATAAATCTGTTGTAAAGTCACAATGCTAAAAATTAATATAATTTGTTCAATAATGAAAATAATTTTTAATGAGATCTCATTTTTTTTAAAAAAAAAAGCTTTCAGGTTACGATGAAATAATTAGTTAAAATGCTAGCAAACTGTTTAATCGTAAGCCCTAACCAGATACTTTTAAAACAATCTGATATAGCAAGTAATTGTTTGATTAATTAAAGTACTAATTGACTTATAAAATTTAGTTTCATTTATAAATCCTATATGACACGTATACATATCTTAAAAAAAGATTATAGACGTTTAATCATAAAATATAGTTAAGTTAATTTTAATTATTATTGCTACAGAAATACAATTCAGTTCAATTTCTAAAAATCTCACTGTTAATCTAGTTGTAACTAAATCATATAAAAATTAGTTTATTTGTACATCTATTTTAGGAGTCATTTAAATCCTTATCAATAGTCTCTGCTTCTTCATTTCGCATCCTTTCTTATTCAATTTACTGTGTAATTTAATCTGTAGGTTGTTAAAACCTGTTAGGAAATCGAATCAGGCATATTCATTCAGCATACTGATCGCATTATTACTTAACAGGCATATTATATCGTGAAATTGTGATTTTTCAACTAAAAGAACGTTGAAATTTCTAAAAAGTGATCAAATATCACGCCATTTCCGAAAGAGAACTCAATCACAATAATTAAGATGACATTAACTAAATAAAAATAATAAGCTTATCAACTGGTTAGTTTAGGGGCAGAGTTTTGGATGTTTGTGTTTTTACACATTTGAAATCATCAATCAATCATTGTTAACCCACCATTACAAACATGGAAGCACTGAAACACGGCCGTTTCGTCCTGCTATGGGACTCATCAGCAGTGCGCATCCACGACTCCTGCTCCTCGCAGGATTCGAACCCGGGACCTTCGGTATTGTGCGCGAACACCTAACCATCGGACCACTGGGCCGGCATCCAACGGTGTTAATGTCTAACTCTGATTGATCTAGGGATTTTGCGTGACCTCACCCATTTGTCTTTGGTAGTTACTGCCTACACCCGACAGGGCTGAACTCCTCCATTGGTCACGTCTTCTCAACTAGAACTCGGAGAAGATTCCTCACGAAGCTAGTCACTAGTGAGCATTGTTACTATATTTTCGGGCAGAGTTTTTGGAGGTTTTGTGTTTTTACACTGATTCCGAAAATCCTTTCTATCTGAAATCGGTTACTACTTAAGTGTCAGATTACTAACAATCTGATGTATTCAGCTTTCCTGTGTACTACTGATAAAGTACTTTTATAAAATGGCTATTCATGACAAGTGAATGATGATGTAACATTTCTTAATAACTGATAAGTTGAATTCAAAAATATTCAAATAGAAATATTAAGCAATAATTATAAAAAACTTACATAAACAATACACGTTCTTTAATAAACAATTCAATTGTAGCCAAATTTACAAATATCACTTGTAATGTACAAAAATAAAACAGGCCTGTACGATTTTGTATACCAGATTCTAAGGAATCATTCATTTGAAAATAAACTATACCCATTGATAAAGCGAAAAATAAATAAACAATTGTTTGTATCACTGATGCTAATGGATCACGTAATAAATTTAATATTGATCTCCAACAAACTTTATTAATTTGTCGAAAATATGATGCAGCAAATGATATGTCCACTGCATTGTCTTTGCCTTTTTTTGGACCATTTTCATATTCTTCCAATCGATTTGTAATTGAACTGACTTCTTCTAATACTCTATGTAGAATGGATTTGTTTTTGTTTTTTTCAATAGAAAAAAGTATGTTATGTTATCTTTTTACAAAAAAAATGTTCAAACATCAAGATTAAGTGTTTCTGAACAAAAGCTTTTAAACAAATGTAATAGGAATAGTTTCATTTATGATAAATGATATTGATCAGTGATCAATGGTTGCTACTGTACTATGCTTATTTTCAAGGTGAGCTCAAAATAGTTTATCTTATTATTCTAGTTGAATATTAAGGATTCCCATTGTGAAAATTAGAACAATATTGTTATCTCACTGTTCATTGGATATTTTACATTCAGGAGGTGGAATTTATCAACAGCTCATTAACCGAGATCGGCGTTTATTGGCGCATTCATAAGGAAGTAGATGGTTGATGTAAAAATAAAAGAAGTCAGTAATTTCCACTGCTCAAAAGAAGCCTCTATTGATTAAATTAAAATTCAACGGAGATACCGCCTGTGATACTCTACAGGACAGATTAACGAGTGTAATTGGTAGAACATTCAATGCAGCCAAACTTGCGTTGACCTTCTCAAGTCAACCAGTGATGTCTCTACCCAAGCGAAGGATAAGTTACCTGAGTTGGCCTCGTCGATGTGAGTTTATAAATTCAGCTTCTCCTGTAGAGAGAGATATATCGGGTGTACTACCAGGTAACTTAACCAACGAATGAGTGTACACCTCCCAGCATGGTTTATGAAGGGCCAGTTAGAAACAATACGCAGTTCTATCTTGGCACACCTGGTTTATAGTGGTCATATTGTAGATAAGTCTAGATCTTTTCGGGTGATCTATCGTATACCTTCATCATTTCCCAACGGATTTCGATCCCGTATCCTACAAATAGCGGAAGCCATAGGAATTCATACATTCAACGCCAATTTATGTGTTCAGGAGAAATTCATGGCACCCCTATCTCTTCCGTGACCGAACTAACGTTTTAATGTTTTTCAGTTTAGATTTTATTTTGTTATTATTAGCATTATTTTCACATCCTGTATTTGTTGGTAATTTTCTGCCTCTTCCCGTTTATATTCTTCACTGTCAAATTATGTACCTACTTCTTATTGCGTTTTAATGTTTTGTAATGATTATTTTAAGTCTATTTATCCACGTTTGACCTACTATTGACAAAATACTTTTGTTATCATATTTTATTTTTCTTACTACTACTAATCAGTACACCTGTCTTCCTACTATCTACTTGTACATTTACCTGTTATGTGTATTGACGTAATCTATCTTATTTCATAGATTGCCTTGATTGATTTAACATTTCCGTGATGACGATCTAATCGAAAACAATCATACTGTTCGCTTATATGTGTTATCCTAGTTGAACATTGTATTTTTCCTTGTTCAGTGAAGTGTTATTACCTAACACTACCACAACCATAATATTCCTGAATTGAAACTATAAACTGAGCTAATAATTAAATAACTTATTACTATTTGATATAATTTAGACAGTTTGTCATTCATTTTTTGTGAAATATAGTAGACATCTGACAAGATAAAAGAACTGACAATTTATTGTCAGTTTTATCCAATCGAACACAGATTTTGTTGTAATGACTTGGTCGTTTCAAATTCGATTTATCGATTATTTTGATAAACTCACGAATTATTTATTCAAAGAAATAGGCATTGATTGAATACTGATTACCTAATAAACGCATGTAGACCCCTTCACTTATCTGGGGAGTCTCATCAGTGCTGATGGCCTGGTGACTGACGAAATCTCAGCACGAATACAGAAAGCTCGATTGGCTTTCGCCAACCTGCGTCACTTATGGGGTAGGCGAGATATCCGTCTGATGACTAAAGGACGAGTGTACTGCGCAGTAGTTCGCTCCGTCTTACTTTATGGCTGTGAAACATGGCCAATGAGAGTAGAAGATACTCGTCGTTTATTGGTGTTCGATCATAGGTGTCTTAGAGGCATTGCTCGTATATCGTGGGACACTCGAGTGAGCAAAGCTGTTATTAGAAAACGGGTGCTAGGTAAGAGTGGCAGATCAAAAGATGAAGTGCTGAAACTTCATCAGTTGAGGTGATTGGGACATCTACTGCGTATGCCTAACCACCGATTGCCTCGTCGAGCTTTGTTTTGTAGTGTAGGAATAGGTTGGAAAAAAGCTAGGGGCGGCCAAACCAAAACATGGCATAAATCCATGAAGTCACTGACTAGTGGACTGAATCATGTCGGTAATTGTCGACTACCTGGTTGGGGTCCGCGAGATGATAATAATTGATGGTTAGAGACCTTGAATGACATGGCTCAAAATCGTTTGCAATGGCGCAGGTGCAATTATCCGTTGTGTTCTCTCAAATCCTAATCTTCTGGAATCGTCAGCACCTCTAGTTTTGTCTTTCTAACCTTATCTCACTGAATTATACTTCTTGAATAATATCTTCTAATCCTCTGTGCTAATGTGGTATGGCAACATGAACTGATGTACTTACGTACGAAGTTCTACGTTGCATCTGACTGACTGACCTAATAAACGTAAATTTAAATAAGTATATGTTCCAAGCTAATTTTCTGTTATGATTTTTTTTGCCCTAAATGACTAGATATAACTTTTTACATTTTAGCTGATTACTCAAAATTCAAGGTTAGATAAACTTAGTTTTTGGCAAATCACAATTCTAAGTTGATAACAGGCGGATCTAATGAAATGACAATACTATTCATTATTATTCATCGTTAAACTATATTTTAAAAATACCTAACAAAAGATAAGTCGATAGAAATCAAATAGAAACAACTAATTTAGAAAGCATGTTACACAGTAATAAATAAATCAATGATCTTATTACTTAAAATCATAGAGAAAAGTAATTTTGGTAACTACTTGTTCATAATTTCTGTAACAAGTTTGATGATTCATTTCCTGTTTTTCTGTAATCACAATAATAACGTTTAACTTAGAGTGAGAGATCGATTCTTATCATTCAGTTACGTTTTTGGATTATATGATTAAAAGGTAATGTCTGATCAGTCTGTCAGTCAATTACAACGTAGAACTTCGTACCTACGTACTACAGTTCAGTTTGCCATATCACATCAGCACATAGACGCAATTGTCACTTTAAATACCATAGTAGTAGAGATAGTAGATGTATTAGCAGTAATTGGAGAGATTAGGGTTCGAGGAAGTGATTCAAGAAGTAGAATCTAGTGAAATAAACTTAAAAAAAAGATGGAGGCGATGAGGAACTCCTAAGGTTAGGATTTGAGAGAGCACAAAGAGTGGATGTACCTGCGCCATTGCGAACGATTTTGAGCCATGCCATACAAGGTCTCTAACCATCGATTACTATCATCTCGCGGACCCCAAAAAGGTAGTCGACACCCACCAACATGATTCAGTCCACCTGTTTGTGACTTTAATGATTTCTGCCATATGTTGGACGCTTAAATGTGTGTCTGTGTTCCAGGACCTATCGTAGTGTGAACATGTGGTATATACAGCCACGTCCAGGTCTGAAACCAGACTGATTTTCTCTAGTCTGCTCTTCACGAGCTCTAGTTAGGCATCTAAGTATAATCGAGGCTAGCAATTTAGACACTATATCAGGTAGATTGATTTCTTTATGATTGCCACAAGAGGACTTTTGTCCTTTTTTATAAACTGGGACAATCAGTGATTGAGATCAGTCGGATGGAATTACTACCAGTTTCCAGATTCTACCTAAGATCTCAGTCAGTCTATCTACTAAAACTGGACCACCATCATTAAAACTTTCAGGAGTCTATCTGTCAGGACCCGCTGCTCTCCCTCGCTTCCTGTAAGCTGCAAACAAATACGTACTCGCATTAGAGCATGATCAGAATCTAGACACGTTCCCCAGAATGAGCGACAGTCTTCGATAGAACCCCTCCATCGGTGGCTGATAGCGATGTGATCCAGTTGGGTCTATCGTTGGGTCGGCTTTGGGAGTCACCAGATCAAGAGATATTTTTCCTTTTGCTTAAAGTTAGCGTTTGCTAGAAATAGGCCGTTATCTGACCATAGCTACAGCAGACGGTCGACATGATCTGATCTTTGAGCCACGACACAATAAGATCCACCAAGGTGTCTTTCATTTTTACTTAGTCTACCTACTTGAGCTTTAAAGTCACCTGCCATTATAGCTATATCAGTGGAGGAGTTCCGAAAGCTTTCTGTAAAACTCATCTTTCACCTCTTCTGAACTGCAGTCAGTGGCAGCGTGGGCAGATATGACGAAGAGGCAACGGCGAGTTTCCCTATCTTTACGAGTCCACAATGACCCGTTTAGTTGGACAGTGCATAAGCGACTGTCTACTGGGATCTAGCCTAAGAGAGCTAGTTCTTCCCGACGACTTAATACTATACTTACACCAGTGAGATCACGGAAAATAGCCTTGTCTGATCACCTTATTTACATAAAGTCTAAAGTTTCATTGTCAAATGACACTGAACTAATGTTATTACTAATGTGAATTTCAACAAATCTTTTGACTAGATAAGATTTCCAAAGAAATACACCATTTCTTTTTACCTTTTTTCTAATTTCCTTAACAATCAACATTTCACACACTTTTAAACATTATATCATGTTAAAATTGCAAATTATTATTTATGTTACTTTCACTTTTGATTCAATGAATTAATTAACAAGTTTATCAATTTATTGATTCATTACTATATACACATACTTTTGAGCCATTTCAGAAGTTTGCCAGTCTTGAACAAGTTGTTGACCAACTAAATGTATTCTTTCTTGTGTATCATGATGATCCATAATTTGAACATCTAAAATATAATAAATTTTGTAACACAAGTTGGAAATGAATTAAACAGTGTATACTATTTGTAAGTAGCATAACAAGTAGTTAGTATTCAAAATTTACTGTTGCGATCTATACTCGGTTAAGTATTGAACATATTTTCTTAAAGTAGATTATGAAATTTTTATTTGATTGATGAGTAGGTTAGATTCAACGGTGGGCTCACCAAATTTGTGGTGTCCGAATTCGATGTGTTCTTAATCTTCGTAATTAGCTCGTTCAGACAATCGTTACTAAATAGCGTCTGACGGTTTATAAATCAGAAGGTGAACTGGAAGTGTTGAATACGTTTATTTTTGGCACACCACAAAATGGGATAGCAGACTACAAGCGCTAAAAGATAGTTATGCGAGAGCCGGAAAGCAAGCAAACGAGTGAATAGGCGAATGAACGGATGAAGCGATGTGGAGAAGGCTTGTGCGCCAAGTCCCAGAGAATAAGCATGACTAAGAATTTATAGTCGGACAAAAATAAGACAGATATGTGATCATCGAGATAGGCATGCACATTCATGAATAAAAGCGACGAATGGTTGACAAGGCCAAAAGACAAGTTATGCAAGACATGTGAGCTCATACAAACCAGACAATAATAAGAACGAATGGTACATATAAACTGTTGCTATACAAATGGCTTGGCTAAATAAGTTAATCGGAAGGGCTTAACCAAATTAAATGTAAGCGAACCCGAATATATGTGGAGGCCCTACATGATTTTACCTTAAATTTAAAAGAGGAAGGCCAGGGAACACATTACTCAAAGAAATGGATACAGATATGAGAGGAATGAAGAACGATTGGACAGAACTTGAAAGGAAGGCTTAGGACAGTGTAGGTTTAAAAACACTAGTCAGCAGCATATGCTCCACTGGGGATAACAGGCGTAAGTAAGTAAGTAAAGAATATTTTATGACTGAAACATGATTAGTTATTTTATTCGGGTACCGTACTCATGTATTCGCTTCTTATAACTGTACGCAAACCAGCAACTTGAGTAAAAACAAAACCAAGAATGAGTATTAGGCTTTTTACTGGTTTATCAAATAGAGAACGTATATCTATTCAGTGTACATCCACGATCTCCATAATACTATGATGAAAAGTCGAAAAATGTGCTCACTAGTGACTAGCTTCGTGAGGAAATTCTCGGAGGTATAGTAAGAGGACGCAACCAGTGGAGTTCTGCCCTATTGGGTTTAGGCAGTAACTACCGAAGCCAGTGAGTGAAGTCGAGCGAAAATCTGTCGATTGATCAGAGTTAGACATTAACACCGATGGATGCCGGCTCATTGGTTAAGCGTTCGCTCACTAGACAGAAAGTCCTGAGTTAGGATCCTGCGAGTAGCAGGACTCGTGAATGCACACGGCTGATGAGTCCCATACCAGGACGAAACGTCTGTCCAGCGCTTCTAGGTTTCTAATGATGATCTAACAATGATTCGTTCATAGGTTCCAATGTGTAAAAACACTAATCTTCATAATTCTATAATACAAGATACATTATTACTAATATTAAGCTTGTACCCAAATGGCTATGGAATCAACTGTCTTTAATTAATCACAGCTTTTTAAAATTATTTTGATAATTGGTGTTTCACGGAATCAAATTACATTCAGTCCTCCTGAAATAACAGCGTATGTATAGTGTGCAAAAACAACCGAATAAATATAGAATAAGTTAACTAAATATATGACATATATACATACTTAAAGTATCTATAGTAACTGGTTGTCATAACAATGTAATCATCTTCTACAAAGTCTATTATCAGGTGAACGGACAAATCATATATATATATTTATGTAAAGGGGACATCATTAAATTGTATTGTATTGTATTCAAAATTATAAATCAAATATGTTAATTTTGAACATGGTAGGCAAGAAATTATGGGTGTTGAATTTTCTGATGATTTTTCATAGGTTTCTTAGTTATGTTACATCGGAAAAAAATCGCCCCCTTTTTTGACCTATGAAACGACCTTGAGATTAAACTTTGAAGGTGAGATCATCCCATTAAGACCAGTTAAGTTTTAAACACGAATTAAATATACCAACAGTCTTTGAACACTAATCATTTCTAATCTTTAGTTCCTTTTTTCCTGAGAATAAAATAACTTGTTCAACTAAAATAACCTGATCATCTGTTAGGTTAAACTGTCCCCCAGATGGTAATTTATAAACCGTTTTCTCTAAATGGACTACTAAGATAGAGTTATTTATTGCTACTATTATTATGCTTACTACTACAACAAATACTACTACTAATGTAGTGAACGAGATTACAGGTGGGGCAACCGGACTGTATTTAACGAAAATTACAGAGTTACTCAGTAAAATCGGAAAACCATATCGTAAATCGTTAATTTGCAAAATATCAGTTCATCATATCGAACTGGACTGTTCCTGTTGCAAAACATCAATCCATTGTCACTCACTATTCATGCGTTGCATACAAATTCCATTGTGTTCTAACTCTTTCTTTCTTGATCTTCCCCCCATCTTCTGCTGCCAGACATTACGTTGACACTCACGTCATATACTACTTATAAGTAGCTCGCACCACACTAATACTAATACTACTGGATTGGAGTGAGACTCTGTTAATGAGTAAACAATGATGTGTCGTGATGAGTCGTGGGAGTCCATAACTTTACCAGTGATCGAACCCAGAACTTTGAGTCTTGTAAAAAATAGTCCAACCCTTATAGATTTTGTTTATTATGTAAACTACCTGATGTAGTTCCATGTTGACGTAAACATTCACCGTGGATAACATCCATAAAAAAATCTGGTGGATTATTGTGATTTTCACATATATAACCTGTAACACAATAAAAGAAAAATTGCTTTATCAAAAATTTTGTTATAATCAATACTGTGTATTATAGTTTACGAATTATATTTACTGTTCTCAGTGATAATAGTACCTAAAATGTAGAGACACCAATATTTAGCGCTAACACTATGAGCCTGAAGTTTATACTTACTTCATTCATTACTAAACTGTATGTACTTACTTACTTACGCCTTTTACCCCCAATGAAGCATAGGCCGCTCACCAGTTTTCTCCAACCAACTCTGTCCTGGGCTTCCCTTTCCAGTTCTGTCCAATTTTTGTTCATTCTTCTTATATCTTTCTCTATTTCTCCGCGTAATGTGTAATACATATATTAAATTGTATGTATTACTTTCATATTAAAGAATAGAGACTTAATTATTCAACATGTCTCCTTCGCTCATGGACTTTGTATAAGAAGCTAAAACATATCATCGAATAACTGATTTATCTTGGTCTGGGTTTTTTTCAGATGTTTATAGTCCCTATCCTTCAATGAATCGAGCTCAAAGGCTATAATTTGGCTTTTAAGCATGATTTCTGTAGCCTCCTAGTTTGGTAGAGTTAATTTTAATCCATGATAAAAAATGTCAGCAATTTAAATCAATCTCCACAAAACTAATTAGGTTTTGTTTTTGTCAAAAATAAAATTTTCCAGTTGATTATATTTTTCACATTTTAAGTAAGTCCTTATTTAGGATATTCATTATTTAAGTATTGTGTTATATGCGTGATTTTGATCAACCTGTATGAAAAAATAACAGTCATTAGTATATTTATAAACTGTTTAAACTTTGCCGAACTCAATATTTACTGAGATTTCCGTTGCTTGCTTTACTTACTTACGCCTGTCAGCTCCAATCGAGCATTGGCCGCCGACTAGTGTTCGCCAACTTACTCCGTCCTGGGCTTCCCTTTGCAATTCTTTCCAATTTTTGTCCATTCTCTATTTCTCAGCTTGATGTATTCCTTCGCCTTCCTCTTCTTCTTTTTTACATTGAGGGTTCCAAGTGGGGGCTTGTCTTGTGATGCAGTTGTGTGCATTCCTCATTGTGTGTCCTATCCACTTCCAGCGCCTCTTCCTGATTTCGTCTTCCACTACAATCTGGTTTGTTCTTTCCAACAATAGGCTGTTGCTGATGGTGTCTGGCCGACGGACCCGAAGTATTTTGCGTAGACAACTGTTAATGAATACTTGTATCTTCTGGATGATGTCTATCTTAGTTCTCCAAGTTTCCACTCCATATAGTAGAATTGTCTTGACATTTCTATTGAAACTTCTAACTTTGATATTGTTTGATAGTTTCTTGAATTTCAGATATTGTTCAACTGTTGAAATACAGCCCTTGCTTTGCCGATCTGCAATTTCACATCTGCATCGGATCCACCTCGATTGTCGATGGTGCTGCCCAGATGTGTAAATGTTTTATGTCCTCCAAGGCATCTCCATCAAGAGTGGTTTGTTTGGTGCATGTTGTGTTGAATCAGAAAATCTTGCTTTTCCCTTCATTTATGTTGAGACTTGCTGCTGTTTAGGCTGCTGGTACACTGGTTGTCTTCTCTTGCATTTATTGTTTCGTTTGCGATAGAAGAGCCACACCTTCTGCAAAGTCCAGATCGTCCAGCTGCATCCTGGTTGTCCACTGTATCCCGTGCTTCCCTCCAGATGTTGACATCTGCATAATCCAGTCAATCACATCACGAGAAAAGATTTCTGTTAAGCCATTTCTAATTAGCAATCTCTAATTAATTCAAAGGTAGACGTACCACATATGCATGCATAGATCAACAGCGGAATGTTTTATTCGATCTTATCACCTTTAGAAAACTTCCACAGTTTTAAATTCAATATTTAAAGAAAAAATCAGTTATTTTTATTTTCTTTTGTTGTAACAACTCAATAACTAACACTTATTTATTCATAAAATAATTTGCGCTCAAAAATTCAATTTATTTAAGCATTTCTATTTCATATCATAGAAAAATTGTGGCTGGGGTAGTGAGAAATAATCAGCTTACCTAAACGACCAAAATATTGAATTGGTTCCTTTTTTGCCAATCCATGATAAATTATTTGACCACGATAGATTAAAGTTAATGTATCAAACAATTTATAGATTGAATATTTCGGTTGATGTATAGAAAATATAATCGTACGACCACGTCTAGCTAAACTGTCAGGTAGATGATAGATAGTCACAGTAAAAGGAGATAATTATTATCATTGATAAATCCATATACAAAATTAAGCGACTAGTGAAATGTATAACTCTGATGTCGTAGACATTGCCACAAGACTCTGTTCGTTATGATAAGAAACACTAATTTACTGAAAATATCACACAATAAATACTCAAGGTCAAAGGTATAGAGGAAGACCGAAGAACACGATACATTGAGAATTTGAGGCAGACATGAAAATAATGAACAGTAGTTGGATACAGTCAGTTGCAACGTAGAACTTCGTACGTATGTACATAAGTTCAGGTTGCCATATACCACATTAGCACAGAGACGCAAATGTCAAATCAGATCCCATAGTGATAAAGATAGTAGAGGTATTAATGGTAATGAAGAAGACTAGGGTTTGAAGATATTATTCAAGAAATATAATTCAGTGAGATAAGGTTAGAAAGACAAAGGTAGACGTGCTGACGAATCCAGAAGATTGGGATTTGAGAGAGCACAACGAATGGATGCACTTGTGCCATTGCAAACGATTTTGAGCCATGTCGTTCAAGGTCTCTAACCATTGGTGACTTTCGTCTCGCGAACCCCAACCACGTAGCCTACATCTACCAACATGATTCAGTCCACCTGTCAGTGACTTCATGAATTTCTGCCATGTTTTGGTTTGGCCGCCCCTATCTTTCTTCCAACCTCCTCCTACACCACAAAACATAGCTCGTCGAGGCAGTCGGTGGTTAGACATACGTAACACATGTCCCAACCACCTCAACTGATCAAGTTTCACCACTTCATCTATTGATCTGCCATCCTTACCTAGCACCCGTTCCCTAACGACAGAGTTGCTTAGTCGGTAGTCCCAGAATATATGAGCAATGCTTCGAAGACGCCAATGATTGAAGACCAGTAACCTACAAATATCTTCTTCCCTCACTGGTCATGTTTCACAGCCATATAGTAGGACGGAGCGAACTACCGCGCAGTGCACTCGTCCTTTTGTCAGCAAACAGATATCTCGCCTGCGCCATAAGTGACGCAGGTTGGCAAAAGCCAATCGAGCCTTCTGTATCCTTGCTGAGATTTCGTCAGTCACCAGGCCATCAGCACTGATAACAACCCCCTTAGATACGTGAAGCGGTTTACACGTTCGACTACTTCACTCCCTTTCACTTGTTTAGGTGCCGAGGCAACCCAATCCTGAAGCAACACTTTGCACTTGGACGGGGAGAACCCGTTTTGGTGCTCAATACAAACATAATAGAAAGCTTTCGATTTGAACTTTGTGTTTCCAGTAAATTTTAAAGGGATTAACTAATATAATCTACATCTTTGCAAAACTAACTGAAATACATAAATGTAACAAATGACATTATTTATGAAAATTATATTTTGAAAAAATTTCACAGAATAAAATTTAAGTAATTCCAACTGTTAGGACCTATTTAGGGCAATAATCAGAAATGAAATTTCTGTCAAACTATCCCTTAAAATATTAACGTATGCTAGTATTATTACAATCGTCAATATCTAATTACAGATTGTACAGAACTTTGCTTACACAGACTATAAATAAAATTGCAAGTATTTATTGATAGTATGTTGAAATTCATTTCGTAATTCACTGACTATACATTGGAAAAGTTATTTGTCTAATACATAAAAAAATTCAAACTTTTTTGTGTGAGCAAAAAAACTACGTACTGCTTACAAAACCAACGATTTTCTAGGTTCTTGGTTTAACTTAGCATTTACAGTGCGGTACTTGTAAGGCTTTTAAGGCATGAAGACAATACTCTGTTAGTATTTGAGTAAAACAAATCTAAAATTACATTATAAGAGTTTTATCTTTGAATTAACAAGATATTTGAATAAGATAAACCATGATTTTGAGATGGTGGAGAAAATTTCTAGCTCAGGTGGATGATTTTAGTGGTGTTTCGTTCTCTGAGCCGGATGTTTTGGTTATGGAGCTTTCATTGTTCTTCTGATGAACAGAACATCATCAGCACAAACTTCAGATAGAAGTAAATTACAATGGAAACAAAGCTGCAAACAACGACAGGTTTAAGGTCAACAACAACCAATCAAGATCGAGGTTAACAAGGCAAGCTACGGGAAAAATGTCGAGAAATTCGAATACTTCACTTCTGCTATCTGAAGTTTGTGCTAATGATGATGTTGTTCAGCAGAAGAACAATGAAAGCTCCACAACCAAAACATCCAGCTCAGAGAATAAAACACTACCATAAACGATTATTTAAAAGCGTAATTGTTGGGGAATTAATTATCAATAGAGAAACTCAGTTGGTCGGATCAATAAGTCGTCCATAGTATTGATCGAGAAATCCAAGCAGGACTATCATTTTTATACACAATATTCAACTAATTTAGTATTAATTTTACCAGATAATGAATGATTAATCACAGATGAAAACAACGATTAAAAGATTCTCTGATATTAAGTCTAGAGGATTCAAATTATAACTATGACAATCATTTCAAATGGTTTTTAAATATTAAGCGACTAGCTATGATGAACGTATTAAACCTATAAGTTAGGTGGAACCATTTACAGGGAAGTATTGAGCAGGTCAAATAAAAAATAACCGTTTGAAAAATGGTATATATATAAAACCTGAACCATTTCTGTTGATAAGCTGTGGTACATTTGATTGTCTTCTTCAACAAAAATTTACACCTATCATTTACGACTATTTACATCGAATGTTTCAAATCAAAGAGAATGATTATTCCTTCATATACGATTACTGAAGTCGTAACTCTCAATATTGACCACGAATGTAGCTATCTAACTAAATACCATGAAACCATAAGATGTTATACTCGATTTTAAACTTTGTCAATAGAACCATTGGAAAATCTCGGCTCTTAATCATTTGTACGAGTAAAACTGACAATTTTAGACAATTAGTTGAAATGCCTGGTATCTTATTGAATAATCGTTCAGTAACAACGTAAATATTTGATGGGGTAGAAATTTGTTTAGAAAACTAAGTAATTCAAAGTTCAAGTAGTTGAATATAACACAACAGATATGAATTTTAACTGTATGATATTATTACAAAGTATCATAATAAGATATTTTGGCTGAAAAATGAATGTTTCTATCAAAAAATCCATTTTATTTTAATAAGTAGTGTGTTAATTTTTAAAAAAAAACTAAAATCATAAACAAGTGAGCTGTGCATTTTCTTACGCTTTCAGTGTTTTAACAACTTGTCCTGCCATATATGCATCTAAACCTGTGGTTGGTTCATCTAAAAATAACACAGGTGGTTCCGTGATAAGTTCCATTCCAATACTGGTTCTTTTACGTTCACCACCTGATACTCCACGAACTAATTCAGTCCCGACCTAAACAGATAGGTGAGAAAAAATATAGAAATAAACTGGTTATTTGATAATTTTTTAAAATATGAGAAACGTCGGGTACATAATGTACTTTGTAAAAGTATTTTTAATATGATATTTCGCCTATAACTTATGTGAAGTAAAAGGATGATAGATAATGTATTAACTGTGTCCAGTAGGCACGAAATAAATCACGCAAAACTGTCCGATCTTAACTTCGACTGAACTAATCTGTTAACTTCAACAAATATGAGATTTTGTCATATTACAAACAGCGAACTAAATTTTCTTCTTGAAACCAAAAACGGGTAACTGTTTATCAACAAATTAAGGAGGTAGGCATGAATTCAATCTAATAATTTGGCTATGATTCTATGGATTGATCAATGATCTGCAGGAATCTTTATTTTAAAGAAGCTTAGATTTTAAGTAACTTTTTACTATATTTTAAAATCTTGCTGATTATTTTGCATCTATACGATATTATCTTGTTTAGCACAAAGTAATATGTTTTAACATCTCCACTCATTTGACAACTTTGACTTTTGTGAATTACTGGCTAAAAATTCTTTTGGAATATTAGATAATTAAAATGCAAGTCGATAGATGGTATGTAGTGACACAATGTAACCGACATCATTAGAGATCAGTTTATTGATCAAAGTCATGAAAATGAAGTTTTGTCGAAAGAAAATACTGCTAAAGAACAAAGATTTCCGACTGTGAAAGAGACATATTTATTAACAAGATGTAAGGTGGTCGTTGGACGTAGAAGATAGGGATTGGTGGATCTAGGTTTCATGCCATTTGACAGTGGTCTGATCAGTGGTAACGCTAAATAACTACGAATCTGGCTAACAAAGGATCGAATCTGTCGTGGAGTATTATTTCCTTTAGATTACACAGGTACACCCTGATAATGGATGACAAACAGCATGAAATCTAGGTCGAGCAGGGCCTCCTTTCGATTACCTTGAGTCACCACCTTTTATCTCACTGAAAGGGATGTTGTTCTTCTGAACAATATCATCAGCACAAACTTCAGACAGTAGTAAATTGATATATAGGGTGATAGCAGAATGAAATAAATTTTATCTATTTCATAGATTGACTTTAGTTACTTATAATCTAAAAATGATAATAGTAATCATTACAAATTCATGTATATATAAAATATCTAATATTTTGATATCAAAAAAGTTCTCATCAATGAAGACTTAATCATAAAAGAGGAAGTAATAAGCATGTCAATCATATGAGGTATTCTTCACATGGTTGAACAAATTTCTATCAAGACAGATTAATGAAAAACAATTGCGTTAGAATTTACTAAATAAAATAATTATGTTAATTAGAAAATTAAAAATGTGTAAAGTTCAAAGAACAAGCACAAAAAAATGATCAAGAAATTAAATTTAAAATTGATTATAAAAATAAACTGTCTTTCAATGAACTGTTGGAGATTGAGGTCATTAGGGGTAATGTCACACTAAAAGCACAGTATCCTTATAAATATATATTCATGTTTAATAACGATAATTTTGGCAAAATGTAACAAGTTTGAACTCGTTCGGTGATCGATAATCATGAATGACTTTGAAATCGCAATTTCTGTAAAGATAGGTTTGGACATGTGATACAATCAAAATAAAGGTGCATAGAACAACAATGAGTTTAAGGTCAGTAACAACCAATCATGATCGAGGTTCACAGAACAAGCGACAGGTCATAATATAGAGAAATTCGAATACTTCACATACGAAGCACTAAAAAACGAGGAAAAACACCTTTTGACTACTATCTTCTATCTATCCACGCAACTTCATCAAAAAACATTAACTGTAATCGTCAACAGAAGTGAAATCAAGTACAGAAACCAATAAACGGATCATCCTACCATACATGAAAGACATATCGGAGCATATAGCACGACTACTGAAACCATTTGGAATAGGTGTGGCACACAAACCAATAGAATCACTTCAATCAATCCTATGTAGACCAAAGAACAAAATATTCCCATTGTGAAAATTAGAACAACACATATAAGCGAACAATATTGTTTTCGATTAGATCGTCATCAGGCTTTACTCTAATATACATGAATATTTATATGAAAATGTTAAACCAATCAAGGCAATTTGAGTAAATCCTAAGCTCGTTTTCGCTTATTTCATGTGGGGATCCTGCTGCATTTAAGGCACTCAATGAGTTCCTGAAGTTTAATGCGCGTCTCACGGAAGCGAAAACGAGCTTAGGATTTACTCAAATTGCCTTGATTGGTTTAACATTTTCATATAAATATTCATGTATATTAGAGTAAAGCCTGATGACGATCTAATCGAAAACAATATTGTTCGCTTATATGTGTTGTTCTAAAGAACAAAATGACAAAGGAAGAAAAACCAAATCTCATCTACAAAATAAATTGCTCAGACTGTAAAAAGCACTACATAGGACAAAGGGACAACCTTTTCAGCTTCGTTTACGTGAACACCAATTAGCAGTCAAACGCCACGACAACGCTTCGCTTATATCAACACACACCGACAATTATGGACACACATTTGATTGGAACAATGTGGAAATACTGGATGGGGGGAGGACAAAGAACACTAGGTAATTTTTAGAACCTTGGCACCCAGGTTAATCAGCAATCAACAAACACATCGACATTGACCTAATTTATCAACCAATCAGGAAAATCATAAGTGACATAGGATCAAGAAACAGATCAAAAAGAGGATACAATCAAAACAAAGTTGCAAACAACGACAGGTTTAAGGTCAACAGCAACTAATCAAGATCGAGGTTAGCAGAACAAGCTATAGGTCAAACGTGGAGATATTCGAATACTTCACTTCTATCTGAAGTTTGTGCTGATGATGTTGTTCAGAAGAAGAACAATAAAAGTTCCACAACCAAAACAACATCAAGCTCATAGAGAACGAAATGTGAGCATTATCTCTCCTTCACCCTCCTTCAAAATGTACTCTACTGTGTGAATATAATAAACCAACAAACACTTTAAAGGTTGTGTGAGATAAGTATTCATCCACTATTTATTGTCTAAGAAAGTAATTCATTGATGAGAATTTTCTCGACACTATGATGTTAAGTATGTTCACTGTGTTCTTAATAATTTATTCTGTTACTATTAAGTTGTAAGTATCTGAAGACTGTCTATGAAATAAATCAATTCACATAAATCTGTATTCTCTCCAATTCTAATTTCCAGAATCCCTCATCATCCCTATCTTACTCTTTCTAAAGTTATTTCACTGAATTATACTTCTTGAATAATATTTTCGAACCCGAAATTTCTCCATTACGGCTAATACTTCTCCTATCTCTACCACTATGGGATATGAAATGACAGTTGCCTCTCTGTGCTAAAATGTGATATGACAACCTGAAATGATGTATTTACGTACGATGTTCTACGTTGCAACTGATTGACTGAATCTGTTACCGCTGTTGTTCTTATTTTGCTTAAAATATAGATAGATTTGATGTAATAAAATCTAACATGATTAGAACCACATGTAAAGAAGCATTTACAATTTAAAAGATAAGGGGTTTATGTGAGTCATTTAATTGAGTAGTGAAATAGAAATCTGACTTTAAGGTTATATATTTTGCTTGTCCTATCATGAAGAATAAAAACTAGACACAATACAGGATTTGTGTTCAATGTTAGTTGAGTTCAAAATAATGATGAAAAGAGAAAAATAAACATGAATAGACTTGTATAGCCATGATTCTAACAGTCTTTTTGTATCAAAGTCATTAATAGTAACATGAAAATATTTATCTTTCTTAAATTTATGTTTCGTTCTAAAAATTTCGTTAAATGACTTGTTTATTCCATTTTGTTATGTCTTAATCGGTATTCTAAACAAACTAGTATTGTTTTACGTTTGAATGCAATCAACTGGTTTCATTTAGTCATCTAGATATAGAGTATACTAAGTGCTATTTTGAAAACAAATTATATATATTTATAAATAATCTGTAAATAACGTTACCTTCTCTAAAACAGAAACGCTTCCATGAACTTAATGGCATACATTTGAGTTTGCTCATATTATTATTGCGTTGCGGGGTTGTTGTGAAGATTGATCGATTCATGGTTACAAATAAAACTTAACAATGTTAGACCACCATTAGGAACCTGGAAGCATTGGACGGCCGTTTCGTCCTGGTATGAGACTCATCAGCAGTGCGCATCCACGACTCCTGCACCCCGCAGGATTCGAACCCACGACCTTCGGTAGTGTGCGCCAACGCCCTAACCGTTAGACCACTGAGCCGGTACCTAACGGTGTTAATGTCTAAGTTGATCAAATTCACGGAGTTGTGCAACCTCATACACTGTATACATCCGAACAGGTTTGAACTTCACTGGTCACGACTTCCCACTAGGAGTTGTGGATGCGCACTACTGATGAGTCCCATACCAGGACGAAACGGCCATCCAGTGCTTCCAGGTTTTTAATGGTGGTCTAACATTGATCGATTCATGGTTACAAATAACTTATTATTATTGTAGAGTTTTTATGAGCAGGGTATGTCTGAACATAGCTGACTACCTACGTGCATATTCATCCTATTCGCTTTAATATTAGCTTCTTAAATAATCCGATGACTTATTCATTTTCCTATGTATATTATATATGCACATTTTCATCCTATTCATTCATTCGTTCGTTCGCTTGCTTGCGTTCCGTTGCTTGCACATTATTTTTACTACGTGTGCCTGTGGCTTTGGTGGTCTGTTTATGGTATGACAATAAATGCATTCTACAATTCGTATTCATCTTTTGATTTATCAACCTTTGGATGTTATCTAGTAACGGCTGTCAGGACGAGCAGTATACAAAGTCTAAGAATACCGACCGCCACAAGACTGGTGAGATACCGGCCACCATAGGCCCTTCTAATAGCGTAAGCATTAATGGTTATTTTGACTATGGAAGTTCATATTTGTACGTCATTGGATTTGGTTATGTGTTCTCTGAAATCTAATTAAAGTTGGATATATAATACATAAAATTATAGTCCTGAGTTTGATCCCCGTAGGAGTATAATGTCAACTAGAAACTCTAACTCCTATTCTATTTAGTACGTTTCAGTGAATCATTTCAAAACACATAGTCTTTTTGAAATGATCTGGATTATCTCGCTGTTGATATTTTGACTGCAATTCGATCAGTCTCGTTAGGTATACGGGGATCCTCAATATTAGTCATTTTGACACAACTTTGCGTAGAATGTACATCTAATTGACCAGTTCCAAATGGAACCTAACACGTGTCCTGCATTCCTACATTCTAAATAAACATAATCCTTTTGCTTTTTGGCTTTTATCTTTGTGTACAGACTACTATGAATAGTGACTTTGTTTCCTAGCTAGTTCATTTTAAAAATGTAGTTTTAAGTAATGAGTTGTCAACTTCACATGTGTTTATACAGTTATATTCATATCACTATTTTATATTACCTTACTATCTGCCACAGCATTTAAACCCAATTCATCGATAATATCGTTAACTTTTTGATTTCTTTCTTCTGCTGTACAATGCATTGTCATTCTTAGTGCTGCTGAAAAATTTAAATTCTCTCTTACTGTTAAGGTGCCCATTACAATATCATCCTAGAAATTGTAGCAAAAAAGAACACGTATAACTGGTAAATACAAAACGATTTTGGCAGAAATAGTGATCGAAAAATTCCTACATAATTAGTGCTGGCTTTACAAGCCTCCTTTGAACAAAACATTCGATATAAAAAAGCAATATTTTTTTTCCGTTACATGTTTTCAACTCTACTGGACAGGTTAATCCATACAACTATTAAACAGATTTAATTTTTTTTACTTCATATTCAAAGAATATATGGGTAATGCATTGACAAAAAATGTTCATATCAAAGGTACTTTTAATTTCATAATTTATGTATAGTTCGTTGATAAATATTCAATTACTGAATAACTATCAACTGAAGTTCTTGTTCACTAGTTGTACCAATTAAACCATATGGATTAAAACGGCAGTTGATATGCACTAACTATTACGAATTCATCTTGGCCAGTAAACGAGAGCAAAGTCAAATGATCTAGTGACACGACAGGCTACTCTAATCCGAGCGTCCCAAGGCTCCACTAAGTAGAGGAAGAAGTCTTGAGAAGACGTAGATAGTGTATTCTACAAGTACCCAGAAAATATGAGGTTGACCAACACAATAACCAAGTTTATTTATACATGATAGAAATGTCCTTGGGAGAGCCACCAAAATAGCGTACTAAAATACTACATCAATCAATAACGGTCAAGGATCTTCGGAGTGGGAAATATAGTTTCAAGGTCAACTGGTCAGCCCATAAAATCCAAAATTAGGTCCCTTATCAAGTGCGTTATGGGGATCCAACGTCCGCAACAGAAGTGCTATGTAAGTTCTGAATCACTACATTAGTTGAACTAGTCATGAACAAAAAAATGTATAATTTTTTAAAGAATACAGAAATAAATTATTTACCTGTACAACATAACCGGAAATGCATTTGAAATTTTTCGGTTGAGGTCTACCGTCAATTAAAACTTTTCCAGAAAGAAACTTTGGATCTTTACGACCAGCTAACACATCTAGAAGCCTTAAATAATTTTTTGGAAAAAACGGTTATAAATTATCACAAGGCAATGTAAACTACATGAAGGCTAGGCAATCATTTTTTATCTAATTAGTAGTTTATGAGTTTAAACTTAATATATAAATTGAATTTAGTTTGGGATTTTGTGACATTAATCGCACTAGTCAGCTTCGTTATGTTATTTTTAGTGTTCATGACATTTTACATTTTTGGAACGATGAAATCAAGTGAAAAAACTGTTCAGAACAGAGATCTATCGAGTTACATAGGTACAATTTACACTTTTTCGAAGTCTATTTTTATGAACCTGTCAGTTCATCACCTCTTATGATCAATGCTTATAAAGATGATTACTTGAGTTTGACATTTGAACTCATCGTAACACATAAGACATTCTCATATTGAAGGCTATTCCCAAATAAGCCTTTTATTTACATGAAGTATTGTAGTGCCTCCACATATATTCCAGTTCGCTTACATTTAATTTGGTTAAGCCTTTTAGATTAATTTATTTAACCAAGCCATTTGTATTGCAACAGTTTATATGTACCATTCGTTCTTATTATCGTCTGGTTTGTATGAGCTCACATGACTTGCTCCACTTGTCATTTGACCTTGTCAACCATTCGTCACTTTTATTCATGTGTGTGCACGCCTATTTCGCTTGTCATATGTCTGTCTTATATTTGTCTGACTATATATTCTTACACATTTGAAATCATTAATCAATCATCATTGTTAGACCACCATTAGAAACCTGGAAGCACTGGACGGCCGTTTCGTCCTAGTATGGGACTCCTCAGCAGTGCGCATCCACGACTCCTGCTCCTCGCAGGATTCGAACCCGGGACCTTTGGCATTGTAGGCGAACGCCTTACCATCGGACCACTGGGCCGGCATCCAACGGTGATAATGTCTAACTCTGATTGATCTAGGGATTTTGCGCGACCTCACCCATTTGTCTTTGGTAGTTACTGCCTACACCCGACAGGGTTGAACTCCACTGGTCACGTCTTCTCAACTAGAACTCCGAGAATTTCCTCACGAAGCTAGTCACTAGTGAGCACTGTTACATTATATTGGGGCACAGTTTTGGATCAGAGTTAGACATTATCACCGTTGGATGCCGGCCCAGTGGTCCGATGGTAAGGCGTTCGCCTACAATGCCAAAGGTCCCGGGTTCGAATCCTGCGAGGAGCAGGAGTCGTGGATGCGCACTGCTGAGGAGTCCCATACTAGGACGAAACGGCCGTCCAGTGCTTCCAGGTTTCTAATGGTGGTCTAACAATGATGATTGATTAATGATTTCAAATGTGTAAAAACGCAAACCTCCAAAACTGTGCCCCAATATATATTCTTAGTCATGCTCTATCTCAAGGAGTTGGCTCATTAGCTCAATTGATTAATATTTAATAAAGTTTTTATTTCTCATTATTATTATTATTATTATCATGGAACTAGGTGAACGTTGAACTATGCAACATTAAGTCAATGCTTGCACATACTTTTTAAGCTAACATCTCAATACAGAATCATGATCAAGGCAATGAGCAACTACTGGAGATTAAGGAATGGTGATATGACTTGATCATTTATGCACTTAACTTTCATTTATTTCAGTCTTAATAATCATTCTATGTAATTCATTTCTTTTTTTGTGATTGCTCAACAACTATGGTGTAAAGAGATTTACATAGCTTTTGATGATAGTACATAAGTTATATACTTCAGTTTACACAAAGAATAATTTACGGAGTTGTAGTGAACTAGAGAAATTTCTGTAGAAGCAGACTATGTTATAAAAGTATGTAGTTCCGACCAAAATCAAAGGATGATTCAATTTATTAACTTTCTCACTTGAACAACTAGAAACACGTGTGTGAATTGGAAATTACTGTTTTAATAAAAATATCTGAATATGATTTTCACAATTGAGAAGATAAAATAGGCGTATTAAAAAAATTAAGTTGATAGGGATTTATAGTTGTGGATTAAAGTTTGTTTCGTGACAGCCGGTATCCACCGTGTGCTTAGACTTCGTAATTTGCTCATCCAGACAATCGTTACTAAGTAGCGGCTGACGATTCTAAATCAGGTGAACACGAAGTGTTGAAAATGTTTATTTTCGCACGCCACAAATAAAACAGCAGACCACAAGCACGCAGACTAGTGCAAGCACACTAGCGAGCGACTTGCCCAATCGGCGAATAAAATAATAAGATTCCAATGTAAATATATATATATAGAAAAATGGCTGAGTCATCGAAATATTTAAGAGATTAACATTTAAGTTAGTAGGATGAATATTCAAGTATGCGGTAAGCAATGTTCAGTCGTACCAGTTCATAAAAACCAGACAATAGTAAAAGCCGGTGGAACATAAAAGCTGTTTCGAGACAAGGGGCTTGGTTAAATAAGTTAATCGTAAGGCTTAATCACTTTAAATATGAGCGAAATCAAGCGGTATCTGGAGGCACTACAAATCTCTAGAGGCTTCAGCGGGAAATTCTCCCTCTTCTGAACAACATCATCAGCACAAACTTCAGATAGAAGTGAAGTATTCGAATATCTCCACGTTTAAACTGTAGTTTGTTCGGCTTACTTCGATCGTGATTGGTTGCTGTTGACCTTAAACCTGTCGTTGTTCGCACCTTTGTTTTGATTGTAGCTCCCTTTCGATCTGTTTCTCACTCCTGTGTTTGCCTACGATTTTCCTGATTGGTTGATAAATTAGGTCAATGTTGATGTGTTTGTTGATTACTGATTGACCTGAGTACCAAGCTTCTAAAAATTACCTAGTGTTCTTTATCCTCCCCCCATCCAGTATTTCCACATTGTTCCAATCAAATGTGTGTCCATAATTGTCGGTGTGTGTTGATATAAGCGAAGAGTTGTCGTGGCGTTGGTGAAGAGACCGTCCATTTTGTCCTATATAGTGTTTTTCACAGTTTCAGCAATTTACTTTTGTAGATGATATTTGGTTTTTCTTCCTTTGTCATTTTGTTCTTTGGTCTACATAGGATTGATTGAAGTGATTCTGTTAGTTTGTGGGCCACACCTATTCCATATGGTTTCAGGAGTCGTGCCGCATGTCCCAATGTCTTTTTTTATGTTAGGATGATCCGTTTATTGGTTCCTGTACTTGATTTCACTTCTGTTGACGATTTCAGTTGATGTTTTTTGATGAAGTTGCGTGGATAGCCGTTCTTTTGGAAGATGATTATTAGTTATTTTTCTTCGTTTCTTTGTGCTTCAAGTGTGTTGCAGCGTCTTCGCTCTCTTGAACAAAATTTGTATGCAGTTGATTTTGTGGCTTATTGGGTTGCTGCTACCGTCTTTGAGAATTAGGTCTGTATGGGTTGGCTTCCGAAATACTTGAGTTTCTAGTTTTCCTGTGTTAGTTCTGGTGATTAGTACATCTAGGAATGATAGTTTGTCGTTTTTTTCCTTTTCTACCGTGAATTTTATGTCATCGAAGGCGTTGTTGAATCGATTGTAGATGTTCTCCTGCTCGTTCCTTTTAATAATGACGAATGTGCAGTCTACATAGCGAACCCACATTTTTGGCTTGATCACTGGTAAAAGCGACGCTTCTAGTCACTGCATTACAGATTCCGCGATGAGTCCTGATATTGGTGATCCCACTGTTGTTCCTTTTGTTTGTTTTGGAGACTTTATTGTTGAACTGAAGATACATTGTTAAGTATAGACCGATGAGTTCCAGCAGACTTTGGATCTGAAGTTTCGTATATATATTTGCAGGTTTGTGTCGTTGGTGAGGAGCAGGGAAAGAGTTTCTTCAGCTAAGCTTGGCACTGTTGAGGTGAACAAGGCTGGTACTCCTAGATATTACAGCTTCGGAAAATCTTATTAAGATAGAATTAGACTGTTTGTCAATCACTTCTAATGAGTTCACTGCATTATAGTTATGTCCTGTGTTTACCAAGTGACATACTATCAAAATACGAAAACTGTTTCGTTCTCAAATGTATACATTTCTAGGAATAATACGTTCAATAAGATCAGCAGAGACCAGTCGTTTTGTCTTTCAAATGCACGTTTTTTTTCTCACTTATATTTAAAGTGACATATATAGTTGAAGGTAACATGTGATGTATATTTGTCTACTTTCATATGTGTTCTGATCAATGGGATCAATTTCTCAGTGGGGAATGTTTTTTAAGGTTACATTAAATCTCTGATTACTTTTATTCATGATTTAAATATTCATCACATGGTATTCTAAAAGACAATAAAAATAAAATTGTTGTAAGATATTAACTAAATGTCTGTTTCTCACTAGATAACCATTAAAACACATGAAGAAAAATAGGACAAATTATGAAGCTTTATATTAACTATTCAGTTCACTTACGAAGATTTTCCACTACCAGTTGGTCCCATAAGAGCATTCATTCCAGGTCGAAGTATTCCACTGAAAGTAAATAAAATCAGACAGATTCAATATTTTATTAAGAAATATCATTTCATTGCATGAGATAAATATTGACATGAAATACTACACAGATTCCTCTCAGGAAAATGTTTCAGTGTCTAAAAATAAAGAACATCTTCAGTGTTCACGAACAACCGTCTGACAATCTGGAAGTATATGCCTGGTATAAATATGCATCAGCACAGTTTACCACATTTCATATTAGGATGATGACCAGAGAGAAAATCAATACATTGAAGAGAAAAACAGTCGAAACATTAATACCAGCAATAGTTAAAAATAACCAGAATAATAAAAACAGACATTCAACAATGGTGTTCATCAAATTGTATTAAATTTGGAAATTGTGAGATAAATAAAAAATCAATACTCTTATAATGTACTTTCTCTATTTTCAAAAGCTCAAAAAGCATACATGCATTTATGAGTTTTTTTCACAGAATATTTCTGTGAGCCCTGAATTAACTGTTGATGACATACTCTGTTGGAACATTCCAACAACTCATTATTTTAGATGACAATTATCAAGTATCTAGTAATAATCAAAGATCTTTTGGACATGTTTACCTTGCAGACAATCTTGTTCAAAATCAAAGCTGACAGAACAAAACGTTATTTCTAATGTCTCACTAATATTGTGGTGCGCGCTACTTATAAGTAGTATATGACGCGAGTGAAAACGTAATGTCTGGCAGCAGAGGATGGGGGAAGATCATGAAAGGAAGAGTGGGAACACAATGGAAGTTGTATGAAGCGCATGAATAGTGAAATGTCAGACAATGGATTGATGATGGATTGAAGATTCGCAAATTAACCGTTTACGATATAGTTTTCCTATTTTACTGATTAACTCTGTAATTTGCGATAAATACAATTCGGTTGCCCTCACCTGTGTTCTCCTTCACTACAATATTACTATTATCATATAAACTGATTTTATTCATATTCCGGAATATTCTTACAAATGTGATGTTTTGCCTGTTAGAATTGCTTAGATGAACTATGAATATATAAAACAGTTCAAGTTTTGAAAGCATCTAATCAGAATGGTGATGAAATTGAGCATATTCATAAAACATGAGATATGCACAGACTGGTTAATATTATGACTATTAGAAGTTTAGTTCGTTAGTAAGCAATATCCGATACTTGGGAAAAATTTTTCTGTTTCATAGAACCAATTAAAACAATAATCTCAGTAATATTTATTTCTCAAAAATACTTTATTTTAAAGCACGAAAACAATAGACCGAAAAAGTTTAAACATTGAACTGATTGATAAAACTGATTTTTAATTTGTTTTCCATTCAAAGAAGGCAGGACTTTAGAAGAAATCGATGTTGATGTCAAATAGTATTCGGCAACAAAAAAAGATTGCAATATATTCAACAAGTCAGTTTATGTTGGAAAAATGTCTTAGTCTTGTATTTATGTAAAATATCTATGAGCTTTACATATCTTGGCAGCATCATTGATGAACAGGGTGGATCTGATGAAGATCAGCATTTCTACAATTGAAGAACATCCTGAACTCCAAATAACCATCAGACAAAATCTGAATTTTCAATACAAATGTAAAAATAGTTCCACTGTATGGAACAAAAACTTGGAGAATTACCAAAGCCATCATCCAGAAGATACAAGTATTCATTAACAGTTGTCTATGCAAATTACTTCAGATTCGTTAGCCAGACACCATCAGCAACAACTTTCTGTGGGAGAGAACAAACCAGATTCTAGTGGAGAAATAAATCAGGAAGAAGCGGTGGAAGTGAATAGGACGTACACTGCGAAAAGCATCCACATGCGTCACAAGACAAGCTCTCACTTAGAACCCTCAAGGTCAAAGGAGAAGAGGAAGGCCAAGGAACAGATTACACCGGGAAAATAGAGAAAGGCATGAGAAGAATGAACGAAAATTGTATAGAATTGGAAAGGGAAGTCCAGGACAGAGTAGGTCGGAGAATGCTGGTCGGCGGCCTCTGCTCCATTGGATGTGACAGACGTAAGTAAGTAGTAAGTATCTGTGACTTTACATATCGCTATGGGAGTGTATAAGAAGAAAGTTATTTTGAACTAAATTTCTACTTATCAATTTTTGGTATATATACATTTTTTACTATAATTTATAACTGACACTTGATCCTCTCATCAATTTTATATTTTTCTTAATCCCTATATTATTAATAAATATTCAATCATTTCCATAACAGTTTATATGTTTATTCTGCTGTATTTCCCTTACACTCAATAGTTTATGATTTTTAAACATTGTCCTTAATTATACCAATTTTAAAATAGGTCATTAAATTATTATTTACTAGACATAATCTTCACTTCCCTACTAACTATTGATTATTTATATAATAGGAGCAATATTGATTTTCAGCTGGAAAATCGACTTTTGATTGACTATGTATTAAACCAGTGAAACAAATTCACCAGATCAGTAATTTGATAATGAATTACACAAATCTGTACGAGGCTTTTTCTGGAGATGAATTCATCACAGCTAAAACAGTTATCCAGAGACCTTATAAGTTGTATTTGACCAATTTTCTACTTATATTAGACATAGATTCAACCGCTTTAAAGCACTAATTTATAAATGAGAAGTATCCATAAAATGGTATTTCAAAATGTACATTACGGGGTTGTGAAGAATCCTGTGGGGTGCAGGAGTCGTGGATGCGCACTGCTGAGGAGTCCCATACCAAGACGAACAGGCCGTCCAGTGCTTCCAGGTTTCTAATGGTGGTCTAACATTGATCGATTCATGATTTCAAAATGTATCATTTAAAAATAACCTCCACCTCATAAGTACTCATTTTGTAGTGATATCAAGTGTATACAATTTCTCTTCAAGAGAAATCTGCTTAGAGTAAAAGTACACGAAGATTTTGTCTAGCAGCTTAATATCCTCATATATGATGTGACAAAAATTCACTACATTCGACCAATTATAGTTTAGGCTTTATATACCAACTGAAACCAGATAAATCCATAAAGTGTACCGTTATCTTAAGGAAATAATGATGTGTTATATAATAGTATTTAACATGTACTCATTTCATGATATTTGTTTAGCAAATAGGTTTATTGACCTATGCTTCTGAGTCTATGAAAAGAAAATCAAATTTCACTTTTAAAAAAATGATTATTGAATATTTTAGAAATCAACTGAATGCATCTGCATTCATGTTAAAAGACTTCTACTGTTTTCAGTTGCCTTATAAACAAAAAAACAGCAAAGAAAGAGAAATAATCTAACTACATTTATGTCATGTCTTGAAGATCCACGTAACGATATCCTATTCAGAGTCACCAATTTTAATGCTAGTTATAATTTGACCTGTGATCAAGTCTGTAGATTAGTGTGACATTGACTTTGCAAGGTACATGGCCAACCAGAGCTACTGACCATTAGGCAGTAGTTAGATCTCTATCGGAATACTATTCCCTAGCTCTTTTCTACACTCAGCCTTCAATCCAGAAGTAGCAACTAACCCTTACTACATCTATGTATCAAACAGACTTAATTTACATACAAATATATCGGAGTGCACCACACAATAAAATGGAAAACGTGGCTGTGAATAAGGGTGACTGCGAACTATAAACTGGTCTCAAATCGGGTTTTCGATGGTGGTCTACCATTGATCAGTTCATTATTCCAATGAAACCCTCGAATTGACTAACCACACAATGCAACAGATAAGAAATTGAATATTCTAGGACAGTTCTTTCAAGTTTATAGGTGCAATCATACTAGATAGAGTCAAACAAACAGTACATAATTACTTATCAATAATTAACAGATAGTAAATGGTCAACTGCAGTTAACATTTCCATTGTAAGCTTAAAATAACAGGTTATCGACTAGCCATATGACAAAAATATGATGAATAATAATCGACAAAATAATTCCCAAAGTTTTGACCGTCTCTTTATTCGTCCTGTTTCAACTCAAATTTTAAATATTTAATCTGCGAATAACATTGTTATACTATATCTACTTCACTGCAGGATGTCAGTAATTCATATTTCTTATCTTTGCCAGTGTAGCAGCAGCCTCAACAGCAGTAGGTCTGAGCACATAGAGGGAAAAGCAAAATTCTCCGATACAACACAACATGCGTCAACCAAATCACTTTGGGTGGAGAATCCTTTTAGGACGTTAAAACCTTCACATATCTGGGCAGCATCACTGACAATCAAGGTGGATCCGATGCAGATGTAAAGGCAGGAGCGGCAAAGCAAGGTCTGCATTTCTACAATTCAATAACATTTGGAACTCAAAACAACCATCAACAAACTCCAAAATCAGGATTTTCAATACCAATGTTAAGACAGTTCTACTGTAAAGTGCAGAAACTTGGAAAACTATCAAAGCCGTCATCCAGAAAACGCAAGGATTTATTAACACTGGTCTGTGGAAAATAATGAGGATCCATTGCCTATGCCCCAACAGCAACAATCTACTGTAGGAGAGAACAAACCAGATTCCGGTGGAGAAAGAATTCAGCAAGAAGCGCTGGAAGTGGATAGGACACATATTTTCGGAAGCACCCAACTGTGACACGAAACAAGCCCTCACTTGGAACCCTCAGGGTAAAAGGAAAGGAGAAAGGCGAACGAACAAATTACTCTGAGAAATGGAGACAAATATCAGGAGAATGAACAAAAATTGGACAGAACTGGAAAGTGAAGTCTAGGATGGAGTAGGCTGGAGAACACTGATCGGAGACCTATGCTCCATGGAGGGTGTCAGGCGTTAATAAGTAATTTTGGGGCAGATTTTTTTTGGAGGTTTGCGTTTTTCACATTTGAAATCATCAATCAATCATTGTTAGACCACCATTAGAAACCTGGAAGCACTGAAACACGGCCGTTTCGTCCTGGTATGGGACTATGAATCAGCAGTGCGCATCCACGACTCCTGCACCTCACAGGATGCGTACCCGGGACCTTCGGTAGTGTGCGCGAACGCCTAACCATCGGACAACTGAGCCGGCAGGAGTCGTGGATGCGCACTGCTGGTGAGTCCCATACCAGGACGAAACGGCTGTCTTTCAGTGCCTCCAGGTTTCTAATGGTGGTCTAACAATGATTGATTGATGATTTCAAAGTGTTAATAAGTAAGCAAATAGTCTTTGCCTTATAGAATAGTTAACAGGTATTATGGCACTCTGAATATGATTATTTTTGAATCAACTGTGTATTGGCCTTTTTATACAACATAGTCATGGTTACAAGATTTTACTTATCATAATTTAGTTACATAAAATACTTGTCTTCTTCATTCCTAATAATAGAATGAAATCACAAATAAAATGACTACACTTTGGACGACTAAAGACAAATTATAACATGTGAACATTAAAGTGTAAAAAATTTTTATTTCAGTGACAATTATTCATCTCTTCTTACCTTACATCATCAAGTATTGTCTTAATCATTGGTTTACTACAAAGTGTCTTCTTAATTTTAACCTCATAAGAAATATGATGAAAAGAAAGTTTAGCACCACTGATTTTACCACGTTGACTAAATGAACTACCAGGACCTGATGGTGGATATTCATCAAAATTAGTTAATTTTTGTCTTTTACCCATTGTACTATTAACTTCATTGTAGCTTTTATCAATATTTACAGGTTGATTATTATTATTATTATTATTGATTGGATCATCAGTAACAACTGTACGTGAATTCATTCGTGTATAAGGAAATTTCCCGCTTTGTGTTGTATCATATAATGAACGATATTTCACGTGATCATCAATTTGATTAGGATTATGATCTAATGGATTATTGAATATTTTTAATGATTCAAATGATCTGTCTGTTATAACCGGTAAATTTGTATGATTAATTGTAAAATTATGATGATGAAACGGTTTATTGTCATCTGGATAATCAGATATATTTGATGAATTTGTTGGCATTGAATTACTAAATTGTGTATCTTCAGGAGATGTGATTTGACTGCTATCAAGTGGTTGTGGGCTAGTTGTATTGATTAATTGTTTTGGATAGTGTTGATGCTAAAATCAAACAAACAAAGAACTCATAATATAAAAAGGTATACATTTTCAATGTTGCATCAAAATACAGAAATCTAATGAATCTTGGACAATGTAATACTTATGAAACTCAAATATTAAATTCAAACGTTTCTGGTCAAATATACATATAGTTTAAAGAGAATTCTTGTCTAAACACTATAGAAGTACACTAATATTTGATCGATTGAATCTACCTTGATATTTACAATTAGTTAGATGGGAAATGTGTAAAGATGTCGATGTGAAATTATTCGAAAACAAAAACGAAATAAAAGTCTTGTTTTATTTTGTTTTATAATTGTAATCTAAATGTACAAGGCTAAACGTGAATGGTACAGAATGTTGTACTATTCAGTAGTTCACTCCGTCTTACTTTATGGCTGTGAAATATGGCCAGTGAGAGTAGAAGATATTCGTAGGTTATTGGTTTTCGATCATAGGTGTCTTCGAAGCATTGCTCGTATATCCTTGGACACCAGAGTGAGCAACGTTGTTATTAGGAAACGGGTGCTAGGTAAGAATGGCAGATCAATAGATGAAGTAATGAAACTTCATCATTTGAGGTGGCTGGGACATGTTCTGCGTATGCCTAACCACCGACTGCCTCGACAAGCTTTGTTTTGTAGTGTAGAAGTAGGTTGGAAGAAAGTTAGGGTCGACCAGACCAAAACATGGTAGAAATCCATGAAGTCACTGACTAGTGCACTGAGTCATGTTGGTAGATGTAGGCTACCTGGTCGGGAATTGCGAGATGAAAGTCACCAATGATTAGATACCCTGAATGACATGGCTCAAAACCGTTTGCAGTGGCGCCGGTGCATTTATTCTTTGTGTCCTTTCAAATCCTAACCTTCTGGATTCTTCAACACCTCTAGTTTTGCCTTTCTAAACTTATCTCACTGAATCATACTTCTTGAATAATATCGTCTAATCCTCTGTGCTAATATGGTATGGCAACATGAACTGATGTACTTACGTATGAAGTTAAACGTTGCATCTGACTGACTGACTGACAATTATACCTTCGTGAATGTAGATCACACCTCGAAAATTACAATTATTCCTTCAAAAAAACAACCATTGTTAAATTAGAATACAATGCAATCAGTGTTCTGCAAATCAAATCAGCAAGCATTCGAATTCATTCGATTTAAATTATCCAGTGGCGGTATTCACGAAAATGAAACCGATGTAACTTGGCATAAATAAGAGGACAAACAGTGTTGGTTGTAGAAAAATGACTACACAGTTCCCAGACGTCGAATTCAGTTTCGATATGAATTTGGTACCGGGTCGATGCCAAATGGACATCTCTACTTTGATTAAAATCATTATGCATTTATTAACCTAGAAGAATGGTTGAACGTATTCAGCGAATCACATTATCAGACGGAAAAATATTAGAACGGTCTCTGTTCTGAAATTAGACAATATTCTTTTGTGAAATTCAATTCCTATGTATACTTGTATCAATCCATCGGCTGATCAGATTCCTATTTCTAATAATCACAACATGCATCATCATACTGGAGGGCAAGACAAAAATGCAGAATAATAGAGAGAGTCATATATATTGCTACTCCTTTTTATTGAAAATCAGAAGAACGAAGCTCGCCGCTTCACATATATCATCCAAATAGATTAATTTAAACCGATAAGCAGTGACTCCATGAACCCAATCCTGACCGTATCTATCTACTCTAAAAGCATCAAACATAGCAGCACATCGAGGTTGGCTATTGTTAAGCATACGTTATGAATGATATGATGACTAGTTTGTAGATTGATTCTTTTAAGTCTCGTCAGTGTTATCAACCGTTTGATTTTAATCACTTTTCACAGTAAAGTAAGATACCTACTAATTTGATTTTATGATCACCTCCAGTTTATTGTGAACTGATTGAAGTTAGGAATGTTTATTATTCAGTTCGAACATACGACTAAACATGAAGTTGTTGGATGCGATATCATATCAATCAGTTAGTTACAATGTAGAACTTCGTACGCACGTACATACGTCAGGTCAAGCTACCATTCTATATTAGCACACATAGATCGAATTGTCGATTCAAATCCTATTAAAGTATTAGAAGTAATAGATGAGATTAAGGTTCGAAGATCTTATTCAAGAAGTATAATTCAATGAAATAAACGAAAATGGTCAAGAGGAATTCAGAAGATTAGAATTTGAAAGAAGACAAACATCTGTGCTATTACAAACTATTTTAAGCCATGTAATTCAAAGTCTCTAACTACAGGTTGCTGCGTGTCTCGCGGACCCCAATCAGGTAGTCTACATTTACATTAGTATAAATTCCTAAATAATTAATGAATATTTAATCTGTATATTTAATAAGACCATATTTTTAAATATTCTATTGTCAAGTTTTCTGATGTGTACATAAATTATGATCATTAAAACTAGAAATATTTCTTAAATAAGAATATTGAAATGCTTTTCTATGCACAGTAATATGTCACTTGAAGACATCTTTAATTTCTATTTACGTAAAAATCATGTTATCTATAGGGTTCATGCTTTTAGGAAATGTTTTATGATATTATAGTATAAAAATGGACGGCTCATTCAAATGTTCCTAATTCAAATTCCCACATTTTATTATCATTCTCGGTTTATATGATTATTAGTATAATAATAATAATAATAATAATAATAATAATAATAATAATAATTAACAACAATTAAACAATGAATTCAGTTATGAATTAGTAATGACACTACTTTTGGTGTTTTGCACAAACTAACAACTTTACATTATCCTCTCAAGAAATGATTATGAATATCATGTCAGTGTACACGATTAACAATTTATTTCTATCGATTTTAAGTAGCATAGGTTTTAGCATAGTTTTGTGTTTACTGATACAAGTTGAGTAGCTGTACTTCAGTTTCAATGATCAGTTTGCCCTACTTGTTTTGCAGTGGTCGGTCTAGTTTACTATACTATCTGGCTAGCTTCTTCGCTGTAGCATGCTTCTTTCTCTCGCACCTTTTTCTGTTATCACTGTTAGATCTTCCACATATTTTCATTTATCAACTTCAATGCTCCTCTTCAGTTGTTTGTTTTCTTCTGTTTAATTAGCTTGTGCCTTAGCTTTCTCTGTTCTTGCTGCCTTCTCGTTCTTCCTTTCTTGAATCTTACCCAGAATATCAACAGAAATCCATTCCTTGTGATGGTAGTTCTTTTGGCCCAGAACCTCATGACATTTTGCAGTGATTGCTTCCGGGATTTCTTTCCTGCTGTTCTCCACTGAGTAGATTTTGAAAGTGTTATGCTCATCCCTAGGTATGCTTAAAACTATTACGAGTTTACCTTAGTCGAATAACGAGAACAAACAATGAACCGGCGGCCAGGTAGGTGACTATTATCCCTTGATTCCATTGCACCAGCAAGAAGTCTTGACACAGCGTAGAAAGTGTATTCTACAAACACCCAGCCAGCACACAATGAATCCAAGCACTCAAACTGCGTTTATTTATACACCATAGAGATGTCCTTGGGACAGTCACAAAAATAGCACACTAAAATGACACTGTAACCAATCACAGCCAAGGATTTCCCTGGTGGGAAATGTAATCTCAAGGTCAACTGATCAGTCCATGAAATCAATCCAAAATAAAGATATTTATCAAGCGAGTTCTGGGGATCTAACATCCCCAACCGAAAGGCCATAAACCTATTGCTGAAAGTTATCTTGAATTCGTTGAGTTTACCAGTATCCCAAATAAAAGACGTATTAAACTTTTGTAATATTGTATGCTCAGTTGTGTGGCGCTTTAGCAGTAACTGCTACACAGTTTAATCAATAATTTGTCGTATATTTATAATTTTAAAAAAATAAGTAAATAAAACTAACATTTTTTAGTAAATAACTGAATTATATATTTTGATTCGTCTTAAAAGAAAGTATTCTGCAATGCATGAGATAATGTTAAATGCCAGTGTACTTTATTACAAATTAAGAAAGGTGTATAGTTTGCATGCAATTTCATAACCACACCCATACTCAATGCCTATAACACAAATATAACTAACACTTGAAAAAACAAACTCATTGAACGATATGATAATTTCATAAAGTACATTTAAACACCTGATAATGCCTAAAACTTTTTTCTTTAAACCGTTTAGATCAATCATTTCGTTAAGTAGGTCAGTGAACTAGAATGTACGATATAAAGTAGTCAATCATAAATGTCTTTTAGGCAACATTTGTTCTTTATAGCTTAATGTTAGTTAGATAGAAGAATAGTCACAAAATTAGTTTGATTTAAATTATGTAAAAAAAACATCACATGACAAACTTCAGGATCATTTTTATTTGGGAGAAACAAACTACGAATTCGTTTGCTTAACTCTATTATTATTATACAGGCTTTCATCCAGTTGATATGACTAATTAACAAGAACATATCTAATAATGATGTTGTTCCTTTCTGATATGGGGCTAATCAACAGTACATACGCTATCAACACAGATAGATCTCAGGACGTTTAGATCTCAAATGAAGAGCAAGTAATTTTGGATGCTGTTAGGCGGTTTTTAATTTCAGTCAGTTTTAGCTGTTTCATAGCTGAAATGCTTGAACTCCATTAGGAATATTATGAAGCCGGCAGTGAGCAGTGAAACCTGAAGGTCCTGGCTTCTATGCCTAGCTAGATTGGAGGTACAAGTTTCTTGATAACCTGATACTTTTAGGGCTCAGCTGTCTTATACCACTTAATGTTTAGTGGTATCCTGCCAGAGGCCAGTTTGTGATAAATAAAACCTACAAATTAAACCAATCTTCACAAAATGTTTTCAACTAAAAATGGAAAATGCCAACTCTTTATTCTTATTCCCGTACCAGTAACAATTAAACTTATTAATTTGTAAAATTCATCCCTATTATTAATTATATACAGCCGAATATAGGTATTACTGATTAACAGTCAAATTATTTAACTCGATTTTTAAAAATGCACACTTTGTTTACAACAATAAACTAATTTGCATACATCAATTAATTTCCAAAGCAAAGTATGCTTTCCTGTTCGTATCTGATTGATCTTCAAACACCATTTTAAATAAGTTAACAATTTAAACAAAATCCCGCTTCATCGTAAATAGTCGATTTTACATTTTGAGCAGAGATAGACGGTGACTGCCAGTAGAATCAAGGATATGTGTCTAACTCTATTTTGAACTCGTCCATTGGATTTTACTGCATCCCAGAGTCGATATTCATTACCGAACTTCAAACCAAAACCCAGAAAAGCACACGAGACCCAGTCGGTCAGAATCAAATCCTGACTGACTGACTGACTGACTGACCGTTCGTTTCAAACGTCATCGGGTTATTCACAGAATTACTGAGTTTACATGGTCATTGAATGGGCAACGGGATGAATTTTAATCCAAACGTACGGGTTGTTTTAATCATCCCATTGATATGCAGGAGTGCAATTGATCAGGTACATTCAATCAACTGGTCTTAAATATGATGAAATACACATCCCGGATTCCATCGGTAATCACCACCCTTCTCTGCCTGGCAACAGACAGTCAATCGTCACAGGATGCTAGTATGTTACAGCAGCTAGATCCATCATAGTCGTAAATATGATTAGAAGATTCAAGCCATACAAATACAGTCCTTGAACAGCGCTTCCTCTATTAGAGAAAAAGCAGCTGTACATTTTGATAATGAGATAACTTAAAGTTTCTAAAATTCAAATATCTACTACTAAAGATATAATGGTATAAGGTCATATACACAGATATTATTCTTTAAATTACAATACCTTTGACGAATAGATTTTTGAAGCACACAAAAATGATCACACCAAACTACAGGATACTAAATATATATTTTAAATACAATTATGTACTTAAAAATCTTACACTTCTTAAATCTCTAGGTAATTTGTTCACTTTCTGCATTATTTTGAAGTGTTCACATTGTACTACTTGTTTTCTTTCATGCTGAACATACTTCATATTGTCTTTATTTGATGTAAATAATTCTTCAATATCATGGAAACTTTGTGCAAATCGATCTGTCTGTTTCATAACTTTTGACATATCAGTAATCTGTTGAAAATCAGTTTGTTTATCTTGATAAGAGTTTGGTTGGTATTCAAATTTTTCATATTCATTTGGAGATTTCATGTTTTTATAATGAACCGTACCGTCCATATTATTATTTCTATTATTGTTACTATTATTATTATTATTACTATTATCATTACTATTATTATTATCATTCATGTTACCGTTGGCAATAATGGTAGCATTAGGATGATTTAAAGACATTAATGATAAACGAAGTGTCATGTTTATATTCGCTTGATCATTGTTTACTTCAATATTTGCATTTTCTGTTATGATATCACAATGATAATAGTGATCTGAACAGTTTAAAGTTGTGCTTGTTGTGTTAAATGTTCAACAAATTATTCCTAAGGGTTAAACAATTAAATTTTACCAAATATAAAAATATAAACAGCTTTAAACTAACCAAAAGAAAAATAACATAAAATAGTAAGTAATCTATATATGCATAACTTACTACTGTTTTACCAATCAAACAAGTATCAGATGGTGATCGAATCATATTGAAAATCAACAAATTCGTTGATGATCTTTGATATTTACGTGGTGGTAATTGTGGCGGTTTGATGATGGCTATTTCATGTGATCTGATGGAGTTGAGATCAACAACATTAGTAGTATTCGTGTAATTATTAGTAGTATATGCAATCATACCGTCATCATCCTTATCATCATTAGGATGACGAGGAACTACACTATGATCATGATATTCATTCGGATAATCATAAGGATTAAATGAATTATTATTATTATTATTATTATTATTATTATTATTATGCATTAAATATGTAGGATTTTGTTTATGCGAATTTTGAATATGTTCAATATTCAAACATTGTAAATTTTTCATTACACCGTTAAGCGTTTGAAAATCACCATGATTATTGGAGTTGAAATTCGGTTTATATGAAATATTAATTTGTAATGTATTCAATTCATCATGATGTGTTTTTTGGTCAATAATTGAAACAGTCACTGGTTTATTAGTTTCCATTCGATTAAATTTTATTTTAAGGTTACATTGCTATGTAATAACGTTTACTAAAATAACTATTACGTATATGTACATATGTATAAATATATACATTCGAATGACAGACAGGTACTTCAAGCGTATTCGACTTTAATGTTATTTTTAAAAAAAATTATTACTTTCCTCTACTGTTATGCAAAGTAATATTATTTATAAGCATTATTGATTATTGCTTGAATATATGGTATATTTGTTTAAACCATTGTTCAATACTATTGAATTCTAGAATACAATCAATCCATGTTTCCATATGTTTTAAGGGTAAGAAAAATAATATTAATTATGCGGCGGCTCATCTATATATATATAAGGAAAGTGATATAGACCGACCAATAATTATACCAGTAGAAAAGAAGCCAACTATACTATACTTTTAGAACCAATTGAAAAGGTAAGAAATAAACATGGATCAAAAATAAAAAGGGATTCGTTGCTATGACAACCGATAACAGGTTGAACCATAAACATATAAAAAATATTAGGAAATTTCTCACATAGTTTTTACATCGATAACTAATTTTAACTAATTATACATTCAAAACTAGGAAGCTCTTAACATTTGTTCCGTTCTAATATAGCAGTCTTCAGTAGTGAGCACCTATGACCTTGATTCTCCACGAGTGAGTCTTTAAATTAAATGACTCTAAACTGGAAGTTGATAGTGTACATATTTACTTTAAATTATTTGGTGATATTTAGCAGCTGTCTTCCATTTCATGAGGTAAGTAACTGTTCAAAACTCCACTAGATATGTCTACTGCCTAATGAGAATATATATATATATATATATATATATATTTTAGGTATTTAAAATGTTGCAATAATTCTAGAATTTCCGTAATTTCTATCATAAACTAATCTTTTCGAACTGATCAAATTCAAATGTCCCGAGATTAAATGTTCATGTTTGAGATTGACAATAAAAAGGTCCGGTCTCCGGTTACATCGTAAGTACACATCGCTGGGGATTCCTGTTCTAGGACAAAACATACTTAGTGCTTCTTGGTTTTTACAGTGTTCAGCTAAAAATCAGTCGATAATATTAACTATGACATTGTCGCAAAGTCCGTAAATATCCATGTACGGAAAATTTTCCGTTAAATTTGACTTATTACTAATAATTATCAATAACTGCTTGTAAGTAAAACAAAGTCAAAAACTATAGAACAAATTTAACAACAGACATCGTTGCAACTTTATGGTTTATACCAATTGTGGTGCGAGCTACTTATAACTAGTACATGACGTGAGTGTCAACGTAATATCTGGCAGCAGAAGATGAGGGAAGATCAAGAAAGGAAGAGTTAGAAAACAATGGAATTTGTATGAAACGCATGAATAGTGAGTGACAATGGATTGATGTTTTGCAACAGGAACAGTCCAGTTCGATATGAAGAGCTGATATTTTGCAAATTAACGATTTACGATATGGTTTTCGGATTTTACTGAGTAACTCTATAATTTTCGTAAATACAATCCGGTTGGCCCATCTGTGTTTTCCTTCACTACACTATGAGTATTGACAAATCATATTTTGTAAACTCATTTAAATGTTGCACAAACGTGACAAAAATTATTATATAACCAATAAGTCACTTGTTAGGTACTACATTGGGGTTATGAACACAATGACAAGTCATGAGCATGATATCAGGAAGTAATGTATTGAAGTAATGAGATGAATAATTTTTTACTTGATTATAGCCGATCAATGCTGAAAAATTTACTTTGTAAACTTATGAATAAAATCAAGAGATTTGTAATAAATGGTATCATTCCTTAAGTAATCATAAAATGAATAGACAGTGATTAGAGTTGATTATAATATTACCTATAATTTCATTATTGATCACAGTTGAAGTGAATTTATAGGAAAAGTCAACGAGAATCAAGAAAATACTATTGTAGTGAAGGAGAACACGGGTGGGCCAACCGGATTGTATTTAACGAAAATTACAGAGTTACTCAGTAAAATCGGAAAACCATATCGTAAATCGTTAATTTACAAAATATCAGTTCATCATATCGAACTGGAATGTTCCTGTTGCAAAACATCAATCCATTGTCACTCACTATTCATGCGTTTCATACAAATTCTATTGTGTTCTAACTCTTCCTTTCTTCATTTTCCCCCATCTCCTGCTGCCAGACATTACGTTGACACTCACGTTATATACTACTTATAAGTAGCTCGATCTGTTGTGTTACATTTAACATCTGACGATAAGTGAGAAATACCTATTTTTAATTCCAAGAATTTTAAAAGTAGTAAAAACTGAAAAAATTTCGGGCGATCATACAGTAGAAAGGGATAGCGTCAAATGTATTCAATGTTCATTTTAGTAAATATCATCTACAAATTACATATAAATAATCATATTCCTAAACTTAAATTTGAATTCACTAAAAATAAATTGATAATCTTCAACTTACAAGACAAGATTTATACTTCCTAATCCGAAACTCATATCCGTAAACCTTAACTAGGGACAATGTATGAACTGTTGAAAAATTTATGTTTTTATAAGGGGTGTTAAGAAAAAGGGTTATTCTTCATTCAAACAAACAAATTTGCATGTTGTTAGATTTACACCATTGAAATAACCTGTAGAAGATTTAAACAGATTTATTAATCATGTAAAATCTGTTTTACTGTTTGTCATATAATTTTTATGTCATAAATTGTACATGTAAAAAATAGCTGTTTCTTGACAATGAGCTAAAACTTTCCGACAAAATGTTTTAAGCTCACCTCTAAATTATACGTTTACATGAACTGACTCACTTTATAAGTTCATATTCCTATATATAAAATGTAATTGAAAAGTTGCACTAACAACAACTAATAATTTTATACAGTAAATTTTGAAATTCAAACTTTTGTCACTTTATTGTTGTTAGAATTTCAAATTATACATGTTAAATCGATTTTTTGATCAATGAAAATAGTGAGTAATGGACAATTGTTTCATTTATATATATATTCACTTGAAATGACTCAGATTAATTTTTAAAAAAAAAGAGATTAATATTATATGAAATATCTTAATTTTAGAAAATTATTCAAGCCAAAAACCGAATGAAGAGTAGAGTAAAGAGTAACTTAAGAACCCAATTAATGGATCATTTTGTATACAGTCTAGTTATATATATATATATATATATATATATATATATATATATATATATATATATTTGAACACTGATCTCTATAAATCTGATTACAAAAATCGTACAATGTGCTCACTAGTGACTAGCTTTGTGAGGAAATTCTCGGAGTTCTAGTGAGATGTGATAAGTTGAGTTCAACCCTGTCGGATGTAGGCCATAACTGCTTAAGACAATGGTTGAGGTTGCGCAAACATTCATAGATTGATCAGATTTAGATGTTTAACACCCTTGCATACCGGTCCAGTGGTTCAGAGGTTAGGCGTTCGTGCGCCAGAGCGAAGTTCCTAGGTTCGACTCCTGAGAGGTACAGGAGTCTTGGATGTGAACTGCTGATGAGTTTCCTACTGGGACGAAACAGCCGTCTTTCAGTGCTTCAAGGTTTCTAATGATGGTTTAACAATAATTGATTGTACATTTCAACATGTAAAAAACGCTGAACTCCCTGCATCTTGAGCTCTTGAATAACTCGTTGAATTTAGTTTCTTGATTTATTATCTATAACCTATTTCCAGTTTATGATTTTTAGTCTCTTATACTCACAGACACCTTTGGCTCACTCATGTACAGTTATTAATTTCATTTGTTAGTACTATATGATTCAGTTGTGTGTATATAGAGGAACATCTGAAAAAGAATAACGAAAATCTTGAAGTGATGGTAAAAAGTCTTTGTTCTTCTACTTCGATTAATGCAAGTTAGTATTAGGCTATCGTTAGAGTATGAAGTAGCAAGTCTCTCGTCCTTGTTGCATATTGATCACTCAAAAGTCGTAAGGGTGCTCACTCGTGTAAAAGACAAAACACTGGGAAACATGTAAATTTAAATTTTAGCGGCTCATAACTGCAATTCAAGTGTGTATACGAAGTGAACTATGGATTAACTGGCTTCATCTGAACGATTTCTTGCTCTTCGCGCAGACGCGCAAACACTTCACCATAATGTTTTCAAAGGGACAAAAATGTACCCCTCTCTCTTTTGTTATTGATAAACTATGGATCACTTGTTGTATTGAAAATCATCGTTGGAAACCACTACCCCTTCATGGGATACTAGTCTCGTTTCTCCTCTTTGCGCTGTCCACACTGATTCTTCCGTCAAATCTGAGCGATCAAACACATTGGGCAGTCTCGAGAGTTTTGACATTTGTTCGGATTTCTTATCTGACATACCAACATGCCAAAGCCCAGATTCAAGGAGAGAGTGTAGTTCACTCCTTTCTGATTTTCTGCTAGAGGACGTCCTTGATTTTGTCGCTGACTACTCGACGCGTCATTCAGAGACTGATCTAGAATTGCTGTATGACTGGTGCACTGATGCGAGTCTGATTCCTTACATGCCGCAAGTTTCTGATTCCTACCTGTCTGGAGTATCCAGAAGTCCCTGTGGAACAGATCGTCTGAATTCGAATTTGAACCCATGTAGTTTTATCTTGTCAAATGCTAGGCGAAGTGTCGTCGTGAAATTAATCGTGAGGCATCAAAACGCTATAGACAGACGCTAAAGCAAAAGTCATTGCAGACGCAGCAATATACAGAAGTGGAAAGGAAGATTTATTTCATCACATGCTCTATCATTCGTCCACATTTGATTTCAGTCATGAGCCGCTAAAAAATATATTGAACTAAGCAATAGTTCATATGAATCAATCAATTGGTTAGTATATTCAGAAAGTTGACAGCCTGAATGAATTTCTCTACTTTAACTAATAATATAATAAATTACTGAGCTGTATATTTATTTTTTCTTCCAAACATTTTTTATTGTTGGACCACAATTAGAAACCTGAAAGC